CTCATTCAGCCAAAAGTGTCCGCCAGATGCATGCGAAAACTACTCGCTTTGTGACGTCATTGTAGCCCTTGTCATGGTTATTAGTCCTTATCCGGCAACCAATAATATACACACGTGCATTATTGGTTGCCGGATGCAAAACGTTCATTATTTAGTTTATTTATTTAAATACCTTATATGTATGCAGTATAGAAAATGAACTGTATAAATCGTATTAAATACTCGGATAATGCATTTTTAAGAACAGCAGTTCCCAGCATCACCTTTTGCAAGCATTCTTTTTAGAGTACTTCCATATTTTGCTTTAAAATAATTAATAAACAAAATAGTGGGCACTTAGTGTGCACTTTGTCACAATCCACAACACAAAATGAACGTATTTATACACTCTATAGCTCTAAAAACTTTAAAGGCACCTTTTTCACATTTAAAATTGACAAAATAATTAACTCAAAATTTCTCAGCTGTTATTTTTATAAGTTTACCATAGGCAACTAATAATACACACTATCATGACAAGGCCACGAAGGCTTTGACAAGGGCTACAACGACGTCACAACTGTCAGCTGAAGCGCGGGAAGAGGCGAACGTACGTCTTATGAGGATGAACAATCCTATTAGTTTACCGTTCTTGATGGATCCCCACGGGATAGCTTCATGACGCCAAGTGATATTCCCGCTTCCTGCAAGCGGTTGTTAATGAGCCGGTGCACTATGGACGTACCTTAACACAAATTGGTGCCCTTCGCTGTATACTTAGGATATAAAAAATGCCCTTCACTGTACAGGGAGGGTCTAATTCGACGCTTTTAAAAGACGCCTTTAAAAAATAATTTACCTTCATCCTTTTCTATAGGAGATAGACAAAAACTAATATCGGTGTCTGGAGCTCAATTTTCATCAAAAACATGATGGTGAAAACCGCACATCAATATCCGTTACCGTTTCGGAGTTACGGGGTGTTTTTCAAAAATGTGCATTTTTAACAAATCGCTGTAACTTTTTTCCTATGGAAAATTTTGTATTTCTATGAAAACATTTCCAAAGCACCTTTTTACGTAGAATTTAATGGTTTAAACATATTTTTTTTAAAATTAACAATTTAAGAGTTATCAACAGAAAAAAATATTTTTTATTTGGGACACCCTCTATATTTTTAATTAACTGAAAAGAATTTAAAATTACCTTCAAACCAAAAATATAGCACACTTGATATTTTGTTATAATCCCCTTCGAAATACAGAATTTTTAAAAGTTCGCCACTTTTAACTAGTAGGAAAGAAAGATAAGAATTGGCTATAACTCAGTAATTTTTCGAAAAAAAAATGACGCTTTTTATGAGGTCATGGCCAACTATGGTTTCCATTTAAAAAAACATATGTTTGTGTCATATGTCAAAAATGACAGGCTTTAGAAAAAAACGGAGGACACAATATCATTAAGGATGTGAGTATCTACAACTTTTATTTGAAAATTTTTTGTCTAAAATAGGTTATACTGGAATTGGGGACAATTTTTGAAATAGCCGAAATTTGTTTTTTTCGAAATATCTAATAAGCCATGAACTTTTTCAGAAATCTGAAAGGCGCACGTTTATGACCCCACAAAACTGCAATTCTTTCCCCATTTAACCGACACTCTATCTCCAATAGTTTCCGAGTTACCCATAGAGAACATCATAGGAAACTTACTCTGTATAAATTTTATATAACTGTAATCACAAAACTTCAATCTATTTCCGTATTGTAACGGAATTTTAAATTATGTCTTTATTTTCGAGAAAATTTAGTCCAAACATAAGGAACATTTTGTTGATGTTTGACCAATCTTAAAAATAAAGAAGTTATCTAAAAATGTGCTACAATTCGGATATAGTATAATCCTTTATCTTCAATTTCCTTCTTCATTTGTGTAAAAATACCTAGCCAGTTTTACATAAAACGTTAAATGTCGAACGCTTATTTTGCTTCTTTTTCGGACTAGTGAAATGAAGTCTTTGAACTTTATGTTAAAATTATTGACTTTGATTTTTTTTGCTTAAATCACTTTGATTTTAGAAGTTTTATTTCACTGTATGCATCCACTATAAATCCTACAAAGGTTTGCAAAAGAGACTGTCAAAAGCATTGTTTTTTCCAGTCAGCCTCCGACTTTTATCCTCGAATCGACTAGGTTTTTCTCGGTCTTCCTGCTTTCCTTTCACTCGTATCTCGAATCTTGTATTTAATCAGTTTATTTTACACTCATTACGTATTCTATTGCCTTTTAATTGACAATTAAACGTCAAACCTATACGAACGTATTCAAAAATGCGTCTGAATTTTTCCCAAATGGCTTTTTTATCTAATTCAATAATACAGCACGTTCTGTTAACACACAACGGGTACAAGTACGTAGTCACTATTATCGCTAATTATTTACAATGATAATGATGTACAGGGTGGCCCACTATTCATTACTAACTAATAAAGTGGAATTCTAAGTTCTAATTGGAGTGAATTATTCTAGCCAAATGATTGGACTTTTAGAAATCGTGAGTGATGGGATCGTTGGAGGACTACTATAAAGCTGCCATTTAAAATTATTTTCAAAAGATACAGAGTGTCCCTAATAAAGAAAAAATATATAATTAGTTAATTTAAGTGAATTTCATAAATGATCGGTTTACTACACGTATGTATATTATACAGTCACTTACTAGCGAAAAGTTGTTCCATTATTTCACTCGATTTTTGCCGAGATCTACCGCACGCTACACAACCAACTATTTTAGAGTCTTTTTCGATAAATTGCAATAGTGCCACTGTTAATTTAAGTTATGCCACAATTTCCACCTAGATTTACTACCTTTATACAACTATCAGTAGTAGAATAAATAATAAATAACATAAAATAAGTTCCGTAAAGATTGACAAATCCACAAAATTTCAAATCAAATTCAAATGTGTCAAATGAATCGTCAAACAGAACTGCCAAGGATCCCCACTCTAAAGTCCTTTTTCCGCCCACCATGCATGAATACATGGATATCATTATGCTCCTTCCTTAGTCTTCTTATTCAAAGGCATAATCATTATCAGGTACTTTTTTACAGTCTAATTTAATTTTTTATTAATTTGCAGTACGAAGTTCAATATTTTGACTGCAAACTGTAATGTTGTTGGAAAATTTTCAAAACCATTGAGAATCGGAATCCTTTATAGACATTCTATGGTAGTTTCTAATCTTTTTTTATTTTTTTTTCATTGTTAATTCTCATTTATTGCACTAAATTGTTGTAATCTTTTTCTAAAATCTTTTGTTTTAACTAATATATTTTTTTTAATTTAAAAAAGTGCGTAGAAAATATTTTTTTACTTCAAATTCTTAATGATATTGCTTATTACACATTTTCAATCATATTGCTACGCAATGATTACGTAAAGACTGGGGTTTTGAAAAATTCGCGTCAAGCTGACGCATTATAACGCCATCTACTGTTGAGATTTTCAGTAACCAGCAATCATATTCCTCTAAAGTTTTGCTTATTTAGGTAACCTAACAATAAAATAGTCTTCTAAACTAACCCATTAATAATTTCAGAAGATTTTAGAAAACAAATTAGTTTTTAATTTTTTTCATATTGTTCCACCACTTCAAAAAATTCTAAAAAATTCCTGAGTGTAAAGAAGTATGAAAGACATTTTCTGACGATTTTTAATGAGTGACATATTTCAGGAAGGTTAAAAAATGAAGATTTTAATTTTCTTTCCTCCGCTAAAAATCGGCTTTTCGTTTAAGAATCATGATCATATTATTTTTTCATGTCTTAGACTTCTAAGAATTAGAAAAAAAATCATCATTAATTAATTTTCAATTTTACTATAAAAATAAAAGTAAAATTGAAAAAACAGTTTTTTTGAAAATCATTGAGTTAAAGAGAAAATTGCCATGGCGACACCAGCCATCTTGATTGCAATTTTATTTAAAAATTGCTTTTTATTCAAAATCTGAGCTAGATAGGTTTAGGAAACCCTAATATAGTTTGAAAGAGCATTTGAATCTGCTTCGATTTGTTTAAAAAAATACAGGGTGTTGTATTTGAAATAACGACGTTTTTATATAAAATATATCCTTAAAATAGATCAGCAACTTTTGATAGCCCTGTATAAATTTAAGGAACCAATACCATTTTTTAGTAAAGTTTATTTGTCTACCTTTAAACTCAGCATAAGAATTAATTCTGAGAAAAGTAATGTACAGGGTGTTAATAGTCTATTCTATTGTAGCATGCAAATTTAAATATTTTTAAATATCTCAAAATCTAAAGATTTTAAACATATTTAACTCTTATAATAAATGCCTTTTTTTGGGCCCAAGAATCCAAAAATGAAATAAAATACCGGGTGTTCCATAAGAAAAAATATAACTTTGGTATGGATCTTAGTTCTGAAACACCCTGTATATTTCAAAATAAATTTAAATTGTGCACATTGTCTCCCCACATATACCCATAAAATATTTTGTTTCTACATCTTTTCGTTTTCGTATAATCAACCGAGGCGAATGAGGCGCGCCACCCTGTATTACCTACGTAAATAAGAGACGGTTTCATTTTGAGATACTCCCAATTCGCATTTCGCAATTCGCCTGTATATGAACCTACCTTAACAATATCTATTGAATGGACAATTTATTACAATAATTACACTGCAACATGACATTTAAAAAATTACAGCTTTAGTCTAAAAGTAAATTTGAATCACACTGTATATCTAAAAAATATATTTCTGTATCTCTTATTAAAAAGGAGTGAAAATCTCAAATGCTGATGGCATGAATTTTTTTTTCACAACGCTGTATAACTGAGCCACCCGGTATAAATGTGGTTGTGCTAAATAACTGTAATTGTCAATGTCAAGGCTAGACGTTTTTTTTTAACCGAACATGTTTTTTGTACATGTTTTTTTGTCGGATTCATGTTTGTTTGTTGTTTTAACATATGTTTTTATTTGTTTCAGGTCAAAGTAGTAAAATTTAGTTATATGTGGACCATAAACAACTTTAGCTTTTGCCGAGAAGAGATGGGTGAAGTTTTGAAATCGTCCACGTTTTCTGCCGGTGCCAACGACAAACTCAAATGGTAAATATCGACGTATTTATTGAATATACACGGTGTTCCGAATAAAATATTTTTTAAATTATTTTTAAGTTTTGATAAATCGAATATCAGGTTTTCTTTTCTGTCTATCTATTATCACAACCTTAATAATCCAATAAAATTGTCATTTGTAATTGAAAAAAAATTACGGGCAAGCTGATTTTTTCAGAGTTTGTCAGCGACTGTCTTCTGAGTTTACAGTTGAGGGTTGGAACCTTTGGTGTTACACAGCAAAATAAAAACACTAAATCACCACAATACACCAAAACACTTTTACTTTTACACTGGACGCGCGTTTCGCTAACCGTGTTAGCATCATCAGCAGATGATTATAAACTAAAGTACAATCTACAAGGTGAGCGTTTATATACTCGCTCAGTGGGCCCCGAGTGGGCGTGGCAAAATCTAGCCAACCGAGTCAGAGCCAACTGAGCGTAACAGTTAGATTTCCGCCACTAGAGTAGTAGGAACAAAGAACTTGAAGGAATTGGACCGTTGACTCTGTTCATACTATCTTTACTTTATGAAAGCATCAGAATTAATAAATGTTAGAAAATAAATTACTAATTTTCTAACCAATCAGAGTCTTTAAATTCAACCAATAAAATTAATATCGTATCGTCGGACAAGGAATGCATGAAAATCAAGCTTAAACCGTTTTAAATAATGATAAATAGAAAATATATTTCTTTTGTCCAGGACCTGTAAAATCCTTATACTTATTTAGAGATACCCTGTATAAAATTGAACTTTTTTGTACCGTTTTTAGGTGTTTGCGAGTTAACCCCAAAGGTCTAGACGAGGAAAGCAAGGACTATCTGTCGCTGTATCTGTTGTTAGTATCGTGCAATAAAAGCGAAGTTAGAGCAAAGTTCAAATTCAGCATACTGAACGCCAAAAGGGAGGAGACCAAGGCGATGGAGAGCCAGAGGGCCTACAGATTTGTCCAAGGGAAAGATTGGGGCTTCAAAAAGTTCATCAGGAGGGATTTTTTATTGGACGAGGCCAACGGCTTGCTACCTGACGATAAACTAACGATATTTTGTGAGGTAAGCTTAAAACACTTACTCTTACATGGCTTATATTGGAAGGCTGCAGTATAATATTCTTTTATACAGGGTGGCGCCTCTTATACGCCGCCGAAGCTCCAAGGAGAACGGTAGTTTATATCGAAATGAAATTTTGGCAACATATGTAAGTTAACTGAAAGCATTTTATAAAATATATAGAATTATACAGGGTGTCCACAAAAAAAGTTACACATTAAAGTTTTGTTTTTTTCTAATGGAACACCCTATATATTAATTGATTTTCGGATTCTGGGGAAAAAATAAAGGTGAGTTTTATTAAAAACGCATATACCTAAAATCTAAGGATTTTGACATATTTCACATTTTGTGAAAATGAAGAGTAAATTTTAAATTTCGATAATAGCTACCTACATTTTAGTTCACCTTGTATAGCCTGATATTTAATTACAGTAACCATTGTATGTTAAACCAAATTGAAATTTGACCCGAAAAGTTATACAGGGTGAGACAAAATTAATATGGAACATTAGTCACTTTTAAAAGCAAGTTACTCCTTTATTTTAAATGGAACACCTAGTATATTTTTCCGGTGTTCAATTGGGAATTTATATATCTTCAAAATATTATTAAGGTTGCCTACCCCTCAGACAAAGATTTTCATAGATATTTGAATTTTTATGATTTTGCGTCAGTAGATCTTTATTATTTGAAAACATCTATGGTGGCTGTGTGATAAACCTTTTTCCTTTTGTTAATTTAACAAAAATTAAAGATTGTAGAGTAAAATACTCAACGGTAATAAAAAGATACACGTTTAAAACATATTTTTATTATTACAGAATTAAAACTAGATATAAACCTATAATGATGTGACAAAAATTAGCTATGAAATCAAATGATCAAAATGCTTTCTTTCCTGTTAACTGCCTAAAATGATTGTCTTTTCAAAAGGATCTTTTCATTTTAAAAAGCATATGTGGAGTTCTACCACATATTGTGGAGTCTTTAACATATCCTCATAAAAACCCCAGACTAGATAAAATCAGGAGCATTGAATTATTCTAATAATTTGAATAGAAAAATATCAAATTTTAAATATCGAAAAAAAATCGAATTTAAAATAGAAAATATCAATTCTCTCTGATGTATCATATGTTTGCATTTTCGGCTAATTTCTAGTATAAGTATTCTATTAATTAGTGAATGCACAATGCACACTGCATTCAGCAACTAATAGAATCATATCAATTCTCTCTGAAGTAGGATAAGTTTGCATTTTCGGCAAATTTATGAGAATTTTTTTTGTTTTAACTGACACAAAATGATAACTAGTTGTTAAAGTTGGACTAATTAGGCAGCTATGTTGAAGTTACGTCAGGCATATCACAGCCACCTAGATTTTATCAAATAATAAAGATCTACTCAGATCAAATCATGTAAATAAAAATATCTAGGAAATCTTTGTTTGAGGGGTAGGCAACCAACTACCTACCCTACCAAATTTGTTTGGTAGGGTAGGTAGTACTTTGAAGAGGCATTAATTCTCCATTGAATATCGGAATAATATACTGGGTGTTCCATTTAAAATAAAAGAGTAACATGCTTTTAAAAGCGACCAATGTTCAATATTAATTTTGTCTCACCCTGTGTCACTTTTTCAAACAAGTTTTAATTTGATTTAAAGTACAATAGTTAATTTAACTAAATATTAGGCTATACCGGGTAAATTCCAATTTAGGTAGTTTTTATTGTAATTTAAAAATTGTTCTTTATTTTTAGAAAATGTTAAATATGTCAAAAACCTTACATTTTAGTCATATACTTCTCTTATAAAACTCACCTTTATTTTTTTCCCAGAATCCGAAAATCAATTAATATATAGGGTGTTCCATTACAAAAAACAACTTTGATATGTAACTTTTTTTGGGGACTCCCTGTAGAACTCTCTATATTTTTAAAAAGTGCTCTGAATTAACCTACATATGCTCACAAAATTTCATTTCAATACAAACTGTCGTTCTCCTTGGAGTCTCCGCGGCGTATGAGAGGCGCCACCCTGTATGTCCATGTTTGTTTCAGGTTAGTGTGGTAGCAGATAGTGTAAATATTTCCGGTCAGTCCAACACGATACAGTTCAAAGTGCCAGAGTGTCGGTTGTCTGACGACTTAGGACTATTATTCGAAAATCAAAAATTTAGTGACGTCACGTTATCTGTGGCGGGTAGGGAGTTCCAAGCACACAAAGCAATACTAGCAGGTAGGACTATACATATACTCTGGATTAGTTAATATAGATATAAGGTTTGTTCTCACAGTTGTAAGAAACATATTTCCAACAGATAATCATGCGCAATAGGGTAAAACGCGTTCGCACAGAAATTTTTGATTGGTTTCCAACCAACAGTACACTGCTCACACAGAAAATTCTGATTGTTAGCTGATAGTCAGGCCCATTCGCGGATCTTTTGCAAGTAAAGTGTCCGGCGCATGCGTATTGCGACCCGACGTCATTACTTGGTAAACTTAACCTACAAAACGTGTGCTGTTTTTGTTTAGTGTTTTTTTCTTCAAAAAATAAAGAAAAGAAATGAGCGATTTTAAATCTTCCGAAGAATCTGAGGCGTCCGAATTTTCGGATACAGACACAGGCCTAGAAGAGCTGATGGAGGAACGGGTCAGGCCGTAGGAGTTAAAATTAGTACTATTAGATCAAAAAAGAAAAGTAGGGGAATCGCTGTTCGCACAGACAGTTTGAAATCGATCAGAAACTGCATTATTTGAGACCTGCGCGTTAACACCGGTTTGGAAGAAGTCACAAACATGTTGGGAACACGCTCTGAGAACAAACCTATAGATGACTTGATTTCTGACTGATTATGATAATCGCTTCTTTGAATTTAAATAACATAACATAAAAAACTAAAAATTAAAATAAAAAACAAATTAAAAATTAATACAGAAAGATTAAAGCTTTTTGTTTTTACCTTATTAAGTAATTGTTATCAGGTAGTAATTGTTAATTTTGAAGTTTAACTTGATATAATGTCATTTTAACAGAACGTCAACGGTTTTTATAGACGTATCTGTTTAAAAAAAAACTAAAGTGTTCTCGAATAGTCGCATTTAGATATTTTAAATAGCTTTTTTTCTTTGCTCTTTGTTTTTTTTTTGCTTCCGGCGACGGAAAGAGATAAACTTTCCGAAACGTTAAGCATTTTTTGTCCGTTAAGCAAATTTGTTTATTAGTAAACCACTGCTGACAATTAGTCTCCATTGGATTTACGCCGCAGTGTTTACAAAAAGTAACTATTTTTTTACAGTGGCGAAATACCCATAGGATTTTTTGGACAAATTATTAATGCTTAACCTGAACTTTATATTTTTTGTAAATGTGTTTTCTTTTTCTATAGCGCGAAGTCCTGTGTTTCAAGCGATGTTCGAACACGAGATGGAGGAACGAAAACACAATAGGGTAGACATAACGGACGTAGACCACGAAGTGTTACGCGAGATGTTAAGGTTCATTTACACGGGGAAGGCCTCGAATTTAGAAAAAATGGCCGACGACCTCCTGGCAGCAGCTGACAAGGTAAAACCTAGGTTAGGTCATATAAATTCCGTGGATAAAGCCATGATATTCCATAATGTATTACCCTGAAAAGATGTAATACTGTTATATTGGGAGTTGGGATGTTATTAATGTTCTTTTTTCGTTTGCAGTATGCACTGGAAAGGCTGAAAGTGATGTGCGAGGAAGCATTATGTACAAATTTGTCGATAGACAACGCTGCCGAAATATTAATTTTGGCCGACCTTCACAGCGCCGACCAGCTGAAAGCGCAAGCGATAGATTTTATTAATACGTAAGTATATCCTTAAAAATATCTATTGTTTCTTATACAGGGTGGGTCTACAAGTTCACAGCAAAAGGGATTTTATTATTATTTACTTAATCTTACCAAACATAACCTTACATTTTCTCTTTTTTTCTCGATTGCAGGCACGCCACGGACGTGATGGACACCCCCGGCTGGAAGTCGATGATCCAGACGCACCCCCACCTGATAGCGGAGGCGTTTAGGGCGCTGGCCACGCAGCAGATACCGCCCATCGGACCGCCGCGCAAGCGCGTCAAGCAGAGCTGAAACGGCCTCCCGCCCAGAGATGGCGGCAGCGCTGCGAGCAACGTCGCCGCGAACTGACTGTCTTAAACATGTGTTCAAATAGGGGGGGCGGAGCCGTGTTGCCACGCCCCTTTCTCCGAATTTAAAAAAAAAATAACGTAAAATAGCGCGGAGAGCCGAATAAGTATCTCTCAATTCTACGACCTAAAATCACATAACAAATTCGCGCAGTATTAAGATCTAAGCAGTAGGTGTACTTTTGTCGGTTACTTGTTAATTATTTTGTTATTGTTTCTTTTTTTTAATATTAATGTCCGGTTATGCAAACATAGCTTAAACTCGAGTTCAAGTGAACTCATATACAGGGTGGTCCAAATTGTTATTGTCTTAAACGGCTTAGTTTCGGGGATACAGGGTGTTGAAATTTCATTTTTATTTTGATTTTTTTCATATAATTTTTGAACCAATTTCGATGAAAATTGGCGTCTGGGTGTTTTTTGATATAAGAAATTTGATTTTGATGTCAATATGACTCTTAGTTGTATGGAGCGCCACCTACCTGTATTTGTACTGTTTAAAGAGTAATAACTTTTCGTCCGTTCCTGTATTAAACTACTGAGTGAAAAAAGATTTCCGCCGTTTTTTTACGTAAAAAGTTCAGGTAATGGTTCTCGAGATATTTACATAAAGAGAACCAATTATCATCCAATATTGACGTTAGTTCAGAAATTATTTCGAAAAAATCGAAATAAAAATGAATTTTCTACACCCTGTATCTTCGGTCATAAATTTCTAGGAACTTTTTACTTGCTTTTATCTGCAGAATACGCTGCCAAAGTTATTCCAATACAATTCGGACCAACCTGTATACAGTGTGGTCCATTTCTGCGCCTTCAAATCAAAGCTTCCTCGCTCATTACTTTTGACTTTTCCAATGCATACTTCGTCGATAGAATTGCACAACTAAAGTCCCTAGATAATATAGAATACCCTAATTCGGTCCAATACTATAATCTGTCCAACGGTAGGATCCCTGACAGTGACAGTTGTGTCTGTCATTTTATTCAACAAGCAAATTAAATTTTCTGTCATTTTTTGGATGTCTTTTGTCGAAATCTTCCCCAAGTTATATATGGTTGCTTTTTTTTACTGTCAGTAACGATAAGTTTGCCTACTGCTTAGATCTTTTGTATTGTGATAAATCCCAATAGAAAAGAATAACGGACTTGTACTATATATTGATTGCCTAAAAGCCTCCTCAAATCCCTTCCGTAAATTAAGTTTGATAGAATGTGATATACGATGTTTATTTGCACGTTCGGAATATTTCTGACGCGTATACAGGGTGTTGGGTTTTAGCCAAATAACCATCTCTAAAAAACTTTTATAATTTAAAATGTTTTTTTTTCTTTAAAACCAATATTTAAGTTTAGTGTATTGGCTGAAATGTACGAACACCCTGTAGCTCAGTTCTCGTAAGTAAACGTCATCGTTTTGGGTCTGTTTGATGAATAATTGAGACAGTAATAAAATAGAGTACAATTTTAATCTTAATAAAAAGTTTTGCAGTCCTGCCTACTGTCACTGATCATCAAATATTAAAATTTTAGTTGATTTTTTTATTACAATAGAATATTCGTCAACTATAGTCTGTTCATTGAAAGAGTAACGATAGAGATGGTTCTCTCACTGGGCAGACTGTATACACCGAAACGAGGCGTTTTAAGTGAGACACCTGGTATATTTCCTGTGTTAATATTAATTATTAATTGTCGAAAAATCGAAATACGTCGCGTCGTTCTAATTTGACAGTTGTTAATTTCGTTTTCGTTTTTGCGATACAAGAAAAAAAAAACAAGATGGAAACAGTGAGCTTTAACTCGGCGTTGAAGTATTATTCAGATAAGGATTCTATAAATCTTTCCTTGTAACAAAGCCTTTGATGGTTTGATACTGACAGCTAAAGTGAGTGAAATGTTCATCCGTTAGACTGCGCGAATTTCACTTTTAGACGTTATTTTGTAGATATCAGTCGATAGATATACTGGAATTCAACCACCTACGCTCGTGTCAATGTCAAACTATCAGATTTTACTAGGAAAAAAAGCTTTACGGTTTTTTTATTCGTTTCATTTTCAGATAAGGACTTAATATCGGGATACGATCAACGAAACTACCTCATTTTAAGCTTGTTTTTTTCGTCAAAATAGTTCGTTTTATTTCCAAATCAATTTTTCGAATATTGTTTGATCAATAGACGTTCATATTGTTTAATATTCGAATTTTGTTCTGTTCAAATTTTAAAGCACAAAGCGGGAGGTTATAAGAAGGAATATCTCCCACATTGGTCGTTACTATAGTGACCTTTTAAGTAAAAATAACACCAAGCCATATTGTATTGTATCAGAGATTTAATGAATTTATAATTCGGTGAGTATTGAAATTGTTCTGTTTCTTAATTTTTACATATCGTCCCATTGCTGCCAAAAGTCACTAACTTACTTTTTATTACTTCCGAGAAAAACGCGTCTAAAGATGAATTGCATTGCATAAAGATGTTATAGTTAGTAACTATTCGGTATTAAAATAAAACATAAATAGCCAGAAATCGTAGTTAATGACTTTTGCAATCGATTCTCCGCTTCAAAGCATAGTTAGTGATTGAATTTGGTTGTTCGGAAAAATGTTAGTTAGTGACTTTTGGCAGCAATGGGACGATATACAAGGTGGTCCGAACTGTATTCCGGAAACTTTGGCAGCATATTCTGCAGATAAAAATAAGTAAAAAAGTTTGTATAAATGTATGTCATAAATTGCGTAATTTCGGAGATATAGGGTGTAGAAGTTTCATTTTTATTTCGATTTTTTCCCAATAATTTCTGAAGTAACGTCAATATTTAAATGAAAACTGGTTTCTAGGATTTTTTCCACATGAGGAATTTGATTTTTATGCCAATATGACTACTATTTGTAGGGGGTGCCACTTGTGTTTTAACTGTTTTGAAGAGTAATAACTTTTTGTCCGTACCTGTATAAAACTACCGAGTGGAAAAATATACATTTTCGTGATTTTGTATGTAGAAAATGTCCCTTCAAAACAGTTAAAACACATGTAAGTGGCACCCCCTATAAATAGTAGTCATATTTACATCAAAATCAAATTTCTCAAGTCAAAAAAAACTCCTAGAAACCAATTTTCATCCAAATATTGCCGTTACTTCAGAAATTATTTGAAAAAAATCGAAATAAAAATGAAACTTCTACACCCTGTAGGTATCTCCAAAACTAAGCATTTTAGGGCATACATTTATAGGACTTCGTTTACTTATTTGTATCTGCAGAATATAATGCCGAAGTTTCGGGAATATTATTAGGACCATTCGTGAGTAAGAGTCGATTTAGACAATCGCCAACTCGGTAGGTCATTGACAAAGATATGGCCGAGTACCGCGGTTCGGATTCCGCGTATAAAACATAGATTAGCCTTAGCAGCAAGAAGGAGACGTAAACTTAAAATACTTCATAATAAAGCTTCAACATTTTTGTAAGCTCTAGTAAAAACAATGGCATAGTATTCCATTGCTTAACTGATTGAATTATAAATTCATGGATACAATAAATTTCTTCATGTACAAAAATAGCAAACTACTAATTTTTTATAGAATCTGCAAGATAATTATGTTGAATTTGTTTTTTTTACTTAGGTTATAATAAATCACAAAACACATTTGTAAGTGCGTTCAAATCCAAAGAATTCTTCGTAGTACATGTCTTTTTCGAGAAATTATATTTTTATTTCTTAATTTGAGTGTAATAATATCAAATACAAATCTAGAACAGAAAAGAATCTGTCAAAGTTCAAAATACAATAAAAAATGTATTTAAAAGAAGCATATTAAAATTTCGATTATTTTCGAGTGATCTTTGACAGATTCGGCATGTTCTAACCGGTCTCGACACTGTACTAAAAAGTGGAGTAGCTCACTGTCTTAAAACTACTTTTTAAATGAGAAAAAGGTTAACAGATATGTGATATAAATGACCACAACCTCGTTCCTAACTAAGGGACACGTTAATCTCCCATTATTTTTTTTGTTTGTTTTATTTTATAATTAAGTTAATGATCGATACAGACTGTCTTAAACATGTGGAATCTCGAGTTTAAATTGTCTTTGAAAATATTTTTTAGTCTTCAAATCTTGAAAATTACTATTTGTATGAAAGCTTATGTAAAATGTACCCGTTAGGAACAGCAATAAAATATACAGGTGCCTTTAAAAAATCATTGTCGGTAACGCCATATCAAATTTGGGACTAGCTGTATAAAATTTTCTTACATCAAAAAAGTATAGGCTTAAATGTCAAAGCTTATTTAAAAAAATATCTTTGATTTACTCAATTCGTTTCAAGTTAAGGTTAAGGTTTATATATTTTCATATACAGGGTGTCCCACTTAAAATGGATACAAGCCAACATCTTGGTTGTTTGTTGAGCGATCTTTTTCATTTTTGGCAGGAGGTTGTATGGCTATAAGACGTACATTTTGCCCAGGGTAAGAAATGCGATACCTCATAGACGTACGTTTTAATGGGGTTTTATATTTTTCGAGTCAAGAGTAAACTACCCTTAGGACAGTATTTATTTCAAATCTGATAAATTATATTGAATCCTCCTTACCTAAGATACTTAAGTTCTAATTTTGATAAATATTAATACAGGGTGTGTAATTAAAATAAGACATTTTTATTTTTATTATTTTTTAAGTACTTACGACGCCACTGGATAAACAATTGGTTTATTATTAATAACCAATTATCAATTAATAATTGATTTAAGTTTTCAGATAGCTTCCATAATAATTAAGATACGATACAAAAAAAATATTTTCAATTTATTTTGTTTACTTTAAAAAATTGTTTTTTTAAGTTTGCTAATACAAATGAATAAAATGAGTTACAAAATAATTTAAAACCCAGTTTTCAATGGAATCTGAAATATGATTTTTATTCGTTTTATTGAGGAATATTTTAAAAAATCCAAATAGTTAGATATTTAAAACAATCACAATTAACTTTGAAAAATATGCTCTAAACAAAGATTTATAAAACTGTAACGAACTAAAAGTCAACATCTTCGACTAAACCACCATAAAAAAACGATTATTAATTGATAATTGGTTATAATTGTTTATTGATAATAAGCCAGTTGTTTATCCAGTGGCCTCGTAAGTACTTAAAAAAAATAATAAAAATAAAAATGTCTTATTTTAATGACACACCCTGTGTCAATATTTATCAAAATTAGAACTTAAGTATCTTGGGTAAGGAGGATTCAGTATAATTTATTAGATTTGAAATAAATACTGTCCTAAGGGTAGTTTACTCTTGACTCGAAAAATATCAAACCCCATTAAAACGTACGTCTATGAGGTATCGCATTTCTTACCCTGGGCAAAATGTACGTCTTATAGCCATACAGCCTCCTGCCAAAAATGAAAAAGATCGCTCAACAAACAACAAAGATATTGACTTGTATCCATCTTAAGTGGGACACCTGTATGCATATGAATATTATGTTTTTGTTTTATTTTTATCTGTATTACTTACCGAAATTAGGTACACTATCTTTTGACACCCTGTATGGTATGTTTTATCATACGATCCAAAAAAAAATGTCGCCACAGTGACCTTTGCCAAAATAATTCAATGATAATGGGTAGATAAAAAATAAAAAACGAAAATGACATATTTAATGAATCTTATCAATGTTATAAATAAGTAAATAAATAAATAAATAAATAAATAAATCAATGTTATTGGTAAGATTTTCTTACAAAGTAATGTTAATTAAGACATAATATTTTTAAACTCAAGATTCCACACATTTCAAAACAGTTTTCTGTAAAAAGCTGTGAATCGTCATATGGTTAACGCAAAGATGTTCTTTGCAGGCGAGGCGTCGTATAAACCCTCGCAGATGTGTACATATAATTAGGGTAGTGATTTCCGCTGTGACGATTCGCGGTCTTTGGATGTGTACATTGTTCATGATCTCTTGTGGTACGTTAATAATTAGAGAAAGCAAAAAATAATCTCCATTTTTTTTTGTAAATAAAATTTGAACTTGAAAAGTATGTGTGTAGAAATTCATTGGTCCGTCATATACCTCTCACAGTTCTTTATTAATCAGGAACGTTTGTTTTTACAGGGTGTTTTGTTTTAATTGGCTTAAAAATTAAACATTTTCGCGTTTTTTTGTGTTTTTAAGCTGGACACACACAGAAAGAGCAAAACGTTTTATTTACAATCAAGTATACAAAGCAGTAGATACAGAACAGGTCGCACCTAAAATTGTCTCAATATAAAATCTGTCTGACTGTGCTAAACCCGTCGTAAACCTAGCGACTGATACTACAAATATAATTTGCATTGAGGCGTCACATGGACACAGTTTTAATCAAAAAAAATCTGTTTTGTTCTTCTGTATACGTTCAGCTTAATGTATTTTTCGATAAATGTTTAAATATTACACCCTGTATTTTGCTATTGTCATTAAAAATGCGAACTTAGCGGACGAAAAAAAGGATGTCGATGCCTTAGTTCAAATATTTTTTTTGGCGAGTTAACCCACCAACGTGTCAACTAAAACTGGACTTTCAATTGAAAATTGTTAAATAACGTTAATTTAATTTATTTATGTCGAGTCTTAGTGTTTTGTCAACACTAATGAGGTTTTATCTTCCAAATAAAACAGTTTGTTGTCATTTGATTGGTGGGTCTATCTGTGGAGTCTTTGTTGAAAAAAAAAACTGTTATCAAATTATTCATAAATAAATTTCTCTATAAAAATTTTGGATTTTTTTTTGAAACCTAATATAACCAAAAAAAAATTCTAACATAACTTATGCAGTACTACTAAAAGTTAATGCGTGTTTGTGCCAAAAAAAGGCCGTCAAAGACGGCTGGGGAAAGACAACTATGATGATTTTGGCAAGGTCAGTCTCTAGACGTCGCGCGTCGTTTATTAAAAATTTTCATAAAACTTGTCGATAATCAACACTAATTATAGAGATTAAAAAAGGATAGAACATTTCCAGACAAACAAAACTATTTCCAAAAGATATTCTTAAATTTTAAACTAGGTACGCCATTTAAAAATCATTTTTGCTCAATATAAAAGTAAATTATTTAACTTTAAGGCCGATAGGCATTAAGGGCCATTAAAAAATATAGAAGAGTACGGGCCAAGTAAATGATGTCTAGGGCTTGATCTCGTCAAAATGATCATCTATGTCATTTTCCAGCCGTCTTTGACGCCGTTTTTTTTTCAATCATACGGTATAAGATACATAGAAATTTTATAACATAAAGATTTTTTTTTAATAGTAATAAAAGGAAAAGTTAGCTGTATCTGCAATCAAGAAATATTTTCTAAAAATTAAACAAATTTATATTATAGGCAACTTTATATACACGATAGTGTATTTACAGTTGCCTAAAACAGAAATATCTTAAATTTTGATGTATCTAATAAAATGATTTGTTGAATTTCATTCTCAATGCATTGTTGAATGTTGAATTTAATTAACTTTAAGGCATCAGGCATCCTAAGAGAGTAATTTAACTGCAGCTGTCCTATAAATCCTTGTTCCAAAGCAGTAAAATGTCCGCTTAAAAAACTCAATTTTAAAAGGAATTAGAAATAGAATGAAAAGAAAATCATTACAAATTTAATAAAAATTATCACATACGATCGAAAAAAAAAAACGGCGTCAGCGATGGCTATTAAATGAAGATCACTGTCATTTTATATGGGAAATGCATGGATCGTCATTTCCAAGCCAACTAGACGCCGTTTTTTCGATCTTCCTACATATAAAGGTTCAGCGCTTAAATCTTCATTTCAAATTTGAATTTGACTTCTCCAAACTTTTACTGTACAGGGTGTCTTAAATAAGTGTAAATATTTTTAAGAAACACAATTCTTTCGCGAAAAAAAAATTGAAAATTTGTTATTTTTTAAAAATTTTGTCTCGCTTTGTATAAGATGATATAGAGTAAATTGTAAAATTACGTATCTCTTACTTATGTTTTAAATTAATATCTTCACTAGTTTTCAAAAAGACCTTAGTTTTCTATGTGGCATCTAAAAGTCTACTAATATATAGGGTGTTCCATTTAAAGACATTGTAGATTGTAATCCTTGGAGTGTTCATGTGTGAGACGCCACCCTATACTAGTGAAAAAAAAAGGGGGACAAAAACGAAACGACTTATTCAGAAAAAAATCTATATTTCGACAAGAAATGATTTTACAAATTCATGTTCTGACATTCACCCATCGCTTCTCTTGTTTTTATTTTTGGAAATATTCCGTGATCATCTTATTCATATTACACAAAAACCAAGCTTCTATATATACTTATAAATTTGCTTTTTACCGAATGTATTACTCAAAAAAAAGCTCTTACTAACCATCGCTTTTTCTCCATTTTGCTTCTTTCTGTTGTTTGAAACGAAGATAGAAAGATATGAAATAGGTGAGAGAGAGATATTAGCTTCCTTTTTTTATGAAAATTGTCCCATTCTAATTTTTAAAATTGAAATTAAACATAAAAATATATAATATACAAGGCGTGCCATTTTTTTATCACTGAGTTACCGAAAAAATTCTCTTTTAAATGCAAAAAGTTAGATTAGGTGACAAAATCGAAAAAAGCCAAAGAGTTAATTTCATTAATATACAGGGACTTTCTGTATTCATTCTTTGGAGCAATTTTTTTCAACAACTCAACGATAAAAACACTGTCGCCTACTTTTTGGCACGCTCTGTATAACTGGGAAAAAATCTGGCCGCCTTTAGCTAAAAATATTGTTGGGCTGTATTATCGGGGAGTTTTGAAAATGCATGCCGTTTGGAAGAAAGAGAGTGTAAAGTCCGTTTTTCTTTGTATAAAAATCATTCCGTACATTGCAAACATCCCTTATAGCAGCCTTTAGTGCAATATAACAAAAATAAAATAAAATCAACAAGAACAGAGATAATATAATAAAAAATAACACAATCACAATAACTGATTGCAAAAAAATAATAATAACAGCCTGGTAAAGGACTGCTATACAAAACGCTCAGGAACTTTTGCAGTTGATTTATTCTGTTTTTTGTTTTGTTAATGTTATGACCGAAAAAACTGTTTTCTTTTCTTTATTTTTCACTTACTGGCTATATTTCTACATTAATTTTAATACAGCGCCAACCGAAAAGTCTACATCAAATATACGCTCGAAAAATTAATATTGCTGTCAGAAAAAAAGTTTAAATTGTGAGAATTTTAGTCGATCAGTTGAATAGACAATTTTTCTCGGATTTCAAAAATATAAAGTCCCCCACAAAGGTTTAGAAAGATGCAAAAAAACGCAACGGAAAAATTTTTCTTCAAGTTTAAAGTGTTATATTTTTTTATTTATACCCTATTTCCTTGATTTTTTTAGGAAACTGTATATAAGTCTATTATACAGGGTTAATCGAAAAGTTGTTTTCTACTCGATCTTTAAAACACCCTGTGCAATGATTTCGTGAGCACATTTTCGTAAAATATTACTTTTCGGTCAGAACCATGCTTCCTGAATATTTTGTTGTCTGGCTCATGTCAATACATGCCTTGGTTAATTTTTAAGAGCAAAATGAACTTGCTACAAACATTTTGCAATTTTTTCAATCATCATTACTTTTTGATGTTATTCTTCATAATGACGAGGTGGTTTTGGCGATTATTGTTGTGCAGTGTCGAAGATTGGTGCAAAAGTCATTGATCATGTTGAATATGGCCGAAATTATGAATATTCGCTTGGTCCTTGAAGAAAAAATGGGAGAACATAACCACAATATATTTGCAGTCTCATTAATATTATGAATCAACCTCTATAGACTGCCGGGGTAGGCAATACAAAGTATTAGAATATTTTTTACAAGTTTTTTGTTTGTTTGTACACTTCGTTATTAGAGTTATTTTTTCTATTATCCTTGTAGTCTAAGAGCTAGTAACGTCTTCGAGAAAGTATTTTAAGACGTCTGGCTCTTTGATATATCTTTTACTATGCTCTCTGGAACCGCATGAGGCCCGTTTGGCTGCCGATACCCGTTGCGTTCACTACTGCGCATCGAAAGAAGATCCTATATATTTTTTAATTTAGTCCTATAAATTCTAAGTATTGAATATAAATCGAACATGTCTCCATAGCGCAGTGCGTAGCGTTTACGATCACGAACCGAGTATTCAGAGTTCGAATCCGGGTCAGGGCAAAGACTTTTTTATTTTATTTTCGTTTATATTCTGAAAGTATTAAATAATTCTGGTAATTAAAAAAAAAACAAACATTTAATACTTTACTATCAGAATATAAACGAAAATAAAATAAAAGTCTTTGTCCTGACCCGGATTCGAACTCTGAATACTCGGTACGTGATCGTAAACTCTACGCACTGAGCTATGGAGACATGTTCGATTTATATTCAATACTAGAATTTATAGAACTAATAAAAATATAGGATCTTCTTTCAATGCGCAGTAGGGAACGCAACGTTTACCGGCAGCCAGACGGGCTGCATGCTGTTCTAGAGAACATAGTAAAAGATATATCAAAGAGCCTTAAAATACTTGTTTTTCTGACGTTGCTAGCTCTCGTATTATTGGTTCTTGTAGTGTTACTAATATTTATTAAAACCAAGTCTGTATCTTTACTTTTTAACGTTTTTTTTTATATTTTAATAGAGTTTATAACATCATAAACTAATGACAGTTGAAAAAATTGCAAATTGTTGGTGGCAAGTTCATTTCGCTCTTAAAAATTAACCAAGCCATGTGTTGACATGAGTCAAAAAACAAAATGCCCAGGATACATGGTTCTGTAAGAAGAATAATGTTTTAAGAAAAGTCACCGACGAAATTATAACACAGGGTGTTTTAAAAAAACCTACCCCTCAATTAACCCTGTATAATAAGCCAAATACTCAAGTTTATAAAAATCTCAATTTATGAATTAAAGTTGATAGATTCATATACAGTTTGCTAAAAAAATCATGAAAATAGAGCTAAAAGTAAAAAAATATCACACTTTAAACTTGATGAAAATTGTTGCGTTGCGTTTTTTTGCATCTAAGTGTATTTAAAAAAATGGTTTACAATACAACTTAAAACTTTTTGCCTAAAAGCAATATTTACGGATATAGCTATCAATAGCTAAAATATACACGAGCCCCTGTGTATAAAGAATTTAACCTAAGTTTAAGCTGCGAAACTTAGTTTAAAACCACGAACAATCTTAATTATACGAGATACAAACTTTCCGGTGGACACTGTATAATATATATAACAATACTATTTATAATAAAATCAAGTCAAGATTTTTTGCACTGATAAAAAATAAAACACTGGCTTTGAATCCATTTTTTTTTGTTTCCTTGACCATTTTTCTGTGTGTATAAAAAATGGTACACTAAGCTAAGCGCACACTTGACACATAATATATTTATAATCGACAGTTAATAAAAACATCACAATAAGTTTTTTCTCTCCTCCGAAGCGTACCGCTGTTCGACGTCTTTTCCAAAATAAAGATGGCGCTAGTGGGAGAGGGAGTAGTACCGGTTTTGCTGTCGTGGAAAAGAAGAGGAGATTGAGGAGGACTTATTTTTTTTGTTAAGAACAGATCACAATGTTTGGTTTCCATTTTGGTTTTTTTTTCGAAAATTTTATACAAAAACATCGGCTCCTAGACCAGGTTGTATTCGCGCAAGTTGGACTGTAAAATTGTATCTTTCACGGCCGCAAATACGAATTTTATGTTTTCGGTATCTGAAAAACGTTTAAAAGAATATTAGTTACAAAAATTAAACTGTTTGCATTTTAAAGTTTCGTCTACACCTAACGTTTTATCTTACATCTTACTTGTTTAGTCAACATGCTATTATATACTTTTTTGCGGCATAAACGGCCGCATTTTTTTTTCCGTCATTTGTTGAAATTACTGTATCTATAAGGATAAAAGAAGTACCACAAATAGTACTATCTATCTTAGAAGAAAGTACCCATTCAGGGGTATTACAGAATTTATACAAAACTAATTTGAATAAAAAATTATTAGTACTTTAGATGGCCTGTACTTACTTTGCTATAAATATAGTAATCGTAAATCAAACAGGATGTTCAAAACTCTACGCCAAATTTTCTAAAATATAAAATAATTTTTCTTCGTTTTTTTTTTAAATAGTAACCATGTATATTATTTTTTCAATAGATGGAGAATTAAAAAATTAACATTTCTGGTATTTAGAGCATTTCAAAATTTTTAACGGTTTTGCAGATATTTGCGATTTCATATTTCATGGCATTTTCCACAGTAAATTTTTATCAAAGTCACCCAATGATTTTTCTCTCGTTTTTTATTTATTTAATGGTTTCGCGCGTACCTGCGAAACCATTAGAATTTTGGAAATACTTTAAATACAAAAATGTTTATTTTTTAACTCTCCATTTAATAAAAAAAATTATGTATAGGGTGTTTCCATTAAAAAAAAAACAAAGAAAAAATATTTTATATTTTCGAAAGCTTGACGTAGAATTTTGAACACCCTATATGATTTAAGATTACGATATTTATATATAGCAAAGTAAATATAGATCATCTAAAGTAGATACATAATATAGTTTTTATTTCAGGACAAGTTCTTGTATTTGTAATCATTTTTTAAAAGTTGAAAAATATATATTTTTTATTTATTAATATCTGGAATATTTCGAAAATATCGAAATATATTTAGTCATACCTTAGAATTCTGTAAAGTGATCTGAAAGGAAGCAAAAAATGCAATAATATACAAAGTGTTCAAATTAAAAAAAATCCCGATCCATTCACACTTTTTTGAGTCATCGTATAGTAAGTTAAAATATTTTCCTGAAAAAAAAAGTTAAAATATTTTCCTTGTGAGACTTTGTGATAGGTTCGCACTTATTCCCCAGTTTTTTATTCTAGGAGCTACAGATGCCCGACGCGCTATTGCTAGACCCTGTATATTATTTTATTTAACCTTTCGAGGGCTATCATTACAAACGAGTACAATTTTGTAGTAAAATTCTGTTTTTTTTTCTTTTCAACTGCTTTAAAAATAATGCTATAATTAACAAGGACTGACAAAAACCGTAGGTAAAACTTCCAGTGTCTTTAATCCGTCTTACCTGACAGGTAAAACTTTACGTGAAGACGAAACTTAACATAAGGCAGCGGTTACATTGGATACAAATTCGCCGGAATAATATATTATAGGAATCCATTTGTTAGTTTATTTTATGTATTTAACGTGTATTGTGAAATAAAAATAAGTTAGGAATAATTAATAAAAATTAAAGGAAAACCATCGTTTTTGATATTTACATAGGATTTCCTCTGTTCAGGTCGGCGCCGGCGATTCAACACATGGTATAGTATATTTAGTAAACAAACGCGTCAAGTGTAACCCCAATATTCGCACGAGTTCGCATCCAATGTAAACTTTGCCTAATCTACCACCACTTAACCACAAAAACTACATATAAACACAAACTAAAAAAAGAAATGAAAATGGTGGTTAAAATATGATGAGTCAGATTTAGTCATTTAGTGTAATAAAAATATTAAAACCCCAATAAAAAGATCACAGAATAAATATATACTAAAAAGGAGTTAAAACAATTTTTTGTTACAGTGGCCTTCCATGGTCCACCCATCTTATATTGAGAACCATCAATCGTAGCAATGTTTATCAAGAGGCTTTTTTTAGGTAAAATACCACGGAAATGTATATTATTTCACTCAGTAGCTTTATAGTACTTAGTGGTATAAAATAGTATGAAATTTCTTCACCTCATATCTCTAAAATGAAGCACCGAAAGTTACTTAACAACCGGAAGTCAAAGTCAGCCATATTGAAACCATTTCGCGGTCTCGCCAATGTATTGATATACTCCTTTCTTAGTCTTTTTATTCTATGAATATTAGTGGTTTATTAAATCACATAATGATGTATGAAAAATACAAAAAACTCAATAAAAAATACCGTGTGGTGCATTGGAACATCCTACATGAAATCCCATGTAAATTTTGAAAATGTTAAATATTATCTCCACAGATAATTTTATGAAAAAGTTGTATTATACTTTTTTATTTAAATTTCAGTATTTTCTTCCATAGCAACTGTTAAAATTGCCTTATATCTATCAAAGATAGTAGATAAAATAGTACTTATTAAATAAATGATACTTTAACAGCGAGGAATAGGTTAAAAACTTTATTTCTTCTCGCACGTTTTTTAATTGCTTCTATTTTTGAAAATTTTTGTATACCTTTTCATAAGTTATTCGGGATTTAAATGCAAGTAGTTTGGATATGGCGTTTGTCGCCTCAGCCTGAATATCTGTTGGTAATTTACTTATTTCGTTTTGAGCCATTTCTGGCTCCAATTCAATCAGCAATCGACACGAAAGAGAATTAAAAATTATTGACTCAAAACTGACAACTAAAGAGACAGCTTTATTTATTTGTCAAATTACATGAAACCAACGCCAACCCAGCACAATAGTTTTTCTACTCGTAATAAATTCCTTGAAATAATAATTTCTGATATTTTTTAAAACGTAACTCGCTATGAAAAAAAATATTGTTTTATACACGACGATAAAATACAATTTTATCGTCTTGTATAAAAAATAACTATTAAGGTAGAATTTTGGAAATAACGTTTAAATACCCATTCTAAATAAAACGAAATTCTAGACAACTTTAAAGTCTCTTCAAAAAAGCCTAATACAAGTTTTGAGTAAAATCATCTGGGGAGATATTTGACCTTTTCAAAATTTATACGGGGTGTCCCGTGTTTTAACGCACCATACGGTATACAAGATGCAACAAAATGTCATGCTGATGAAATAGTTACCTAGACACCATATCTAAGCCAAGTTAAACTCTTTAAGGGCGCTTTGCATGATGGTGTCTTTGACAGCACAAAACACAAGTTTAATATTCTCCGTGTCTATACGAGGCGAAAATAAAAGAAATCCAATCCCACATATATACGGAGGCATGCAAAAGTATAATAGAGTTAAAAATTCGTTAGAAAATAGAAGCATATTCTGAAGCGGACGACAAAGCAACAAACATGCCAGAAAACGTGGATTTTTTTAAAGTACCTGTGGCGCACGTGAAATGTGAATATATAATTTTTTCACTATCCGGATTTAAGTCTACAAACATTCTTAATATAAATTCTCTAGCTGCAATGGCATCTCGTTGAGGACCTAGCGGAAATTGGGCATTATTAACTAAATTATCTAAATACATACTTTGTGGATTACTGTATTGTTCCCAGAGAAATAAGGAAACCTAGCAAAGCAAAAAATTTGTATGCGCTTTTCTCAAAATGTTAGTAATAATAAAGTTTTCTCTAGTAAACAACTTTATGCAACTCTATGTTTACTTATTTTTCTGGGGTATAATTAAAATATATCATAATAGCCTACTCAACAATTACTCTTATACAATATTGCTAACTTATTTTGATTGAATTTTTTTACCAAAACTATACGATACGATGGAGAAAAGACGTCACAGTTGGCTTTGAAGTAAAGATCATTGCCGTTTTATCCGTAAAATTATGTGGTAAATGTTATCGATCGCCATTTTCAAGCAAACTAGACGCCGTTTTTTTCGATCACACGGTATAATTATGTTAATACATCTCAAAAAATTAGACCACTCTTCTCTAAAGATACTAGCATATTTTTTAAACAACCCTGTATGTAAAAAGTGATACCAATTCAACTTTTAGTTACGTCGATTACGCGTCGGGCGCGATTTTTAATTTCATTGTTGCCAACAATGGATGGGCTGACTAACTGGAATATAAATTTTCCGCTGGGTGGTAGATTAGTTGTAAAAAAATTCAAGTTGCCACATTTATTTATTTTCTGACACTGTCATTAGTTTTCACACTTTAGTTTTGTATTCCTAGTTCTTGGTTTAAATAAATTTGTTATGATACTTTGAACTTAAAAAATTATTACTATAGTCTGTAAAACGAATAACTTTGGATTTGACAGTTCCCGCGGGCTTTTCTAGTGTTAATTTTATTAGGTTAGCAACGAGATTTTTGACGTCACACTAGTTAGATACTACAAATTAATAACTATGTTGTAGAATACATGGAAAACATAATTATTCCTCGATTTGTTGGTTTGTATTTTAAAAATGATATAGTTTACATGAAATATATATAATATACAGTTAATAAATACAATATATGTAAAAGTGGGCAACGCTGTGTCGGTCAAGCTTAATCACGTGGCTAAAAGTTTACTTGATATGAACTATAGTGATTGTTTTTGGCCTAGACAATTTGGCCTTTGGACAAAATAAATACAGGGATTACCAAAAAGACATTTAAACATAATTCAATAATCTTTGTATATTTCAATTCAAAAAATTTTGTTTTATATTTAAAAAAAATGTATTAAAATTTGTGAAATTTAGAAATATAGGCATATTTAGCCTATATTAAAGCCTAGTATTATTAGTGATGTTATTTTTGCAAAAAGAGGAAGAACTGTCACTTGTTTTATTATTTTCCTTTTCTATTTCACGAAAGTAAAGACATTTACCTATCTGATTCATTCAGGCACTCAAACTTAAAGAAATATCAGAAACTTTTTTGAAAATTTTACAATTTCATATTTTTTTGTTGATAAAATAAAGGAATAAATTAGATACACATTTTATAGACTATACCAACATGTACGTGGGAAAAAAAAACAATAAACATAATATTAGTTGTTATATTTTTAATAAACAATACTTAACGTCATCAACATAACACATATAACAAAAATAATTTGGTAACATTTGTAGTTTGCACATAAACCATGAACTGTGATTATGAACTTAAAATAAAACAAAAAAGCACGAAATATAAATTTGAAAAACGTAAAACACCAATAACTGAATTATTCTATTCCGGAATACTTTCAGGCGCCGAGCTGGTCCCATCTTCATAGGGTATTATAGTAGTAGTAGTACTGTCTTCGTCAGTTTCTATTTCCAAATCAGATATATCTGATGTATCATTTAGTTCTGATTATGGAGGATGGACATCTACGTCTACGGGTTCTGGAGGCGTTTCATGTTGTTGAATATCATGCTCCATATCCACTTTTTGTTTTTGTAGTAATAATTTATTGTTATGAGCTACGAACATTATTTTGCCGGCTCTTTGTGCAGTTAAGCGATTCCTTTTTTTAGTATGGATAAAACTGTAAGTACTGAAACTTCTCTCAGTGGCTGCAGATGACGTTGGTAAAGACAACAGAGCAACAGCTAAATATTTCAACTGAGTATTTTTACACATTACCTGCAACCAACTTAGACAGTAAACATCTGTAAAAATGGCTTCTTTATTATTGACAAACTGAGGATGTTTGTTGGTGATATTGTTGATAAATTCCATAGCGGCTATGCGTTTGTCATTGTTAAGGTGCTCTCCCAGGAAACAGAGGGGTCCAAGAGATTCGCGGAAAAATGCATTGGTTTAAGAGCCATACGTTTTCTATTCTGTAAGGCGGAGAAGCATTCTTTTTCTTCTGATTTAAGAACAGGCATACTTGATACACTTTCGTTAAATTTTTGCTCAATGTCTTGAATATTGAAATGAAATTTTTTTTGCAAAATTCGGATTTTTGCGAATATTCGCGATTTTGGGACCGAATAATTCGAAAATTTCTGAAATTTCCTGCAAAATTCGAATGGAAATATTCGCTACGAACATCACTAAGTATTATTATATCTTAAAATTTATAAGTTTTTCATACTAAGAATAATTTAAAACAAAAAACGATGTACTTAAACAGCCGTTAAACGGTAGCCTACTAAATGCCGTTAATAGATGGATGATGTTAAACGAAAAGGAACCAAGCAACATAAGCATATTGCAAGAGCACCTGTGCTCCGTGGCTGGGGCTATCGGTTCGTGAGCGAATGGTCCGGGGTTCAAATCTCACGTTGACAAAGACTTTTTTATATTTTTTTGCTTATAGCGTGATCTTATTCCATTGCTTTCACTCTTTTTGGTTGGATTGGTTTAGTTATTTGGCGGGTTGGTTAGAGTGATTATTTGGAGGGTAAAATAAAAACACTAAATCACCACAATACATTAAAAAAATTAAAATTACATTATAAACTCAGTTTATAATCATCTGCTGATGATGCTAACATGGTTAGCGAAACGCGCGTCCAGTGTAAAAGTAAAAGTGTTTTGGTGTATTGTGGTGATTTAGTGTTTTTATTTTGCTGTTTAACACCAAAGGTTCCAACCCTCAACTGTAATTTGGAGGGTGTTAATTCATTGGATAGTTGGTTGGTTTTTACTAATTTATATTTGTTTTTTAAATTTTTTTATCAGTGTCGAGGTTAGTTGCGTTGGTTAAGTTGGTTATTTGGTGGGGCGGATAGCGTTGGTTAGTCCTTATAAAATTCCTATATTTCATAAAGCCGTCAAGTGCGTCATATCAACGACGTCATACCTATTAACGGCATTTTAGTAAGCTACCGTTTAATGGCAGTTTAAGTACAACCAAAAAAAAAACGTCATCGCAGGGACCTCTGAAATCATAATCTATAATAATTTGAGTTGGACAGATTCCTGTATGTTATTTATCACAAACTGGCATAAAAACTTGTTAATAAATAACCTATAGAAACCACCCTGACAGAAATTAACAGCGACTGTCATTTCAAAGGCTACCGTGACACTGTTTTTTTTTCGGTAATACGGTGCTAGCAAATATATACTTTTTTTCTACTAATACAAGAACGCTTAGATAATTTTAGCGGCTTCATCAATGATTTTCTTAACCTGTAGCTGTGGTAAAGTGAGAGTAACACTGTCTCTCTGGATCAGGATTCTCTCGCAAATACACTTTCAAAATGTACTCTCTCGCAGTTATATGGTCGTGTTTGGGACCTTTTTTGCATTAAATAATTAAGTATTATTTAAAACAATCGATAATAAAGTTAAAAAAATATAAATATCAAGTAGGTATGGTAAATATGAGACACACTTTTCTGCATACCGACTTTTATAGAGGTATTTTTGTTACCACCAAATGACTTTTACAGAATAAATACTTTTGTAACTAAAAAAAAAGTAAAAGTTTTGAAAAATGTCCCATTTTTACACCACTTGACCCTAAAAACATCTTATTTTCTTAATGTGACTTATATTTACCTTCGTATTCAGGAAAATAGTCGACGAGATGTGAATACATGATTTTTTCTTCTAGCAAGTCCTTCTTGTTCAGAAACAAAATGACCGAAGAGTGTTGAAACCATGGATAGGTAATAATTGTTTTAAAAAGAGCCTTTGATTCCTCCATACGATTCTAAAACAGAAGAAAATATTATAATGACCCTAAAAAACATCGTTTGAGTTCTCCTATTTATTATTTTAAATTTGGACTGTTTCTCACAATGACTAAAGAATACAAGGACAAGTAACATCCATACTAAGGGCTGGTAAAGGTTAGTTTTTGGTCAAGATTTCCGTATGTAAGAAGAGTACAATGCGTTTATAATGTACTGAACAAAGAGAGAACAGTAAAAAAAAACGTTGCCAAAAGTATGAAATAAACCGAGAAACCGTGCACATTGCTAAGAAACGTACCGATTCTGAACCGTCCTAGAATTGTGATGCGTATGCGCAGAAGGAAATATGAAGACATTATTTCATTTGCGCATGCGCTGGAGAGTTCTAGGACGATTCAGAATCGATAATAACAGGAAAACGAACAGACCTATAGCAGATTCGTCGCGGTCGAATCAGTACTTAAAATTCTAGGGAATGCTTTCAGCTTTAAGATTTAATTACGTCTCGTGATACTTTATTTTGTTTGTTCACTAACGAGTCGTAATTTTCCCTATAGCTTGTACATTTTTAAGTGCAAATTAGAAACACTTGCACTTTTAATAAAAATAAGTGGAATTTAGTTGGTGTTCGACAGTGGTCGCGCTATTAGAACTTTGAATTCAAAAATCGATATCTCGAAATTCATTAGAAATACTTGATTGTAGCTTTTTTTCAAAAACTTTCTTAATATTTCTGCTATATTTTCTTCGCAGACGGTATGTGAAAATCTTTACAAATAAGAAAGTTACACGATTACTGAAAACTGCTATGCACTAAATGTAAAATGCACGGGTTTTTTAAAATTTTTGAATGAGAAGAAACCAAGCCTATCGAATTTTTCTCATTAAAACATCTTGTAAAAGATCCGAACTTCAAAATAGAAAAGTTTCAATATCTAAAATGGTTTTTGAGTTATCGCGAGTATTTTGTGCTAAAAAGCTGAGTTTTAAAATTATCGCGATTACTGACGTTTTCTCGTTATAAAAAAATAGAACAGTGCCTTCTATTAAAAGATCAGCCTACGGGCGAAATTTATGACGTCACGCTAGTTAGATATAACGGATTAATAAATATGTTGTAGAATACATGGAAAACATAATTATTCCTCAGATTTTTGGTTTGTATTTTAAAAATTATATAGTTTAAATGAAATATACATAATATACAGTTAATAACTACAACATATATACCTATTTATAGTAATAAATACTTTGGCAAATAAACTATGAACCATACAAATGCAGCAAATGTTTTACAATGTACAAATAATGTATAGGTACATAAGATAATGGGTAAAATGTAAATATATTTCAAATTTTGGGGTTTGAAAATCGATCTAATTTAACAAAAACATTTAATATCTACTAATAGTGATGTATTATTATTTGCATTCACAAAATTTATATAGATATTTTGCAAGTATCAATGTTCGAAAAATTATATTTACAAATAATACAATATTATCTAAAAAAGGCGTCAGCGATGGCTATGAAATGAAGATCGCTTGCATTTTATATGTTAAATTATTCTAAAATTTTTGATTTTCTTGGGATTTTTTCAGTTCGCTGATTAAAAAACGCTGATTAAGTTTTCATTATTTTTATTTGGTTTAAAAAAACGTTTCGGCTAACTATAGCCTTCACAGTGTTGTGTCATATGAGAAAAATAGTGTCGAATATAATCCAAAAATTACATATACAATATAATTCACACCTCATAATGTTTACTGCAATTAATAAACTAATATAAACTTATCAAAAAATGACCACATATTTTCTAAAATTATTATTCTTAACACTAAAATTATCTACATTGACTATGGAGTACGCAGTAAACATTATGTGCGTGGTGTGAATATTTTATATGTAATTTTTTGGATTATATTCGACACTATTTTTTTCATATGACACAACACTGATGAAGGCTATAATGTTAGCCGAAAGGTTTTTTTTTAAACCAAATAAAAATAATGAAAAACCAAATAAAAACTTAATCAGCGTTTTTCCCGAACCTAAATCCCAAGAAAATCAAAAAATTTAGAATATTCTTTCAAGAATATCAAATTTTCCAAGATTGTAAAATTCTAGTTAATTATTTTATGTGTACAGTTATTTAGGGAATGTCATCGATGTTCATTTCCAAGCCAACTAAACGCCGATTTCTTTCGATGATACGGTATAATTCTTACGTAAAATGTAAATAACATTAGACCAATTAAAACAAAGAAATATGAATTTCTTAGTATTTTTAGTAACACCTTTATTCTTAAAACTTAATTTTGTATTATGCAAATATACCAATTTTATTGTTATTTTATTCATATTGTATTCAGCCATCACTTAAATATTTGATATTAATTTGGTATTATAAATAATCAACACTATTCATTAAAAATTACTGAACAAATATATGTTATGCTTGACATACATTATATATTATCAAACAAAAACACATTCTTCTTTTAAACTGTATCAGTCTTGTCTTTACAAAAATCTTTTTTAAAATTTGAACTCAAAATAATAATCTTTTTCATGATCTCTAATACACATATTCTTTATTTTTCCCTAGATCATAATACCTACTTACGTGTTTGAATCTATCAAAGCTGAACCAGCAACACTTGGAGTGGAGATTCCACAATATGAATAAAATAAACATAATTGTCCAGTTTTCATTAATACCATCATGGGAGAATATTATTTTTAAATTTATTAAAGATATTTTCAATAAAATTCTCTTGATTTATAACTCGTACCCACTTTTCTTGCTCTTCCGGACACTTTAGGCTGCCTAGTATAATAACTATCCTTAGTAACTATCCTTTCCACCAGGAACACAACAAAGATGAGGCATAGCACCAAAAACACACTCCACTTAAGCTTTATTGATGAATTGTTTATGGGCACTTTTAGGTTAAATCACTTACACAACGTGTAATTTTTAAAATTTCTATTTTTTTATGCGAAACCGAGAGTGACCATATATCTGGTAGTAGTTTATGTGACTTCAACACCAAAATAATTAGTTTTTTGCACTACAATAATAAATAATGCCAAAAATCAAAGAGTTAAAATCAAAAATCAACCGACAAAATATGAAACGGAATCTAACCCAATATCTAAGTATGTACAGCTGATGAAGTAAACAAAAGTCCGCCCGTAGGCTGATCTTTTAATAGAAGGCACTGAATAGACACCCTAACGATATCCTTATAATTCCAATTCAGATGCTCAGAAACATATCTAATGGTTTTATCTAGTTATCTTTTCGAAAAAAAAGGCTTTTAAAAACAAGCCGTTTACGATCGTGATTTTACTTTACTCACAGCACACCGTCGCATTTCTCTCACTCCGACTTAATAAGATCCCTATGCGATTTACTTCCACACATGTAAATACGGACCCAAAAGTATGAGTTTTTCTGATATTATATGTACTTGATTTGTATAATGTGTCGATACTAGTGTTGTACCTTATGTTAACATTTTAATACGTTTTTTTGCAATTAATTAGAATAATACCACCTATATATGCAGCATACCCTACAGGCGTAGTCAAAACATTTATCGAAAATATAAATATCTCTTCAAGCAGCTAAGTTGAAAAAAAAAAAATGTGCCACGGCATTGTTTGGAAGTATGGTAACAATTTGGTCTCTGGTGTTATTGGTCCTTGTATTCTTTAGTCATGTGTGGTTAATTCTTTTGATTTTTTACTCAATGGTTACATAAAAGCCAATCTTTAATTGAGTTTTTAATATTTCTATAATTAGTGTTCATTTTTGAAAAGTTTTATGGCAATTTTAGTAAATGATAATCGCCAAAATTATCATCGATTGTTATTCCCCAGCCGTCTTTGACGCCGTTTTTTTTTATCATAAGGCACTTCGAAGCAATGTATTTATAATATCAGCATACCCAATACAAGAATAGAAATTGATCAAATAAAACATACGGGGTGAACGATTCTTACCTCATTTTCAGATTCAAACAAAATCTGATCGTATTCACTTAAAGCTACTAAAAAGATTATGGAAGTGACGTTTTCGAAACAGTGAATCCATTTCCTTCGTTCCGACCTCTGTCCACCTACGTCTACCATCCTAAAAAACGAGTTAAAACCACATTAAAACACATAGATAATCGCTAAATACTAGGCACTATACTTTAACCTAATGATAATGGATACGTTGAATGCTTAAATACAAAAAAAAATTGGACAATAAACCTACTTTTTTTAAATTTTTACTTGGGTCACTTGGGTCACCCTGTATATGAGAGCCATTTTTTTTCAAAAAGCTTTAAGCAGCCAACGTGTTTATAACTGAGTGAAAAAACGACTAGATACATGCATACTTTAATGTACTTCAAGCAGGATGATCGAGAGTAAAAAAAGACGTCACAGTAGGCATAGAAATAACATTTTAGTTTGAGCTTATCTACGTCTAATAAAAGTTAAAGTCAGTACATAATTTTTAAAGCACTTGTTTTTTGCTCGGAGTTTTACATCTTTAAGTTTTAACATATAAGAGGAAAAACTTTTTTATTACAGATTTTTTAAGGAAAATGCATTCTACAAAAAAGATTTCGCTTGTTTTAAATTGGTTAATCCCGTATATACCTTCCCAAATTACCACACCGCTTCGGAGAAAACTAAAAGAACATGAAAATATAGTTTATTTTTTTCCCAAAAATCAAAACGCGCATCTATGGTAATATCATTTTTAGGTTTTCAGTCTTTGACAGATGGTTGTTATTATTAATTTTTATTAAGGTCATACATTTTCTGTTTTAATATGTTAAAGCACAAAATTAAATAAAATATAATAAAATAATGCAAGAATAGAAAACCAACAAAATATATGACATTAATGGAAATTAATAACCATCTATCAAAGAATGAAAACGAAATTATATTACCATAAAACGCCTTTTCATTTTTGGGACTTCTAAACGGGATTAATAATTTTAGAACAAGCAATCACTTTTATGAATTATTATTTATTATTTTATGTATTTTTCTCAAAAAAATAACAATAAAAAGGATTTTCCTCTTGCAAAGACAATCCGGGCACGTACTGTATAATAATAACTTCAGTTAATTCAGGATTAGCTGTCATTTTCACGAAATTCAGAAACAGGCATAGTAAAGCTCGAATAAAAATGTTATTCATAGGCATACTGTACCGTTTTTTAAATATGGTAGTTTGTTAAAGTGTAAATGTGTGATTTCTGAATGTACTTCTTGATTAAAATATATTTCTGATTATAAGAATATATTTTCTATATCGATATTAATACAAGAATAATTAAATTATTAATTAAAATATTGTATAAACCACCAAAAAAATATCAACAGTGCAAATGCATTATTAAATTTTATCAAGTTGTCATTAAAATTACAAAAATATGTTTAATACATCGAAAACAAGACTAATACTTTTTTAAAACATGTAAGAGTGTTTTTGTGTGTTACACATGTTAGGTGCTAAAATCTAAAGTCTCAACTACATCTAAAACTAAATAAATAAAAAGAAACAACATAAAATTACCTTTAAAATAATAATTTTCTTCACTAACAGACAAATTAAAAAAAAAGATAACATACTAAATAACATAAATATAAAAATGCCCAAATAAAGCGTAAAGCCAGAAGCATGAAGCTTGGTTACATCGGTGCGTAAGTGTGATCTTACAAGCATTTTATTTAAATGCCTTTGTTTGAAATGCCGAACAACTGTTTTTTTCCCGCTAATTTTTGTGGATTCATATAAAAATAGGTTAATAATACGATTTAAAAATTGTAGGGCTTCAATTCGATGTTTTTAAAATGTTCCGTGTGGTATTGAGACTATTTATCACAATTATCAATTTAGTTTTACTAAAATAAAACTGAATTCGATTTACTGTATGATTAACTTCTACTGTTGACTGAAACTAACTTCTTACTATAAAGTACTGTATGATTAACTTCGCGGTTGATAGTTGCATTTGCAATGTTGATAATTCTGTTCCTAGAAAGATAAAAGGTATATTTTAAATCAATATAAATTATATTTTAAATATATTACCAAGAAACAGTGTAATTATACAGGGTCGTTAAGTTTTTGTATAAAGATTTTACAGTCCAAAAAAATATATCAATATAGCGTTTATCTCATCAAGGAGATAAAAATCGACAAAATATCAAGGGCAACTTTTAATCGGCATTAAACGGTGTACACAATTTTGCTAACAAGAGAAAAAACAGTGGCGCAATGTTTTTTTTTTAGAAAAATATATAGATAACCCATATGCACGTACTTGGTGAATATGCCGACACTTTTTCCCTCAAATTTTCATTCAAATCGCTAAAAGCACTTTGATGAAAATTATAATAAATCGAAAAAGAGACCAAAAACAATTGAATGCGTCAATAAATCCTAATTTATGTCATATACCTACTAACATACAAATCTGTTTTTTTATCTGAAAAAATAAAAAAAGTTATGGGGTTGAGCCACTTTTGAGACGACCCGGTATATTAAAAAATATTGTTTCATAATGTAATATCATTTTAAAATTCTTGTATGTTATTTTAGATTCTGAAGATAATTTTAGAATAAACCGGAATATATTTTTAATAAAAACATTATTAATTATTAACAGAGTTATAATTATGATTTTGTTACAATGTAAGTAAGTAAATAATGTAATGTAAGAGAAAAAATTCAGATTTTACATTTTACTAAAATATTATCTAAATAAGCGCCTTTCTACTACAACGCCACTGACTGCCAATGGGTAAATTGAGAGTTGCCTACCGGTCAAAAGTCGTTTCAAGACTTAAATGGATTATTTAAGTCAAATTTCTTGCAATTTTGGCACTGGCGAACCATATTTTATAGTTTTTGAACAGAAAAAGTCAATAAAATAAACACTTAAGGACTACAAGCTAAGAAAATGCGTTAATACCGCCGGGGAGATAGCGGCAACAAAGCTTTACCGCACACGTGCGACACGTACTACAAGGTAATAAATGAATGAATAGGCTCCCTCGCCTCTAATCGGTGTTGTCATATTGTAAAGAACTTATCCTTATTAAACAGTATCCGACTTATAATTTAGTAGTATAAGAACTATTTAATACATCTATGGAATATTAAAACCTACTTTATTAAACTGTAGTATTAATATCTCAATATATGTGTATAACAAGAAAAAAAAAATATTGATAATATTAAAGACGTGACAACATAGGCTGGATGAGGAAGGCTCGGTCGACTGTACCCAGAAGTAAACATGTGTACAAAAAAGGTTGTTTGTCCGCGTTGAGATGTAAATAGTGTAGTCTATATTTTATTTTAAGTCTATGGTCCTAACGCTTTAACCACGCGGCCACCGAGGACTTGAAAGATTCTAGTAAAATTCTTACTTAAAAGATAATGTTTAGTGAAAGTACTTTTTTATTTATAAACATTTATTTAATAATGTTTTTAGTATTTGTTCTTACAGCGGCAACATAGATACATTATCTGTAAAAATTTCAACTGTCTAGCTATAACTGTTCATATGATAGACCTTTATGACAGACGGACGGACGGGCAGGGAACTTTTATTAATAGGGTTCCCGTTTTTACCCTTTGGGTACGGAACCCTAAAAATGAGTCATGACTGAAAAATACGATTTGTGCATCTTTGAACCGGCCCAGGAAAAGCCTTTTCCTAAAAATGTCTAATACTTTTGATAACCACTGTAAAAATCTTTCTACAACACTAAACCACCCTGTATAAAAAAAATAATTATCATGTACGTATAGTGTAATAAATAAAACACACAATATATGATTTCAACTTGTCATAATTGTCTGAACTTAAATAGTCAATTTGATTTTGACAGCAGAAAATGTCATCCTAATATGTATAACAATTTTGACAATTCTAGTAAAAATTGGGAAATATTATGTTGAAATCATGGGATGTTATTGGATATATTTGAGATTGTAGCTTCAAATGAATGCGATGAATGTTTAAAGCAAAATACCAAAAACTATAAACAAATAAAAATATGAAATTAATTGGTTTTTACTTTTACAATCCCTAGAGTACAAAGTGTACCTAGTAGATTAATTTAAAAATAAATATTTTTACCGTGTCAGTTACTTACTTAAATGTTATTAAATAAAATCTCTAATAAAACAAACCTATCAATCCCATTAAAATAATTGATACCGATATACAGACCAAACAACAATGATTGAAATAGATGGCAATATTGCGTTAGAGGATTTTATGATTAGTGGTCATCACGGTTTGTCATCGTCATAACTATTAAAATATTTATCTTGTTCAAATGATGGTTTCTGTCCATTGGTTTTTGCAGCGTATGCCAAAATAGCTCGCAAATTGCAGAATTTTTTCCTACTTCACATTTATCGTTATATTTTGGACAATTCACAAAATATCTTTATAAATTATAGCATATGTGTTATTCTGATGTATAAGCTATATTATTGTAAAGTTTCATTAAAATCCATTCAGTACTTCCTGCGGGAAAGAGTAACAATAATTCTATTAGGTTTATTGAAGAGCACTAAAACCCACATTCAAAAGAATAACTTTAGATATTTTTGATTAGCTCGTTTACGAGTTATCGCCAATTTCTTTTTAAATATTTCTCCTTTCTTATGGCCCTGTATTTACTTATGAGCACCAGTCAAGGTAAAAGATAACTGTCAAATGAAGTTGTCATTTCAGAAATTTACCTATTTAGTGCTTTATTATTATTGAAAACTCATTCCTACATCGGAAATCTTAAAGATGTATTTTAATTAAATCTTAAAGAAGTATTTAATATGAATTAAAGTAAAGTAAAGTAATCAATTACAAGGTTAATTATAGTATTATTACAATATTCAATAATATCCAAAAAAATCCTTTATGGGTTTTTCGCCACTGCACTGCAAGAAAAATCTACAAAATAAAATAGTTATTTTTGGTAAACACTTCTTCTCCTTTAATTTTTTTTTCTTGATTCTTTATATTTTCTTTTGCTTCCGACGACGGAAAGAGAAAACTTTCCGAAACGTTAAGCATTTTTTTTCTTTGTTAGGCAAATTTTTATAACTGTAAACACAACTTCTGACAGCAGCGTCCGTTTAGGTTTAACGCAGAAGTGTTTACCAAAAATAACTATTTTATTTTCTAGAGTTTTCTTGCAGTGCAGTGGCGAAAAACCCATAAAGGATTTTTTTGCATAGATGAATCCGCCACATAGGTATAGACATTTTTTAATATTCAATAACTTATTAATTTAGGTACTATTAAATTGTTAGAACTTTAGGATTTAGGAAGATGTCCAAATATTCCTTCATCGACTGCTAGACAATAACCAAGGCGATCATAAAATTCTCTTCTTACATTCGCTAGTTGGTAAACTGAAATTCTATTGCATTCGGCAGAAATAACATTTTTTAACTCGTCTAGATTTGGGTATTTTTTATCCTTGTATATCCTGTTTTTTAAATGGCCAAAGAGACAGAAATCATTTGGCGAAATATCAGGAGACCTTGCTGGCCAATTTACTGTATGATTTAGGCCAATATAACGTTACCGTTAAAACTATTGACTGAATATTCCCGAACAGCCAGGGTACTATGTGCCGGGCAGCCATCCATTTGGTACCAAACTTCCTGATTTTCCCTAGCGGCATCATGTAAAGCAGGTAAAATATGATATTCGAGTAGTTCCAAATAATATTCTGCATTTAAATTTCGCGTAAGAAATAATGGCCCGATAATATTGTGTCCGAACCAATCCCTGCCCAAACATTTACTTTCTGTGGATATTGCGTCCTTGTTTCGACAAACCTGTGTTGGTTTTCTTTGTTCCAATATCGATAATTTTGAACATTGGGTTCATTATTTAAGGTAAACGTGCATTCGTCAGTGAAACATATGTTTTTTAAATTCCCTATCCGTGTTTGCTCTTTCCATCATATCTAAACAAAACGCCTGCCTCCGTATTTCGTACCCATCTCGTAGCTCTTGGTGCTTTTCATATTTGAAGGAATAGTATTTATGTCGTTTCAAAATTCGAAACGCTGTAGTGTGATCTATTCCTATTTCATCCTCAAGTTTCCTTGTGCTGATCTTTCCATCGTTCTCTTCCACGCACAAGAAAACATCCAAGTCGGTATCATTTCTTGCATCTTCTCTTTGTTCCTGCCTTGCTTCACATCTGCAGTTATTTATTAGGGTATATTTAGTTTCAAATCTCTGGATATTCCTTGCGATTGTAGATTTTCCAGGTATCGGTCTATTCGGATACAGAGCAGCAAACATGTCCGACACCTTTTGATAACTAGTTCCTTGATAATACCATTTAATCATCAATACTTTTTCTTTGGTAGTGTAATTCATGGCTAATGTTTTCGATGTAGGTATGAGTTTTTAATAATAATAATAAAGCACTAAATCGATACATAATAATATATATAATATTTCTGAAATGACAACTTCATTTGACAGTTATCTTTTACCTTGACTGGTGCTCATAAGTAAATACAGGGCCATAAGAAAGGAGAAAAATTTAAAAAGAAATCGGCGATAACTCGTAAACGGGCTAATCAAAAATATCTAAAGTTATTCTTTTGAATGTGGGTTTTAGTGCTCTTCAATAAACCTAAATAGAATTACTTCTCTAAAATAATTAGGGAAGCCAATAATTGACCCCATTAAAATTTACATGGGATTTCCTATGTCCCGCTCGACGATGCAACACCCGGTATGTATACGGGATTTATTACGAATATGTAAGATAACCTCTATTTTTTAACGCATTTATTCAATAACTATATTAGAAAACCTTCAGAATAAATTCATTTATATCTCATCCCGTTTTGATTAGCATTATTATAGAAAAAAATTAAATATCGTCAAAAAAATTATCATACTCTTCTTAATTTTGGTTTATTATTATAAGTGATACCAATTAAACTTTTAGATACGTAATCGAGGACGCGATTTTTAAATTCATTGTTACCAACCATGAACATATTCGGCGCCAGGCTGACTACCGGTCAAGCTTAATCACGTAACTAAAAGTTAAATTTGAAATTTGCCAACCAAAAAAAAACAAAATCGGAACAGCCAACTGTTTCAATCATTGTCAGAATATTTTCTATAGACCAAAATAAAAATATATTAAATAAAAAAAAATAAAAATAAAAAAGAGAAAAAAAATGCACAACACTGCAAAACAAACTATCAATATCTTTCTAAATATAATGAGATATTAGAAAATGAATATGAAATTCTTAGAGAACGTTCTCCAAGTAATTATAAAAATGAAAATATGATACACACGTAGATAAAAGCAGTCCTAGCAGTACTTTACAGTAATAATTTTTCATAGGTACTACAAAAAAATGTAGTTAATAATTAAAAACCTAAATGTGTGTTACCGAATACTAGTTAAAACCCCAGTCCCAAAATGCCCCACCCACCACGCGGTAGTACTGAACCCAAATACATTTAAAAGATTATACTGCGGCCTTCCCATATAAGCACTGAGAGGATTTATGTTCCAGTATTGAAGGAGAAAAAAATCAAAAAATATCTGTAAGAGTGTCCCAAATAGGTAAAAAATATCAAAGTTGTATTTTTTTAAATGGAACACCCTATATATTATTACATTTTTAGTTTCTACGATTAAAATAAAGGTAAATTTGATTAAGATTTATTATACTTAAACCTTACCGTTTTTGAAATATTTTCAATTTTGTGAAATTGCAGTAAAAATTTTAAGGCTTCATTTCTCCAAGGTATCAAAGTTTTTAATACTAAATATTTACTGAAGTTTATTTACTGATCAGTTATTGTGTTGCAATAATAAAAATAATACTACCTTATACAGAGTGTCTAAAAATTTATTTTAAATAATTATTAGCTTCAAACGGCAATAACTTGTTTAATTTAAATGGAACACCCTGTATATTTTACGAGAATCAGATGCACAATTTAATTGTCTATCAAATTATATTATACCATTTTTACCTATCTCTTTAAGTTTCCGTAGAAAATGCATTTTCTTGTAATTTAGAACTTATTTATCAATATACCTATGGAATACTGACATTTTAGATTATTTTTAAAGATGTACCAAATTTTTAAAGAGTACAGATACTAATATGTCGATATAATTCGTTTATTTCATTAAAAAATAAAAAAAAACTGTTTAAATATTTGTTAAAGAGGTCCAATTAATATGATTCCAGTATTCAAACTACATTAACTGAGTGTTTGCGTTGATTAATAATAATTGCTCCAAATACTAAAATACTGAATTTTGTATGGGCATTAGACAGTGTGATAAAAAGTAACACCTTAAAAATGATATCTCATTTTTTAATAAATGCTTATTTATAACAACAAAGACTTTAATTTGATAACTTATTATTATATTGATTTCTGACTCAAAAATCCACATTTATTTATAATAATTTATTAACGAACACAATTAAGTATGTCATTAATTAGTATATGGGCGGAAATAATGGTGTTATATTTAATTAATGGTATACTCTTTTATAAAGATTTAAATAGTTTTCTTTTTGCATACAAATGGGCTAGTAATATGTACATTTTGTACATTTGTTGCTTTAAAAACAATCTAAAATGTCAATATTCCATGGATATATTGATAAATGAGGTCTAAATTATAAGAAAATGCATTTTCTACGAAAACTTGAAGGGATAGGTAAAAAATGGTATAATACAATTTGATAGACAATTTAATTGTGCATCTGATTCTCCTAAAATATACAGGGCATTTCATTTAAATTAAAGAAGTTATTGCCGTTTGAAGCTAATAATTATTTAAAATAAATTTTTAGACACTCTGTATAAGGTAGTATTATTTTTATTATTGCAACACAATAACTGATCAATAAATAAACTTCATTAAATATTTAGTATTAAAAACATTGATACCCTTGGAGAAATGAAGCTTTAAAATTTTTACTGCAATTTCACAAAATTCAAAATATTTCAAAAACGGTAAGGTTTAAGTATAATAAACATTAATCAAATTTACCTTTATTTTAATCGTAGAAACTAAAAATGTAATTATATACAGGGTGTTCCATTTAAAAAAATACAACTTTGATATTTTTTATTTATTTGGGACACTCTGTATCTTGTAAAAATATTTTTAAATTGTAGCTCTAATAGTCCTTCAACGAACCCGAAACTTACAATTTGTAAAAATCTCATCGTTTAGCTACAATACTCCGTGTCGTATGTGGTGAACAACCCTGTATATTCATCAATTAAAATGTTGGAAGTAATTTCGTGTGAATCCATTAGACCTTTAAGCGGCAAGGATTTATTTTGAGATTTAAAAAGTAATACCTTGTAAGTAATTATATAGGGTGGTCAAAATTAAAACGGATCAAGTCTAGTTTCCTACTATTTTAAGATCATCTTTAATGTTTAATTTAATTTTATACATATATAAAATATTGTTTTTTTCCAGTACCACTTCAAGCATTAAACAGCTATAATATCCTGTTTCTGTCTGGTTTCTGAATATTCTGTTGATTCCTTTCAGAAGTGAACAGGATCAAGTCCATTAAATTTAACGCTGCGCGCGATTTTAACACACGCGATAAAATTTAGAGCTAAAAAAATATATTTTTTTGATAAAATGGACAACAATGAAACAAACTCTGAACCACTTGCACCAAGTGAATCAGATTATCAGTCATCTGAAATGTCTGATTCTATCGATTATGAAACTATAGTTTGATTTATCATTATTTTCACTATTACTACATCAATAAGTTAGGCTATACTTTTCTGACGTTTGAAAAGAAATTTCTCTACTACGCATAAGCGTAACAGTACCAACAACGGTTCTCTGCTATGTTTGGAACGAACCATCTATATCCATCCTTCAATACTGGGACGAGAATTTAACGGTACCCGCGGTATAAACTTTTATATAGGTATACGACTGACCCTTATCAATGTAGTACTGAAAAATGGCGGCCATACCTAAAGATAATGCTGTCGAGATCGAACGGGTACTCTATGATTCCGGTAGTGGGCGCCCTAGCTCGGAGGATGTCCTGCTCGGTGGGCAGGTAGTCGGCCGCCCTTATCCGTTCCAGATCGCTAAGATAACTGTAACCAACACAACAAAGCATGCCACATGCAGCAAAGTCTCTCTGTAGAAGGGGGGAAGGTATGCAGGGTGTCAAAAAAAATTGTGTATCTAATTATGGTGGGCGATTCTACAGATAAAAATAAAACACAACGTTCCTATGAATTATTAGGGTGTCCGTTATTTACCAAGTTGATCATTTCTCTCACGGCGCCCTCTAAATTTTTAGTATTGTCTAAAAAATATAACAGACCATTGTAAACCCTTAATATTCACAATAAACCGTGCCCCAAAGACGATTCATTTCCCATTTAAATTACATGGGAATTTACCACTTTTTGCAAATATTTTTTTTCTCTCGATCTTGTTCTTTCGCAGCCATGATAATCACATATTCTTATAAAGAATTGAACGCTCTACAAAAAAGTCTTTTACAATTTTTCGATAAACCTACTCATTCAAAAATTATTCACGGTTAAAGTTAACCACTCGGTAAATTCCTAAATTCTTCAACTTTCTTGACAAATCATAATACGCCGTAGGCCGCAGGCCTATTTTGATTGCGTTGGTTAGTCTCCGGGGTAAGTTTTTTTTTGTTTGGGGTAAGTTTTTTTGCACGCGAAATACCTTATATATAAGTAGCAATTTTTAACAGAGATGAGATGAACTTACAATTAATTTTAAAAATACATATTTGTATTTTAGATGTTTTAATAATATGAATTAGTTGAACTTAATAATCATATTTAAGTAATGTGGTTAAGTAAATTGTTGTCGAACTCAAATTTTGGGGTGAGAAAATTAAATTGAAAGTTTTACACGTGCCAATTTAAGAAAAAAAGTTAACAATGTTTGTATTTTGTTTATGCTAATTCTCTTACATATAGTTTTTTGCGAAGAAATATTTCATTTATGTTTTAAAGTAAATGCCAGCAAAAGTAAATATTATTTTTAAATAATAATATAAAGTAATAAAAAGTAATATAAATAATTTTGATTTCTAATTTTTTATTTATATTTTCCTTCCATTACACTGCATGCTTAGAAAATTAATAAATATTTATATTTCATGATTTTAAAATTTGTTGTTATTATAACAAATTAGTTCTGTAATTATTATTATTTAATAAACCAACGTTGCCATTTAGAGACTATATTATTTTTAAATAGGATCTAATATAAATACTTTTGACTTCTATTTGTTGTTTATATTTTGCTACTACTTAAAACAAATGTTTATATTATTAAATGATTGTAAATTTTGTTGTTAATAGGTATAACAAATTATTACTGTTATTATTATTTATTAAACCAGTCTTTGCTTAAAAACATTAAAAATCATTTTCCTACATCCAAAATAAAAAGTATTATTGCAGTGTAACAACAGAATATTAATAAAAAAATGCAAAACATATAGAATATTATATTATTTTATACTTAATATTTTATTATTTTTTTTTCATACTATCCCTAACTAACTAATGCTAAAGAATAATATTCTTTGCTAATACCAACTAATACGAATATATGGCAACAGCGCCCTTCATAATATATTTTCTGTGTAAATACTAGCACCTCATTAAAAAAAAATAATGTGTCCTTATCTTTATTTGACTCCGCAAAAATCAAAAGATGCCGGCTTCTTTCATAGCATTGCCACCGACCGCTGTCGGGTTTCTAGGAAAAAAGCTACGTCGCCGGACGACAACTAAAATCCAGTTTATATTTTATTAAAATCGATCCTGACGAATAAATGAATTTGATAAATGAATGAATTTTATAAATGAATGGTTTTTGCTGCCGAATTACTAGAATACAATATTTCAAGGCAGATGACGCATCTATTCGATAATTTTTATTCGAATAGTTTTCGACGAATGTTTTCTTACTAGCTATCGAATTATTCGAATGAATTGCAACTATCGAATGTTTCGATAGTATTCATTCGATAGTTCCCACTACTACAATAAACAGCGTAATAGAGAGATATCGCTAAACCGAATAGCGTACATGGACGTTAATAAGGCCAGGTCTTATTTTCTTTACGTGAGGTGGTATTAACTCTCTTCATTTATAGTTATCGGATCGGAAAGAATTCTGATCGCGTCGCGTCCGCTATTTAAACTTAACCTAACTTTGAATTTAAAACTTTGAAATTGTTTTGTTTACTAGGTATTTTAAAACTAAACGGCTAAAGTGCTTATTTCCAGTGCTTTATTGTTCAACGTCTGCCAGTGGGTTTAGGGCAACAAGCAACAAATTTTCTTAGAAGGGCTAAGTCGTCATCTGCAGTAAACCTAAGACTCTTTATAGGTTCTTTAGTATTGGAAGAGGTGGAATCCATATTTTGAGCCATATTTATTTAATTAAAACTAATCCCAGCTACTTAAATATCAAATTACCTAATAAAACTAAAGTAATAATTCAAAACAATTCAAACATAACTTAAAATAAAAGATCTCGCCGGCCGGCTCGGGTTGTCAAATACCCGCACATGCCCATTTAAGCAATTTTTAAACGTTATCAGAGGTTATTTAGAAAGAACGCTTGGTGTAATTGATCCGCAAATTACATCAGGCGGTAACGTTATTAGCGGGTGTTCCGTTAAAAATTGACTCGCGCATATCGTAACCATGATAAGGTACGCGTAAATACTGGATGGCGCTATTCGGTTTTCCGATATCTCTCTAATAACTGTGCCGGTCAGGCGCTGTGCACAATTTTAGAGGCCATAAGTGGGCGTGCTATGTGTGCAAACTAGTCACCTAACTAGTGCCCGATTCCGAAAATTGGAACCACGAAAAACAATAAAGAAAAAACAAAGATTATAAGCTGTATAATCTGTGATAACAGTAGAATACTAAATGCGCTTGCGTAGAAAAAATCCGTAGGTTAGCAAAAATGCTTGTAAAAATAAATTCAATAGAAAAAAAAAATTGCCGAACTTGAAATTAATTAAGTACTGCAAAAGAATACAAGATCAAAAATAATAAAGTATTAGAATTAACTACCTATCATGCATTAAATTGTTTTCGATGATTCAAAATTGTTTATCATGAAAATTGTTTTTTTTTAAATATTAAATTAAATTTTTCAAAATAATTCATAATTTTGTCAAAAAAGTTGAAAAATTTAGGAATTTACCAAGTGGTTAACTTTAACCGTGAATATCTTTTGAAGGAGTAGGTTTATTGAAAAATTATAAGAGACCTTTTTTGTAGAGCGTTCAGTTCTGTACAAGAATATGGGACTGTCATGGCTGCAAGAGAACAAGATCGGGAGAAAAAAAAAATTATTTGCAAAAAGTGGCAAATTCCCATGTAATTTAAATGGGAAATTAATAGTCTTTGGGGCAAGGTTTATTGTGAATATTAAGGGTAATACAATAGTCTGTTATTTTTTTAAACAATAAACTAAAAATTTAGAGGGCGTCGTGAGAGAAATGATCAACTTGGTAAATAACGGACACCCTAATGAACATATGCCCTAAATTGGTTCCTGAAGAAGGTACAGCACTCAAAAATGCAAATAAAAATATTATATTTTGTTCGTTTTTTACGACTATTGGTAAACCATTTTTCTTCAATTTGGCACTCTTACACACATTTTAATTCCAAAGCGAATGACGATAGTGTAAAATTCCGGAGCCCTAAAACAGTACTTTCCGTTATGGTAGAGAGTACTACTGATGGTCCTTTTTTATCCTTACAGACAGACAGAGTAATTAGATAAGATACAGAGTAATTAATAAGATATAAATAAGCAAAAAATAAATACCCTTTACACCGACTTACGGTTACAGGGAATATTCATTACAGCTCTTTAAAAATATTCAATCATCTTTCCCAAGAGTTGAAATGCATTAACAACAGGATCACTTTTAAAAAAGAAAATAAATTATTAATTGAAATGGTGATTTATATATTTTTTGTAAAACTTTTTACTGATTTTTTTCCGTAAAAAGATGTAATCATAACGTAAGTATGTGGAATAATTGTTTTGATTTGTTTTTGTCAATTTTCTGACGCACATTTCATCTATAATGGCGTCTATTACATACTTTGTATTATAATTGTACAAATATTATTATTATTAATGTAAAGTACCCTCTCAGGACTGTTCCGGAATTTCACACTATCGCCAGTGTAAGAATTACCAAATTTCAAGAAAAACAGTTTACCGTTGTTCTAAAAAATGAACAAAATATTTTTATTTACCCTTTTAAGTAACTTCATCGGGAATCATTTTAGGGTATTTATGTTAAGAGGGACTTTTTGTTTTATTTTTAACTGTAAAGTCGCTTACCGAAGTTTATATTGATATTTAGTTTCTTGACACCCTGTATAAGGACGAAAAGAAAGGGCGGTTATAAGTTTATAAAATTTATCGTTATGCGTTGTTCAATATGGGACAAACCGATGCCCTTGTATAGTATTTCCGAAGTCAAATGGAAGTATTGAGACTCTTAATTCCTTTGTCCGGACGATGCCAACAAAGACAGTGCCGAAATTAAGAGTCCCAATCTATTCCAACTGACTTCAGATAAACTATTCCTACTGTAAATCAGTTAAAATAACCAATAGGAAGAAAGTCAAGTATTTTATTTATATACCGTGTGTTACACCGTCGACCTGAACATAGGAAAATCCGTAAAAAATCTGCCCAAGTAACCTTTACTTTAAGTAGAGACGAGTGCTCCCCAGTATACTTAAACAACACACTAATTCGGCAGTCTTCCTCTAGCAAATACTTAGGTACGCACCTGGATACTAAAACATACCTGGAAAGAACACATGGTAAAGAAACCTAAGCAAATAGATTTGATAATAAAAGACTTATATTGGTTGATAGGAAGAAGATCTAAACTATCGCTAGAGAATAAAAAAAAAAACTTCTTTTATATAAAACTATAATACCAATTTGGACATACAAATCAGAACTCTGGGGATGCGCTAGTAAATCAAATATAGCCTTAATAGAGAAGAGTCAATCCAAAATCCTACAGATGATAACAGACGCACTATGGTATGTTTCCAATCATACTCTACACGACTTAAAAATTCCGTACGTCAAACAAGTCACCCAAACTCTGAGCAAAAAACATTTCAATAGACTAAATGATCACACCAATACCTTACTTCAGCGTCTACTTGAACCAGAGTACCTACAAGAAGACTTAAAACTAAAAGACAAAGGCCAACTGATTTGAAGGAATATTAAGGAAAATTTTGCACTGGAGTAGACCTCATCACATTGACTGGAGCGTCATTGCTCTCAAGTCATCAATTATTCTGATTTCTAATAAATCATAAAGAAAACACAACTGAACAACAAATTCGTATAAATTATTCAAAATGGACAAAAAATTTGCTCAACTTTAAGAGGTTCATTAAAACGTGTCATTCATAATTTTTAAAATTCACATAGCATTTCCTATGTTCAGGTCGACCATGCAACACACGATATAGGCTAATTCCATGGTATTTTTAATAAGAAATTTGATTGATACAAAATGTTTTTGTAGTTTTTAAAAAAATACAAAAACAAACTAATATATTTTTGCCTTTAATCCTTATCAATTTGAAAACATAACATTTCTTCTATTGTAATATTTACATCCATGGAACCAGCATGGTATACAGTGTCTCAAATTGCACTAAACTTATAACAATACATTATATCCTGAGTCAAATTGAATATATTTTTTATCATACCTTTCATGACACGTTTATTTAATGTTAATCATACAAAATGTTGTTAAAATTTAGTTTCAAGCAAACCAAGACACTGTATAAAGAATTTTGTTTGAAGTTGATTCAAGGACTCAGGGATAATACTAACTAATTTTATTACTAAATTATATAAAATATAATTAAAAAAAAAAAAAAAAAAAAATACTATCTAATTAGTATAGGGATGTCACATCCTAATTCCGCAAAACACCTCCAGGTTTTTTTTTCGCTAAGTAAAAAAAAAGTACAACTGGCAACATCGCCCAAATAGACAACAGTGCTCAACATCGAAGTACACCTGTGTTTGTGATTGTTAAACAAAATGTCGGAGCTAAGCTCATGCTTCGCGCGGTGCTCAAAAAATTTATGTTACAGCCACTCTACGTATAAATATATTTATTTAAAAATAATAATAAATAAATCACAACATACTCTCTTTTAACGCAATTAAAAAAATAAAGGAAAATTTAACCAAACTTGACTATGCCTTTTGTTTATAGCCTATATTTGAAGATATTCACATCGCTCAGAATTTAGGAACACTTTAAATACAAAAAATTTAAGTCTGTATTTAAATGAAAAATAATATACATTTAAGTTGCATTTAAACAAATACAAACATAGCATTATTCCGATGCTGGCGACTAGGGAATGCAATCCCGCACCAAAATCTCAATCCCGCAAACCCGCGGGATTAAAGCAATCAATCCCGCGAATCGGCAAAATTGCCGGATTGTAAACAATAAATGCTCTTCTTTTCTCTCTCCGATTTTCGGATGCGGTTTGGACCAGGTTTTAGACGCATCCATTGTGATTAAGATGCTACGTGGTTTCCAAAAATATATTTAGCGAATTCTCGTATACAGGGTGTTTTATAATTGTGTACATATTTGGTCAAGAATCTTTTTTACCGAAATTTACAATTTTTGAAAAATCGAAATTTTAACTATGTACGACTAATCTCTATTGAAATTAGAAAAAACAATTTGGTGTTTTTTTTAATTATTTGTTTTAAAGAAAATACGATTTTTTTTCGAAAAATATGCATTTATAGTCATACATTTTGTCCTAAATAGTACAAAAGGCATTGTACATTTTGCATAGGCCCACAATATATTGATATAGCGTGTATCTTAAACTATCTGTACAGAAATTTGGACCGATGTATACAGGGTGTCCAAAAAATATATTTAATATTAAATAAACTTAATTTTTTTATAATTTATCTACTTTTATTTTATAAATAAAAATATTATTGTGATGTTGAAGTTTTTTTAACTTGTGTTAGTTATCTGCTCTCAGATACACTCTATATCAATAATTTTTTGGCATATACAGAATGTACAAAGCTTTTTGTATCATTTAGGGCCATCGTATAAAAAACGTCGTATTTTCCTTAAAACAAAAAAAAATAAAAAACCGATCAAACTGTTTTTTTCTAATTTCAATACAGATTAGTCGTACTTGGTAAAAATTTCGATTTTTTAAAAACTGTAAATTTGCGGTAAAAAAGATTCTTAACCAAATTTTCACTGCAAAATAAAAACACTAAATCACCACAATACACCAAAAAAATTTTACTTTTACACTGGACGCGCGTTTCGCTAAACATATTAGCATCATCAGCAGATGATTATAAACTAACTCTAACTAGTAAAGTTAGTTTGTGAAAGTAAAAACGCGTCCAGTGTAAAAGCGTTTTGGTGTATTGTGGTGATTTAGTGTTTTTATTTTGCTGTGTAACACCAAAGGTTCCTACCCTCAACTGTAATCAAATTTTCACTGTTATAAAACACCCTGTATACGAGAATTCGCTAAATATATTTTCATATTTTCGGAAATCACATAGTATCTTAATCACAATAGATGCTTCTAAAACCTGGTCCAAACCGCATCCCAAAATCTTTTTTAGTTCAAGAGATATTCCACTTTAAATTTACCCTAAAATTTTGCTTGTCCCGACAATTATGTCCGGCAGTTTATTTGACGTAATTGTCCACAAGTACTAGTTAAACGCTTTTCTTCACTTAGGCACGCCAGAAAGAAATCTAACAATTAACCTGTTTGATTCACTTATTTTTAACGGCCAAGCCGTAAGGGGAATCCCCTGGTGTCGATCCCGCACGGTAAATCCCGCAACTTTGATTCCGCGGAATCACAGAGGGATCCAGCTTTTGCGGGATTGCATTCCCTATTGGTGAAGCCATAAAAAATACCCTGTATAGCTACTAGAAATATAGCTAAGTATTAATAAAGTTATATTCACTCCAGTTTTTAACCACTTTTCGGATATAGTGTTTTTAACCAAAGTTTTAGTAAATAGACATAGAATAACAACACCGCATAGTGCTGGAAATAAAAATAGTGTACTATAGCAGAATTTTATCCTAAATCCTACTATTTTTCATATCTAAGATATTTTTTATATCGAAGATATGAAAAAAAGTTTTATACAGATGTTACATGTATGTATATGTATGATCACAACAATAATATTGTACTTCCTCGCACTAATGGGCAACCCTGTATATATGTACATATAAAAAGTTGGGTTAAGCGACAAAAATATTTGTTTTATAATGATATCATTTTTGTTTTAAGAGAGTATATTGCGTAGAAGTATCCGATTTTTTTTAAATCTCTTGCGATTCCCACTGTACCTAAACCTAATCTCGTCAAGGTCAAACGGGTACTCGATGATGCCTGTAGTTGGTACCCTGACGCGCAAGATGTCCTGCTCGGTCGGCAAGTAATCGTAGTCGGCCACTCTATCTATTTCCATCAAATAGCTACAAGATACACAGGGATGATTTAAAATTTCTCGGTTCTGAGCACCCTTACTTACCGCAATCGTACGACTTTTTAGAGTTGATCTAGCCAGTTTGAACGTTTGCATCATAATTACCTCAGATCTGGGTGTCAGATCTGGCCAAAAGAAACATATTTTCTCTTTACCGTTTTTAACATAAATTGATAATAACCGAGTTATTTAACTTTGGAAGTTTAAAAAAATAATGGCAACATTTTGAGAGCCACCAGCAGCAATCGATGTCCCAAATTCCAAGTAATTACCACGATCTTAGCTTGTTCGACGCCCAGTGTTGACAAATTGATTAGAAAGATTTAAGAACGACTTGGAAAATTCAGATTAAAAGTAAAAACTTACAGATCGATGTAATTAGGTTAAAGCGTCGTTTCATCCCTTTGAATAAGAAGACTAAGGAAGGAGCATATCAAAAAAGACCATACCATAACTTGGTATACTGATGCTTCCAAAACCAATACGGGAACAGGGATCGGAGTGTTTGGGCCGAGAGCTAATTACTCCGAACCAATGGGCACTTACCCTAGTATCCTACAGGCAGAAATCTACGCTATCGAGAGATGCGTACAACTTATCTTAGATAGGAACTATCGGAAACAAGAAATAGCCATCTTGTCTGATAGTCAAGCAGCGTTAAAGGCGATCAACTCAGTATCAATCAATTCGAAATTGGTCAAAGAATGCATAGAGAAGCTGAATAAATTAGGCAAAGAAAACAAAGTCCTCCTACACTGGGTGCCTGCTCACCAAGGGATAGAAGGCAATGAAAAAGCAAATAATCTAGCTAGGAAAGGAGCGAACACTCCACTAACTCGACCAGAACCGTTCTGCTTTCCAAGTGGTAACCAACTCAAGGCGGAACTCAAGAACTTGGAAGATTCCATCCGCAACCTGGAATGGAAATCTTGCAATGGTCTAAGACACTCGAAGAAGTTTCTGAGGGCTTATGATCAAGAAAAATCACAGATCTTCCTGGGTCTGAGTAAGAACAATCTTCGGATTGTCACGGGGTTTTTAACAGGACACTGTCTCCTCAATGAACACCTCAGTAGATTGAAACAAAGAAGAAACGGCGAATGCAGATTCTGTGGGGAAGATGGGGAAACACCAGTACACCTCATCACTGAGTGCGCCGAGACGACAACCATTCGTGCCATGAATTTTGGTACGACTGATATTGGAGATGGAGAACTACCCTCTATAAAACCGTCCCAGATACTGGCTTTTGTCAAAGCCCTGGGACTGTATGATGAGTTATGATTCAAGAAAGGGGGACACAATGGATCTGTAAGGTCGAAGTGATTAACCCCCCTCCCACTCATTCTAAATTCTAAAATTCTAAATCCCTTTGAATAAGAAGACTAATGAAGGAGCATGTCAAAAATCTTAGGTCCACCGCATGGGACTCAAATATGTCCGACTTAAATTCCGGTTTATCAGTGCCGTTTTAATTTTATTTAAAAAATATAAAACATGATGTAGGGTAGACGTGGGGTAGACTAAATAATTTTTATTTTATTTTACGTTGTGAATATATGTTGGTAGTTATTAAAATTGTTATAAAAACATATTATTATAATAAAAATAGATAAGTTTTAATAATTATTTATTAACACAAACATCCGATACGCTACCGAAGCAGGTAAGTCAAATTGACGTATCTAAATTCTTTGACATCTAATCTTTGGCAAATAGTAAATAAAAGCAAAAATGCAAGAATAAATATATAATTAGTTAATTTAAGTGAATTTCATAAATGATCAGTTTACTACCCGTATGTATATTATATAGTCACTTACTAGCGAAAAGTTGTTCCATTATTTCACTCGATTTTTGCCGAGATCTACCGCACGCTACACAACCAACTATTTTAGAGTCTTTTTCGATAAATCGCGATAGTGTCACTGTTAATTTAAGTTCTGCCACAATTTCCATCTAGATTTACTACCTTTATACAACTATCAGTAGTAGAATAAATAATAAATAACATAAAATAAGCTCCGTAAAGACTGACAAATCCACAAAATTTCAAATCAAATTCAAATGTGTCAAATGAATCGTCAAACCGAACTGTCAAGGATCCCCACCCTAGAGTCCTTTTTCCGCCCACCATGCATGAATAGATGGATAGCATTATTCTCCTTCCTTAGTCTTCTTATTCAAAGTTTCATCCTTTACCTAAAACCGCAACTCTACACTTAACAACACTTCATATCACTGCGATTCTTGACAATACTATAATTAAATACCCACGTGTATTTGGCTCAAAATACATTCATATGCCATCTGAACTAATTTAAACTCCTCTGTTCTTCTATTTCACACTCTTGTTTTTGTAAATAAACACCAAAATAATTGATATTTCTATTTGAATCATAAAAGTATTTTTACAGGCTTACCTTACAATTGCCTATTTCTTTTTTAGTTTTGTCAGAGGTTTACTGTTTTGAGTAAAATCTCAAATGAATTGGATAACCTAAAATTATTATTGTTCATTATTTAGAGTTTCATTATTTCAGTTTGCCAAACTGTAAAAAAGCATTTAAAGTAGTAGTATTTTTTTTTGTATAAATTTAAGAATGTGAACTTATAACTTATAAACATATAGAATGTGGATAACGTAGAGAGGTGGCAACATTGCATTCTCTCAAAGCACTATAAACAAATTGCCGGAAACTGAACAAGCGGCCCTCGAAAGTTTTTAAATGTTTTCCAGAAAATGACAAGAAAAACATAAAAATTTCAATTTTTTTTCACGCAAAAAAACTTCACGGGCGTGTTTCTGGGGTCGAACTAAATTAAAATACTTGCAGTTATTTCTAGGACACCCTGTATAGCCTGGTACAACAATCATTCACGTTACGTCATCATTGTTTTAGTGCCTGAAGAAGCGACAATAAAGTAACGAAACGTCGCCTAAAACATAACTGTTTCCTTTGAGCAGTGATGCCAACTCATGGGAAATTTCCCGATTCCTAGGAAATTTCGAGGTCAAGAGGGAAAAGAAAAATTTTAACCCAAAACACCATATTCGTCTTGGTGGGAAATTCTATTTCAGAAAGTTGGCAACACTGCTTTTCCCAAATACTCACGATTTTTTTAAACGATAATTTTCAAACTGGCTAGATCAATAATTAATTGATTTGAAACAATAATTTACGGTAATTCAAATATCATACCATACCCTCTAACACATTTAAGAGCTATAGAGATTGAAACCTGCACACAAAAAAAAACTGTTCGACATATTAATTAATGTATTTTTTAAAGTAAGGTTATACTTCAATATAAAGTGAAATAAAAATGAGGGACAACGAAAAGGTTACTCACTATTTAGCTGAATCTGTCAGCTGGTACTCCCGGCGGCGGTCGTAACATTCCTGTATTCCTGTGTCGTTCCAGAGATCTTTGATAGCTTCTACGTAGGGGGGTTCGAATGTTGTCACTGTTTCGTAGTCGATGCTCTTTATCAGCTCAGCTTTGTCCTGAAAATACAAAAATAAAAAGTATAAAAAAGAGAAAGAACTGAAAGAAGAAAAAATAACAGACAGAAATAACAAAATAAAAAAAATAAAGAAAAATATAATAATATTAAATTAATAATTTTACTACACACTACACACTCGTTTTGGCACAAACCAAAAGAAAAAAACAGTATTTTAAATTTCAATACAGAGAGCCATGGCTGTGTTAACGATTTTGAAATACTCTAAATACAAAATATGTTCATTTTTTAATTCTCCGACTATTAAAAAAAAATCAATATACAAGGTGTACCAAAAAAAACAAAGAAAATTTATTTTATATTCTAGAAAGTTTGGCGTAGATTTTTGAACACCTTGTATGATTTAAGATTACGACCATCTATAGCAAAGTAAATACAGACCATCTAAAGTAAATACCTAATATAGTTTGATTTCAGGACAGTTCTTGTAATTTTAATAACTTTTTAAGACTGGAAAAAAAATATTTTTTATTTATTTATTAATATCTCTAAAACTTAAGATTATGTAAAGTGATCTGAAATGAAGCCAAAAATGCAATAATATACAGGGTATTCCATTTAAAAAAAAACATGCCGATCCACTCACACTTTTTTGAGCACTCTGTAGAAGTTAAAATATTTTCCTGAAATACATCCTAATACATACTTTAGGTTTGCACTTATACAAAATTCCTAAGTTTTTTTATTATTTACAGATGCCTGACGCACTATTGCCGTACCTTGTATAGCGGGTGCATCTCAAAAGCGGCTCACCCCTATAACTTCTTGATTTTTACAGATAAAAAATTGACATTTGGTATGTTAGTCTATGACATAAATTAGGACTGATTGACGTATTTCTTTGTTTTCGATCACTTCCTGTTTTACCGGAAATGATTACAACTTTTGATTTTTAAGTGGCACCCACGGTATTTTGTTACTTTATTCGATAGAAAATGACACTTTAAATATGACATATATATGTCAACTTTTGACATTTTCGAATACGGTTTATTTGAAATTGCAGCATGCGATTCATAACGATAATTTGAGTCGAAATATCAAGTGTGTGGTACCAAATTATTCATAAAAAAAATGCTTTTCCAAATATGCTAATGAGCAACCTCGTTCCATTTGAAAAAATTCAGATATGATTAAAAATATGATTTGGGCATCCTTTATCCAGCCAGGACACGACACTAAAAACATTAGACGATCAAATCTATTTTTCCAAGACTCCTTGATTAAAAATTAGTGTTTTTAATGCAGCCATGGCACTCTAGATTGAAACTTAAAATTCAATTTTGTCTTCAGCGAAAATGTCAAAAGTTGACGAATAAAGCTATTGAATAAAGTAAAAAAATACCGAGGGTGCCATTTAAAAATCGAAAGTTGTAGTAATTTCCGGTGAAACAGGAAGTGACCAAAAACAATTGAATACGTCAATCAATCTAATTTATGTCATAGACTAACATACCAAATCTCGTTTTTTTTATCTGAAAAAATAAAATATTACATGGGTGAGCCACTTTCGAGACGCACCCGGTATGTGAATTCTAAAAGCTAATTATTTAACAAAAAGAATGAATACCACCTGAATTACTCAACGGCAAAGTATTTTTATCGACTCCCTGGATTTTCCAGAATAATTTTCGATAATAAATTTAAAACTGAAAATCCAGATAATCTCGTATTTAAAACTTTAATTCCATTAGAGTAATATTTTCACTGAAAACCTATAGTATACGTGTTCAGTATGTAGAATTTACTTACGTTAGATTTAAAAATAGATGCTCTGTTAAGACATAAGAAATTTAAACATACTGAACATGGCTAAGTAATTTTTTATTCAAAAAATTCTCAAAAAAAAACTAATTATTAATTTCTTTGTAGGACTAGAAAAAGGTATTTTTCTTTCTTTGGATTCTTTTTGTAAAACTAAAAAAAATACCTACTGTGAATTACATAAATAATAGATATGTATGCAATTTGCTGAATATAAACAAACTTCAGATAAGTGACCTTGAATGTATTTTAGGTGAATCACTTTTTCCGGTAAATATATGGAAAACATGTCTTTATTATGTTAAAAATGAAAATATCTATCATGTTTGTAGATAAATGTTAATAAATTTACATTGTTTGCTTATTAACTAAAATCTATTTAATTAAATGAATATTTATAATTCATAAAAAATTCGGTTTTTCATAAAGGAATACTTTCAAATGAACAAACTTAATAACTTATGATAAGAATTAAAATATGAAGAATAAACCTTGTAATTTTTAGCAGGGCTGCACCGAGTACCGAGTAGTTCGGTGCTCGGCCAGAATTTTAACCGAGTAGTATGTACTCGGTGCTCGGCCTTACTCGGCCGAGTAAAGTATAGTAATAGAAACAATCCATTTATGCATGTCCAAAACAGATAGAAATAAGACTCACAGTGGCAAATCATAAAATAAACAAAAAGCTATTTATTCATAACTTTAATTAATGTATTTTAGTAAAGTAATAATAATAAGTATAAGTAATAACACAAACACAGTGAAATAGTAATTTAATACTTATAATCTAAAACAGGTCAGCACTGTCACTCTTTTTAATATAACTTTAAAGGGTATTATTAATTGTTTGAATTATTTTTTACTTTTAAATTAGTTACACATATAAGTTTTGCTTAAAACAAAATCAACGTCGCCATCGAATCTTAAAAGAATCAATTCAGAATCCAGCACATTAAAAATATCAGTATGCATGGGGAACCACAGAATAAAACAATATCTCCATAAGTAAAATAAACCAGGTCATTGGTTTGTAGTCGGGGAATCCCAGCCGCTCGAAAATCATAGGCAAAACAAACACGATCATTGGTTTAAGGCCGGGGAATTCCGGGAATTTTAACTAGCTTTCTTTAATGTTAAATTATATATTTATATTTATATTATGTATAAAATATTATTATGTTATGGTGTATAGTATAACTAGTATATATTGATAAAAGTCGCATAACTGTTAAGACTATTAAAAACCCGACAATTCAACTACTCGGCAGCGGAGTACTAGGTACTCGGCCATTACCTTTAGCCGAGTACTCGGTACTCGGTCAAGTTAAAAAAACAGGGCTCGTTACAGCCCTAATTTTTAGGACACCATATAATCACAGAATACTTCAGCTATACAGAAACAACAGTAACGGTCGACTCCTTTGAAGCATGTGCACCAAATTTTGTGACCTTGAAGTTGCATATTTTCTATTTTACCAGAATAAAATGCACAATTTAATTGTCTATCAAATTGTATTATAATCTTTTTTACCTATTTCTTCAAGTTTTCGTAGAAAATGCTTCTTATAATTTAGACCTCATTTAAAGGAATATTGACACTTTGGATTATTTTTAAAGATGTAACAAATTTTCAAAAAGTACAGATACTTCTATTACTAAGATATAGTTCGCTTATTTCATAAAAAAAAAACTGTTTAAATATTTGTAACAGAGGACCAATTAATATGATCCTAATATTCAAATTACATTAATTGACAGTTTGCGTTGATTAATAATTGCTCCAAATACTAAAAAAAAACGGAATTTTGTATGTGTATTAGATATTGTTGTAAAAAGACTAAAAAGTAACATCTTATAAATTTTATTTAATTTTTTGACGAATACTTAATTACCTATAATAAATACGTTCACATTCATAACTTATTATTATACTGATTTCTGATTCAAATCTACATTAATTTAGAATAATTTATTAACTAACACAATTAAGTATGTAATTAATTAATATTGGGTGGAAATAATGGTGGTATATTTAATTGGTATACTTTTTTGCAAATATTTAAATAGTTTTCTTTTTCTAAACAAATAGGCTAGCAATATTATCGTTTTTAAAAACTGTACATTTTGCAAATGACAATATTCCATGGGTATATTGGTAAATGAGGTCTAAATTATAAGAAAATGCATTTTCTACAAAAACTTAAAGAGATAGGTACAACAAAATGCTATAATACAATTAGATAGACAATTAAATTGTGCATCAGATTCCCATAAAAATATACAGGGTCACTCTGTACAAGGTAGTATAATTTTTATTATTACAACACAAAATTTAGTAAACAGAAAAACTTCAGTAGAGTATTTGGTTTTAAAAGCTCCTAGAGAAATGAAGCGTTAGAGTATTAAAAAAAATAGCTTAATCATAAATAAATACGTACAGAGTTGGAAATATATAGCATTTTGAGTAACAGTTAAGCAGGCTATAATAGTTTTATAAATAAAAAAATTGGAGCTAATGTTGTGTTTAAAATGCGTGTATTCATAACTTTATTTTTGTTTTGACTACATTACACAATAGTTTAATAAAACATAAAATGTTTAATAAAACAAAAAATGTAGTAAAAAAGTCTATATTTACTGTCTTGAATAACTTTAATGTTTTAGTTAGCGTAAACTAAAATTATGTTATGCCAAAATTCTCCATGAGTTCCTTCTGAACCACCAGGTGGCTCTAAATGACAGATTTATGTGTTTTATTCAGTGTCTCCTCTATCTCTAGTGTATGACATTAGTCTATGGGCGGTACGATGTTAGCTAGGCTAGCTTGTATGATATAGAATAAGAAATATATTTCCAAAAACTTACTCGACTAGAATGTTCAGCGTACTGAATTTTCAGTAAATCCATAGCTTTGATCATACTCTGCATGGCCATAAAGATGTTCTGGTAGACCAGCTTGATGAAGCCGCGTTTATCCTCATCGGAGTAGCCCGCTCCATGGATAATTCTCATCTGCTTGATGAAAGTCGATTTGCCTGATTCTCCTGTCCCTAAAATATAAAAAAAATATATATACTTATATTTATACTATTAGGAAACTTCGGCAGCATATTCTGCAGATAAAAATAAGTTATAAAGTTTGTATAAATGTATGTTCTAAAATGCTTAGTTTCAGAGATACAGAGTGTAGCAGTTTCATTTTTATTTTGATTTTTTTTAAAATAATTTCTGAAGTTAATGTCAATATTTAGATGAAAATTGGTGACGATTGTGTGTGTGAAAGATTATATTATGTTCAATCCATAAAATTTTTCAATCCAAAAAAAATCTGCTCAAACAGTATATTAAATATACCGTACCAAGTAAAAGATAACATTCTAAGTAAACTTGTTTTTGGAACTATGGTAATTATATTGTAATTATTAAGACCCATTTGACCTAGGTCGCACACAGCAGATAAGATAAGGTATTTTGTTACCACTTGTTCAGATTAACTAAATGTCTGGGAATGTTATAAGATATATGACCCGCTGTATCTGCATGAAGAATTCTCCATTATCTGCAATAATACATGTTCCTAATGTTAATTAAGAATAAAATCATTTGGTAATGACTAATTAATTAGTGTTCATTCATTGTGAATGTTAAAGAGTGTTGATAATATATAGCCTAACATAAAAAGTAATCATTATAAAATATGATATGCATTTCTAAGGAAAATTAGAACACAAATAACAAACATAATGCCTTTTGTAATAATAAATAGCAGCAATATGATTCTTTTAACTGTTAAAGTCAGCTTGATGATAAAACTTATTAACTGTAGGTATATAGTGCAATCTCATGCAAATTTTGAATTGTTCCAATTGTATACAGCTTTTTTAAAGGTCTGGATATGCTGTAAACACATGCCGAATTTAAACAATTTTGGGCAAGTTGTTTTTAACTAATGAACAAGTTAACAATAACCAATTAACAGTAACTAAGAAAAACTGCATCTGTTTTCAAATTTAAACTGAACAGGTAACAATGCAGAACCAGGCAAATGACAACATATCTTAAGTTGTCAACTTACAACACATTAACCATAGGTACTGTAATATAGTAGTTTAGACAGTACAACAAATTGCATGCAATCATAGGTTGACAACAACTTAAGTTATGTAGACATTTGCCTGGTTTTTGCCTGTAGACTTCGCTGTAAAATCAACAGGAGAGCCAATAGGTATTAGGATAGTTCAAAATTTTCATGATGTTTCCTATGTATTTCCTTTCTTAGTTGATTTTGACATTTATGGATATGATGGTTAATCTGACATGAATTGCATATTGACAATGACATCTCAATGCAATGTAGAATATAATAGATGATGGTAAATGTTAATAAAGGGTATGGATAGGTGTTCGAAGGGTACGAATGGTATGTACGTATGTCTATGTCGAAGGGTTTGGTTCTGGTGGTTGTGTGGGTGACCTACCAAGCAGAAGAAGCTTGAGCTCGCGTCGGGCATCCCTCTTGTCCCTTCGCAGCTGCTTTTCAATTTCGGCATTAATGCGTTTTTGTTCCCGTGCCTCATCCGACTGACAACACTGCATGGTAGATGGGACCTGGCACTTCTGTCAGCTACCATTCACGCCGACCAATCAAAACACACACCCACTACAGACTGACACTTCCTGAAACGGCCATCACCACTAACTGGCACTGCTGGGTGTGGTGAACGATGCCCTTATAACGGCCTTATTTCGGGCTAATCTCGTTAGAGTAACAAGATTCGGGAAGCCACATCGAAAGTCCAATGTAAAAGTCGATTAGAGCGTCGCACTGGCCTGGCTACGGGCTCGAGTCGATCGCAACGTCTAGCGCCGTATAACGATTTAGACGGCTTTGTTTATGGAAGATGCGCGTTCTCCGGCTGAAAAACACACTCACGAACGCTCGCAGATGACCGAATTGTCCATGATTTCATTTAACACTGCTTTTAAAACAATTACACCTTAAAAAAAACTCCATTTCACACGAAGGTGTACAGACAGCTCTTGTCAATATGGCGCTGCCCTGGCCGCTAGCGAGCTGGTTGCGCAGGACAGGAAATCCGCAGCACAGTTTTTGGCGCTCGTTTAAAAATGGCGATACACTTTTCGCAAAATTTGCAACATTTAAAATCGCCAAAACCGGCTAGTTTTGAATAAAATTGGTAAAAATTAACACAAAAACAATATATTCTTTGATAATTAACATAATCCAATAAATATAATCGATTGAAAAGGAAATAAACGCAAATTTTCCAGGAAAGATTCAAATGACATTAGCATTAATATTCGATTTTATAGCGGCTTTTTATAGTTGAATTGTGTAATCCTATATAGCTAATTGGATTTAGTTTTCACTTTTTGTAAGCAATAACTTCCAGTTTTTATAGGTCAATAACAAAATATTTAAATAACTATTTTTTAGATAATGTAATTATGCAACTAAAAAAAATCTATAAACTTATATTTATTAATTCGTACTTGCATTTTTAAATATCTTGAAGTTGCAATGGTTTTCGCTATAATTTTCTCAATGGTACGATGAATATTTATCAATGATATTCGCAAATAAAAAATAAAAAAAACTGCCAAATGTTTATTGATTCTACACCGCACACAGCTGATAAATGTCAGGAACCTGTCACCGGAGACATCTCTACTGTCATTGTCAGCTGTCACGATTTCTAACCTCTCAAATTTCAGCAATTTTTCTAAAAACCGTTCTTTTCCCGAAATGTCCAAAAAACGTGGAAATAAGAAAAATAAGGACCTCGAAGATGACTTTGGCGAAGAAGTCTCCACTCCTGTAGCTGAGAATAACACCAAGAATAAATCGAAGAGCACCAAGAAGGGCAAAAAAGGCAAAAAAGACGATTGGAGCGACGACGATGAGTCAGAATCCAGTAAGTTTTTCTTTGATTTAGCGTATTTCTAAACGTGTCTAACGTTATTTATGAATTATTTTAGAGGTGAGTCTCTTAAATGAGCCCGAAGATGTTTCTAAACCCGTTCAAAAGAAGAAAGCAGCGAAAAAAACTAAGAAGAAAGACGATGACTGGTCGGATAAAGAGCCAGATGTTGACCTAGATATACCTCAGGAGGAACCAGATATTCCAAAGCCAGTCAAAAAAGGCAACAAGAAACAATCCAAGAACAAATTTGAGGAACTGGATGTTCCTGAGGATTTGTCTGATGCAGAAGAACCACCAAAACCAGTAAAAAATAGTAAAAAGAATCAGAAAGTTAAGGTAGAAGAAGAATTAGATAACTTTGAGGAACTTTCTGATGCTGAAGTTATTCCAGAACCTGTGAAGAAGAGTAATAAAAAAGAACAGAAAGTTAAAAATGATATACCTTTACATGACTCTGAAGTATTGTCTGATACCAAAACAAATGAGGTTAAATCACAAAGCGAAGAAAAAGAAGATATAGGAGATAAAGTTGTTGAAGAAATTACTGAAAAGGTCAAAACAGTAGAAATAACTGAAGAAAAAGAGAAAAAGGTAACACACAGGGAAAAGAAGAAAATGAAGAAACAGCAAGACTACGAAAAACAGATGGAAACCTTGCTGAAAAAGGGTGGGCAAGGCCATTCAGAACTAGACAGCAATTTCACAGTATCACAAGCGCAGAAAACTGCAGGTCAGTTGGCAGCTTTGGAAAATGCAGTCGATATTAAGATTGAGAACTTCAGTATAGCGGCAAAGGGGAAGGATCTTTTCGTTAATGCAAATCTGCTTATTGCCAATGGTAGACATTATGGTTTGGTTGGACCTAATGGGTAAGTAAATTTAATCAAAAATAGAGCAGTGATGTCATTGATACTTTTGTATTTTGGAAAAAAAGAAGATAATGACATGCTATTTTTAACTGAATGATGAGTTGTTTTTTTATTGCAAATACCTATGTATATACAGTCAAAATCTTAAATAAGTGCAAATATTTTCAGGGGGTTGTATATTTCGACATCAGAAGCACGTCTATGAGGTTTTTTTCGCGAAAATAATTTTTTGATAATTTGGTATTTTTTGAAAAAAAAATGGATTTTTTTTAGTTAAAAAACATAATATCTTGATAATATGACAGCATAGGTAGTAGATTAAATTTACAAGAAAGCAAACCCAGAAAAAATCCAATGGTTCTCAAAATTTAAGCAAATATTTTTGTTTATATATATTTTCAAAGTCAAACATCTCGGTTAATTTGGACTTTTCCGAAAAACGGTAAAGAGAAAATATGTTTCTTTTATCGAGATTTACCAGCCCCGAAAATATTTCAACTTATTAAAAGAATTAAAAAATGCCTCAGAGTGAACAAAAATAATTTTGCCTCAGAGTTCCACTATACTTAGTTTCAGCATTTTTTGTTTGTTTTATTTATGACAGAGAATGCCTTCGTAATGGAGACGCGACAGTAAGCATCGGCTTTTGTGAAACGTGTTTTTGAAAATATATATTCTAGACAATTAAATTCATTTATACACTGAAAAAAAAGTTGAATTCTGTTGGCAGGCATTTCTGAATACACTGGGAAAAGTGATTTGTTATTAAAATATATAAAAAATAAAATATATAAAAATATATAAAAAATTGTTGCTTCAGAGTGACAAAAAACATGTTTGCCTCAGAGTTCCAAAGCTGGTGTATTTAATTAAACATTGTTATATTAATTTATATGTACTTAATTATAACATTCTGTTATTCTTAGACATGGAAAAACGACATTGCTCAGACACTTGGCACAGAGAGCTTTTGATATACCTCCAAACATAGACATTCTATACTGTGAACAAGAAGTAGTGGCTGATGATTTTTCAGCAGTGGAAACCGTTCTAAAAGCAGATGTAAAACGAAACGAACTTCTCGCAGAACAAAAGAAACTAGAAGATCAGTTTAATGCGGGAAACTTAGACGTACAAGATAAGCTAAACGACGTTTACGCGGAGTTGAAAGCCATTGGTGCGGATTCGGCTGAGCCTAGAGCTAGAAGGATACTCGCTGGTCTGGGATTCACTAAGGAAATGCAAGATAGAGCTACTAAAAATTTCTCTGGTGGTTGGAGAATGAGAGTTTCTCTAGCCAGGGCACTTTACATTGAACCCACGCTTCTTCTTCTTGATGAACCTACAAATCATTTGGATCTGAATGCTGTTATTTGGCTTGACAAGTAAATAACATCTTTTTTATAACCTAATAAATTTTTTAAACCAGAAAACTGACGTAACATTTTCAGAACTTTAGGTCACTGTGTATTTTTGTTTTCAGTTATCTACAGGGTTGGAAAAAAACATTGTTAATAGTTTCTCACGACCAATCGTTCTTAGATAACGTTTGTAACGAAATTATTCATTTAGATACTCAAAAATTGTACTATTACAAAGGAAATTATTCAATGTTTAAGAAAATGTACTTCCAAAAGAGGAAAGAAATGATCAAGGAGTACGAAAAACAAGAGAAAAGACTGAAGGAACTGAAATCTTCTGGATCTTCAAAGAAACAAGCGGTAAGTTTTAAATAAGGTTTTTTTTGAGTTAAATCAGGTTTGGAACGTTATGAAATTACTAGGAAAAGAAGCAAAAAGAAGCTTTAACGAGGAAACAGGAGAAGAATCGTAGTAAAGTACAGAAACAAGAGGATGATCTTCAACCCACTGAGCTGCTTCAAAGACCTAAAGACTATTTGGTTAAGTTTAGGTTTCCTGAACCTCCTCCTTTACAACCTCCTGTTTTGGGTTTACACAGTACGTAGAGCTTGGATTTTTTTTCTATAATAATATTTTTTATTTTCATTTTTTATAATTTTTTTGTTTTTTTTTAATTTTGGGTTTTTATTTTTTTTTGTTTTGTATTTATTTTTTTATTTTATTGTTCTTTATTTTTATATAAATAAAACCAATAAAATTAAAGAAAAAGAAAATTATAAAAAAATAAGAAATAAAATTATTAAAAAAATTATAAAAAATAGGTACAAATTAATTCTTGTTGTCTTTTAGATGTTACTTTTGCATATCCTGGTCAAAAGCCCTTATTTATCGAGGCCGATTTTGGTATAGACATGAGTAGTAGGGTTGCTATAGTAGGTCCCAATGGAGTAGGAAAATCTACGTTTTTGAAATTACTAGTTGGAGAGTTGACACCGCAAAAAGGAGAAAGTAGAATGAATCACAGACTTGTAAGTTTATTTTATTAAATCAAGCTTTGATGCATTTTATAATCTACATTTATATATTGCTTTGAAAAAGCTTTATATATATATTGTTACGGATTCCGCTACAACAAAAAAATGTCTTCAGATTTCTTGACACGTTGCGGTTTTAGTTGCTCGCTTCTCCGACAGATGGCGCCACATACACCTTGACAATATGTACATATATTACCATACGTTTGAAAAAAAAACGCCAAAAAAACGCGTCAAAAATTATCATTGATTATCATTCCCGTGCCATCTTTGACGCCGTTTTTTTTTCGATCATATGGTAACATTTGTAAGATCATACCAAATCAACTTTTAGTCGCGTGATTAAGCTTGACCGGCACAGCGTTGCCTACTTTTACATATTTTCTTTTAATCAAAGAATTTTAGGAAATAAAAATGAATTAATTATAAATATATGAACAGTTATGATTTACATTAACAAAACTCACCTCCTTAACAGCACTTAAGGGACATAAAGGCCCATTATTATTGCATTCCCTTTCAAAATATTCTAATAAGGTTGCGATGAGTTTTTTGCAACGGCTGTTAAGCTGCTTCGCAGTGCAAGCAGTTCTAGAAAGAACAATTTTCGATTGCAAGTTCTGCTGGTAAAAAAAAAATAAGCTTAAAGTAGCACAACACAATTCACTTAAACCAAAAACTCGTAGTACAAAACTAAGTGTCAAAACGAATCAAAATATCAGGAAATAAATAAATAAATGTGGCAACTTGACATTTTTTACTGCAGAGCTTCCACCTGAATCGTCAGCGGGAAATTTAAATTCCAGCAATTGGCAACAATGGATTTAATAATAGCGCCCTCGATGACGTAACTAGAGTTTATTTGGTATCGCTTATAGGAACTTTAGTTAGGTTGTGTCTAAACTGAATTTGAAAATTTGAGTTTAAATTATTGGAATAAAGTAAAAAATACTATTAGTTCAGTCATTGGGGATCAAAAAAGGGGCCTGCTTGGAAAAAAGTCCGGAAGTTTTGAAACTTTGCAGGTTTATAGGTTTTGGGGTCCTTAACTAAAATCCATAAAATGCACATCTCCAGACTTGCCGCCGGCGCCGCCATCTTGCCAAGATGGCGCCCAAAATCGGTATTTTGTAAATATCTCGAAAACTATGCGTTTTTCGCAAAATTTGAAGAGAGCAAAATTAAAGAGATTAAAATTTCCTATAAAAAGATTATATGAAAATTTTCGCTAAAGTCAACCGTTTAGGCACAAAATCCCTGGAAATTTTACAATTTTGCGTAAAGTATGATATACATATAGTCGATTTTCCGAAATCAAATGTCGATTAGTGTTCACTAAAACTAGTTTTAGTTTAGTTTCTTCAATTTTGTCATGAAACAGTGGCGTATCATTAATTCGCTCATTAATTTATGAATAATTAATTGTCGTGCTGGACAACATTCATTGCGAACTTACCATCGGCATTGGTTTGGTTGTACCAAAGATGCCGAAGAATGGGGTTGGAAGAAAACAAAAACAGGCATTACTCCAGTCACAACGTTGAAAGATCCAGCTCCAAAATCCCTATCGGCATTTTTATCCTGTAAATGCAAAACCAACAACTGTGGTAAAGCCTGCGGATGCAGAGAAGCAGGATTAAAATGTTCAATGATTTGTGCATACTGCAATGGGAAATTCTGTGACAACGTCACTGAAGTGTCACTCGACGAATCCGATGAAGAGGAGTTGGACTTGCCTGTAGATATCCCTCTGGCGGCTGAAGATGAAGAGTTGGACGTATTGAGAGACAACCCTGATGAGCCCAGCACTTCTGACACGATCGACTTTGACATCTATGAGCCAGATCCGTCGGGCTTGTTCAGATAAGTTAACGTTTTTAATTTACCTAGTGGAGTAGGCCTCCGGGGAGACCACGTTAAAATAAACGCGCCATGTACTTGGGTGGTGTGGAAACAACTACACATTTTCAATAATTAAAATTAATTATTCATAAATTAATGAGCGAATTCATGATACGCCACCTGTTTCATGACAAAATTGAAGAAACTAAACTAAAACTAGTTTTAGTGAACCCCAGAGAATAGGTACATTAAAGAAATGCTAACTTCATGTTAAAAAATGGAAACAGACGCCATCTGGTTTCGCCTGGCAGTACTAGCTAAATTGAGGGGAATTGGAGGGGCGGGGCTCAAAAGAGGGGAAATTTTTAAAAAAATAAGAGTATCACTGACTTACTGTTTAAAGTTAATAAACATATTTTTTATTACTTTAATATAATTTAATGTATTAAAAAATATGTCTATTAACTTTACACAGCAAATCAATCATATTATTAAAGACTTATTATTTTCAGAGAAAATTCATAGTAAATAAATTACACATTAGTAAACAATATCATTTATTTTTTAGAGCTGCGATTTATATTACAATAATATTGAAATATATATATTTTTTTTAACAATGAAAAAGAATATCCCGGAACCTGAAAAAAGAAAGACGATCAATTAATGACTTAAATTAGTTCAAAATACATTTTGCAAATAACTAGTGAATTGAAAGATAAACATACTATTTAACATTTTAGTAGTATGTTATCATCTATTTACTGATAATACATTACATAAGTATATAATAGGTAAATAACATGCATAAGGCAGTATGATACAACTACCTGTATCATGATAACACACTAATATGACAAAAAATATATGCTAATTTAAATTCCTTTAATGATCTAATGAAACACTATCTAGCCTCAATGCATGCCATTCCAAAGGCAAAAAAACTGTTATACCAAATAAATATAAGCTGAATAAAACATAAACCAAGCCAACGTGCATAAATAACCAAAAAATGCATCAAAAAATACTTTTATCAGATCATACCCTTGGATATATTATGTATTTTATATATCGCACATCCCGTTCAAAAGTTTACTAACTCAAAATAGAGAATATAGAGAACATTGTCAAGAGAAGTAAAAGAAAATTTAAGTTAAGGCAATATGCTCCTTTTTGGATATTAATGGCCAAATAATATAATGTTGATTTAATAAAATTTTACTGGCATCCTTCTGAGGTATAAATCAGATTAAAAGGACATTGTTTTTGTAATAATTGTTTGTTTTGTAAACATTTTTTGAAGACAATACAGTTTTGAACGGGCTGTGCGATATAAACAAGGATCTTACTATTATTTGAGGTTAGAAAGTATTTAAATAACATAAAACATAATCAAAATCATTTGTCATCATAAATTATAGAGGTACTTACGTGTTTTGATATTATTATCAGGAAATAATACGTTTAGTTAAACAGGTACGCTGCCAGGCAAGTTCTATCGGCGGGTCTTTGCAAAAGTTGAAATCTAAAAATACAAAACTACGTTTACATCTTAGTTGTATTTACGAATAAAGTATTTGTGTGTAATTTCTGACTTACCAGTTAATTGAATAATCGCATTAAATACATCCAAATGGTATTTAATATTGTAAAAAAGCAACATTGTTTTAAATCACTTGCCAGGACAGCCCGGCCAGCTTCTTTGTTGACAAAATGGCCGCTGTATCATGATTTAAGCAATGTGGTGACAAAGAAAGCCAATGCCTGGCAGATGTTGCTTTCTTTATCGTTGGTCCTGGCACGTTTAAATTTGACTGTTGCCTGTTTTCCCATACAAGTGACACCCCGTGGTGAACCAGAGAATAGGTACATTAAAGAAATGCTAACTTCATGTTGTAATGGAAACAGACGACACCTGGTGTCGCCTGGCAGTACTAGCTAAATTGAGGGGAATTGGAGGGGCGGGGCTTAAAAGAGGGAAATTTAAAAAAATATTTTTATAAGTATCACTGACTTACTGTTTAAAGTTAATAAACATATTTTTATTATTTTAATATAATTTAATGTATTAAAAAAAATATGTCTATTAACTTTACACAGCAAATCAATGATATTATTAAAGACTTATTATTTTCAGAGAAAATTCATAGTAAATAAATTACACATTAGTAAACAATATCATTTATTTTTTAGAGCTGCGATTTATATTACAACAATATTGAAATATATATATTTTTTTAACAATGAAAAGAATATCCTGGAACCTGAAAAAGAAAGATGATCAATTAATGACTTAAATTAGTTCAAAATACATTTGCAAATAACTAGTGAATTGGAAAGATAAACATACTATTAAAAAGACATTTTAGTAGTATGTTATCATCTATTTACTGATAATACATAAGTATATAATAGGTAAATAACATGCCTGTAATGTAAATAATAACCTGTATCATGATAACACATTAATATCACAAAAAATATATGCTAATTTAAATTCCTTTAATGATCTAATGAAACACTATCTAGCCTCAATGCATGCCATTCCAAAGGCAACCTGAAAACTGTTATACCAAATAAATAAATATGAATAAAACATAAACCAAGCCAACGTGCATAAACAACTTGAATGAAAATAAAAAAATACTTTTATCAGATCATCACCCTTGGATATATTATGTATTTTATATATCTACATACATCCATTCAAAAGCATTATTAACTTAAAATAGAGAATAGGTAGAACATTATCAGTAGAAGTACGCATTTCTGTTCAGTTTAAGAAAATTGCTTTTTGCATATTAATGGCCAAATAATATAATGTTGATTTAATAACATTGGACATTGTTTTTGTAATAATTGTTTGTTTTGAAAACATTTTTTGAAGACAATACAGTTTTGAACGGGCTAAAAGCGATATAAACAAGGATCTTACTATTATTTGAGGTTAGAAAGTACTTTAAATAATATAAAACATAATCAAAACCATTTTTCATCATAAATTATAGAGGTACTTACGTGTTTTGATATTATTATCAGGAAATAATACGTTTAGTTAAACAGGTACGCTGCCAGGCAAGTTCTATCGGCGGGTCTTTGCAAACGTTGAAATCAGACAAAATACAAAAAAATACGTTTACATCTTAGTTGTATTTACGAACAGAAATCATTTGAAATGTCAATTTCTGACTTACCAGTTAACTGAATAATCGCATTAAACCACATCCAACTGTAATTAATATTGTAAAAAGCAAAATTGTTTTAAATCACTGGCCAGGACAGCCCGGCCAGCTTCTTTGTTGACAAAATGGCCGCGGTATCATGATTTAAGCAATGTGAGTGACAAAGAAAGCCAATGCCTGGCAGATGTTGCTTTCTTTATCGTTGGTCCTGGCACGTTTAAATTTGACTGTTGCCTGTTTTCCCATACAAGTGACACCCCCGTGGTGAACCCTAATCGACATTTGATTTCGGAAAATCGACTATACATAATACATATATCATATTTTACGCAAACTTGTAACATTTCCAGGGATTTTGTGCCTAAACGGTTGACTTTAGCGAAAATTTTTATAAAACCTTTTTTATAGGAAATTTTATTCTCTTTAATTTTGTCTCTCCTCAAATTTTCGTGAGAAACGCATAGTTTTCGAGATATTCACAAAACACCGATTTTGGGCGCCATCTTAGCAAGATGGCGGCGTCGGCGGCAAGTCTGGAAATGTGCATTTTATGGATTTTAATTAGGGACCCCAAAACCTATAAACCTGCAAAATTGCAAAACTTCCAGACTTTTTTCCAAGCAAAAATCCCCAATGACTGAACTATATAGCATAGAATTGTATGAAGATTGATTATCATTAATCATAAAAATATGCCAAAAATACCGTATTATTACAATTTTTAATTATTTTTAGCGTATTGGTAGGTTCGATCAGCACTCAGGTGAACATTTAACGGCCGAAGAAACTCCAGCCGAATATCTGATGCGATTATTCGATCTACCATACGAAAAAGCTAGAAAACAGCTTGGAACTTTCGGTTTAGCCAGTCATGCGCACACGATTCGAATGAAAGACTTATCAGGAGGTCAGAAGGCCAGAGTTGCCATGGCAGAATTGTGCCTCAATGCTCCCGACGTCCTAATTTTGGTAAGTTTAAATTTACATTTTGAGTTTTCAGCTATATCTTTGTAAAAAAATGTGTTTTACAAACAGAGCTGCAACAAGTCAGTTTTAAGTCATTTCTAAAATCAAAATGATTTAAGGCTTAAGTCAAATTCAATATAAAGTTCAAATTATTTAAGTCTTAAGTATTTGACTTAAGTCATGATATTTCAAGTCAAGTCATTTTTGTAAAGACTTAAATCAATACAGGGTGGCCTATCGAAAACGTTCCGCAAGCCATAACGGCCAGGGTAATTTTTTTTTAGAAAATTCAAAAACCCGTCAATTTTGTTTGTGAGGGGGACAACTTCTGCCCCAAAAATGATTGCAAAATCTTCAACCCTCTAAGCGGGGGTGTCATCCCCCATTTTTTTTCAAATGGAAAGGGGGGTCAAGTGGCGCCGCAATGAAAAGAGCTTTCTATTCTCTATATTTCCCCGCCTCGTGTTTGAAAATCGGTCGAGTCATTGAGAAAATATGAAGGATTGAAATTTGAAAAGTTTATTTAAACATTTATCAGAGTAAATGATAAGGATAAATTCCTTCGACCAATTTGAGTTTTTTTCTTATTACTTCTAGATGTTTACGTATTTTTTCACTTGTCACAAGGTTGAACGATTGGTTGATTGATTTAATTAGTTATTGATAATAAACTAGTTGTTTATCCAGTGGCGTCGTAAGTACTTAAAAAATAATAATAAAAATGTCTTATTTTAATAACACACCCTGTATCAATATTTATCAAAATTAGAACTTAAGTATCTTAGGTAAGGAGGATTCAATATAATTTATCAGATTTGAAATAAATACTGTCCTAAGGGTAGTTTACTCTTGACTCGAAAAATATCAAACCCCATTAAAACGTACGTCTACGAGGTATCGCATTTCTTACCCTGGACAAAATGTACGTCTTATAGCCATACAGTCTCCTGCCAAAAACGAAAAAGATCTCTCAACTAAGAATCAAGATATTGTCTTGTATCCATCTTAAGTGGGACACCCTGTATGTAAAAGTATATGGAGAATGTCATCGATGTTCATTTCCAAGCCAACTGGACGCCGTTTTTTTCGATCATACGGTATTTTAAGTTAATTTCACCGTAAAAGGAATCATTAGTTATAGTCTGTAAAACGAATAACTTTCAATTTGACAGTTCCCGCGGGCTTTTCTAGTGTTAATTTTATTAGGTTAGCAACTTGCGGCTATGCTGACGCAATGCCGTCTCTAATAGAACAGCCTCGGAGCGAGATTTATGACGTCACGCTAGTTAGATATTACGGATTAATAAATATGTTGTAGAATACATGGAAAACATAATTATTCCTCGTATTTTTGGTTTGTATTTTAAAAATGATATAGTTTACATGAAATATACATAATATACAGTTAATAAATACAATATATACCTATTTATAGTAATAAATACTTTGGCAAATTATGACCCATACAAATGCAGCAAATGTTTTACAATATGGCTGAAATCGTACTCCATAGTCAATGTAGATAGTTTTTGTGTTAAGAATAATAATTTAAAAAAATATGTGGTCATCTTTTGACAAGTTTATATTAGTTTATTAATTGCAGGAAACATTATAATATATAAATAAATTTTGTGAATGCAAATAATAATACCGTATGATCGAGAAAAAACGGCGTCAGTGATGGTTATGAAATGAAGATCGCTGTCATTTTATATGTAAAATTATATGGGGAATGTCATCGATGTTCATTTCCGAGCCAACTGGACGCCGTTTTTATTCGATCATACGGTACATACATCACTATTAGTAAATATTGAATGTTTTTTGTTAAATTAGATCGATTTTCAAACCCCAAAATTTGAGATATATTTTACATTTTATCCATTATCTTATGTACCACCTATTCATTATTTGTATATTGTAAAACATTTGCTGCATTTGTATGGTTCATAGTTTATTTGCTAAAGTATACTTTACTTATATATAAGTATAAAGTATTTGCCTACTATAAATAGGTATATATTATATTGTATTTATTAACTGTATATTATGTATATTTCATGTAAACTATATCATTTTTAAAATACAAACCAAAAATACAAGGAATAATTATGTTTTCCATGTATTCTACAACATATTTATTAATCCGTAGTATCTAACTAGTGTGACGTCATGAATCTCGCTCCGTGGCTGTTCTATTAGAGACGGCATTGCTCTAATATTTAGAAATGTCAAAAGCTGATGACATTTTACTTTTGTCAATTATGACATTTCGTGTTGATTTTTGCAAGAAGTGGAAGAACTGTCACTTGTTTTATTATTTTCCTTTTCTATTTCACGAAAGTAAAAAGAGTTACCTATCTGATTCGTTCAGGCACTCAATTTAAAGAATATCAGTAACTTTTTTGATAGAGGGATTTTATATTTGCCATGTTGGTAAAAAATAACGGTCAAAATTCAAAGTTATTCATTTTATAGACTATAGTAATGTCTCACTCTAACTAAATCATCTAATGTGTGTTTTTTTTGTTCATTTAGGATGAACCTACCAATAATCTAGATATAGAATCGATAGATGCCTTGGCCGAAGCGATCAACGAATATACAGGGGGCGTCATAATAGTGTCTCACGACGAGCGACTGATTCGGTAAAGCAAAAATTAATTTAAATAATTTTCATCTCCTTGTTTAACACCTGTTTTTGTATTTTCTTTTTAGCGAAACAAGTTGTGCCTTATACGTTATAGAGGACCAAACTATCAACGAACTGGATGGGGACTTTGATGACTACAGGAAAGAACTATTGGAGAGTTTGGGAGAAGTTATCAACAGTCCTAGTATCGCAGCCAATGCGGCGGTACAACAATAGTGCGCAATTTTGTATAATAGGAGATCTTTTATTGATAATAATAATAAAGTGAATTTGCTAAGGATATCATGTTGTTTTATTTATAATTAAAAATTAGATTAAAATTATTTATCATGACCTCTAGCACAGAATATCTAGCTACGCAACAGAAGCCTCGTTACATGTATAAAATTGTAGGTAGCAAAAGGAGACAGGCTTTTAAAGCCTGTCTCCAAATCAGATATTTTGATGTGGTAGTTTCGCTACTACATAATAGAGGGCAATAAATTTAAAAGAAAACAGTTTTCTACAAACAAAATTTAAAAGAATTTTGTGCAGTGTTGCCATTGTGTAATTTCATATCGTAATACTTCCTAATAAACCTTCAAATTTGCTACATCATTTAAACATATTAAAATAGATCAGAGCTGTTTTTTTCAGTTTGCCATGTTAGTTGGAATTAAAACTTATGAGCTAAATTACAATCACTTCCTGACGTTTGACTGTATAATTGAATCCTGAATTTTCATTGTAATTCGGCGACAATATAATAAGTATTGTTCTACTATTATGAGACCACTTCCTGACGTTCGATTGTGTTCATACCAAGTTCATATCGTATAATCGGGAAAAAACGGCGTTTGCCATGGCTATGAAATGAATATCGCTGTCATTTTATATGTAAATTTACATGGGAAATGTCATCGATCGTCCTTTTCCAGCCAACTGGACGCCGTTTTTTCGGTATCATACGGTATTTGATATATACTATTTTTTCATGACATTACAATATTATGGTACCATGAAGCATATCAAGTGATACCATAATATAGTACCATATTACGATACACGGCGTTCGATTGGGCTTAAACTTGGTATACTATATCTTCAGTGACATTGTAATATCATGGTACCATGGAGCATATAGAGTGGTACCTATAGTACCATATTTGATGACATAGCAATATTAGGTACATAGCGGCAATAGGGCTTAAACTTGGTATACTACGTATTTTCGGTGACATTGTAATATGATGGTACTATGATGCATATCAACTGGTACTATAATATAGTACCATATTATGTACATGGCGTTCGATTGGGCTTAAATTTGGGATACTACGTATCTTCGGTGATATTGTAATATTATGGTACCATGGAGCATAATAAGAGGTACCATAATATAGTACCTAGTAGATATCATTTCCTGGCGTTCGATTGGGCTTAAACTTGGTATACTACGTATCTTCGGTTACATTGTAATATGATTGTACTATGTATATAAAGTGGTACCTTAATATAGTACCATATTACGATACCATTTCATGGCGTTCGATTGTTCTTAAATTTGGTATACTACGGATCTTCGATGACATTGCAATATTATGGTACCTTAAAGCATATCGAGTGGTACCATAATATAGTACACTATTATGATATCATTTCCTGGAGTTCGATTGGGCCCAAATTTGGTATACTTGCGTTTCTTTATAAAGATTTGTTTAATTAATAATTTTAATTTATTTTAGGAATTTTAATTTATTGTTCGATGTCGTCATGTCGTGACAGCAACTTTTATGCCGAACTAATATATTATTAATTGTACCTGTGTCACTTTTTAAAATCTACCTAGGTCTATATAAATAACGTGACAAACGGAAGAAATTTGTTATTATAGTAATTTTTAGTCAGTTAACATTTTTTGTACTGCATTTTAATAAATTATTTCCATTATTATTAAACTTATATTTCATTACTAACGTTCCAGCATTAATAAATATCACTATCAATCGCCCTGTATATTATTAGTTTTAAAGGCAATTAAAGGTATTTTCTTAGTTAACATTATAAGGTAGTGTATATTAAAAATGTATATGTTTTGTAATAATATACTTAAAACTATTTTAATAGCCAAAAGAATAATTAATATAAGTGTATCTGATAAGAAAAGAAGAATAGAAATAAACACATACTGCATTATACACAATAAAAAGAATGGGATGCCAATTCAAGTCTTTTTGAATCTGGCAACTGTGCATATTTAGCCGAGCTACAAGGCCGTCGACGAGCCGTCGATCCAAAAACGAAAGTTCAAAATTTCTAATTATATTCTGATTATGATATTGTCGCGCCATCTAGTATTCTATTTGTGCAATTTTAGCTCTTTCATTTCGAGTATTTTTCTGTTGCGTAGCTAGATATTCTGTGCCTCTAGGTATTTTTGAAGTGAATAAACTTCTTTACGTGCGCTGGCGAGTAAACATCTTTTTTTCTTCATTTAACGTTTTATGTACAACTGGCTAGGTATTTTTACACAAATAAAGAAGGAAATTTAAGATAAAGGATTATACTATATCCGTATTATAGCACATTTTTAGACAACTTCTTTATTTTTAAGATTTTGACGCTCAAACATCAACAAAATATTCCTTATATTTGGACCAAGTTTTCTCGAAAATAGAGATATAATTTAAAATTCCGTTACAATACGAATATAGATTGAAGTTTTGTGATTACAATGATATATAATTTATATGGTTTTGTAACAAATTGCTCGCTATTTTATGGCAAATGCTGAATCTCTGCAAACCTTAATCAAAGCACGGGTGTTTTGGAGTTTTGGGCGTGGCTTAACACGACAGGATCGGGCTAAGCGTTAGGCAGATTTCTGAAATATAATATATATTTCTTTCGGCCACACACCCGCTTTACCCGACCCCTGAGAGCAACCCGTACAGTACACAGCGTAATAGACTCTTATTAAGTTTGATTTTCATGCATCCGTTATCCGACTATACGATGATTCGATATTAATTTTAGTGGTTGAATTTAAAGACTTCGATTGGTTAGAAAATTATGCAGTTTTAAATGTATTGCATTTTCATGCCTCCGTTTATCGGATATACCCTTGGTGCGTTCTCCGCAGGTGCTGCCACCATCGCAGGATACTGCAAACAGCGGGCTAAACAAATACAGTAAATACACGGCTTTAAATAGAATACACGAAAAAATTGCTACATTATTATTCTAAAAATGTTAGAAAGTATAATGGGAACTTACCTAGAAAAAAATTCACAGATTTTGCAACATGCGCAACCATCATAGGCGTATTGAAAATACCAGACACAAAAGTCGGCGGTGGTCAGCAATCACCTGTTTTTTACATTTTAAGTTAACTTGTGATGTCATTTGGAAGAGCTCAGTCTTTGAATAAGAAGACTAAGGAAGGAGCATATCAAAAATCTTAGGTACACCGCGATGGGCCTCAAATATGGCCGACTTAAATTCCGGTTTATCAGTGTCGCTCTAATTTTATTTAAAAAATGTAAAACTATGGTGTAGGGTAGACGTGGGGTAGACTCAATAATTTGTTGTTTTATTTTACGTTGTGAATAAATGTTGGTAGTTACTAAAATTGTTATAAAAATATATAATTCTAATAAAAATAGATAAGTTATAATAAGTATTTATTAACACAAACATCCGATACGCTACTGAAGCAGGTAAGTCAAATTAACGTATCTACATTCTTTGACATCTAATCTTTGACAAGTAATAAATAAAAGCTAAAATGCAAGAAAAATATATAATTTAGTTAATTTAAGTGAATTTCATAAATGATCGGTTTACTACACGTATGTATATTATATAGTCACTTACTAGCGAAAAGTTGTTCCATTATTTCACTCAATTTTTGCCGGCATATTTTAGAGTCTTTTTCGATAAATCGCGATAGTGTCACTGTTAATTTAAGTTCTGCCACAATTTCCATCTAGATTTACTACCTTTATACAACTATCAGTAGTAGAATAAATAATAAATAACATAAAAGAAGCTCCGTAAAGACTGACAAATCCACAAAATTTCAAATCAAATTCAAATGTGTCAAATGAATCGTCAAACAGAACTGTCAAGGATCCCCACCCTAGAGAGCTTTTATGGTGGCTTTTCCGCCCACCATGCATGAATACATGGATAGCATTATGCTCCTTCCTTAGTCTTCTTATTCAAAGAGCTCAATATAAATATAAAAGAACTAAACCTTGTTTGGAAAGCAATTTGACATTCGTGACGTCAGAACTCCGGCAGTCTATGGTGCGTCCAGACCATAGACAAACTAACAAAAGCTTTTGTTAGTTTGTCTATGGTCCAGACCTGACGAGCCGAGCGCGAGGCGAGAGCGAGATATTTTCTATCCATTTTTTACGCAAACCTGCCGCGAGACAAGCCGAGTGGGATCATAGTGAAAGGAAGCCAAACACATATTACATTGCAATTGAATATAACAAACGATGGCCAAATAATAACGCATACAGTGATAAATTTTTATATCTTTAATATGGTATTCGGTCTTTAACACGGTATTCATCGTCGGTTTTCCCCCTTTTGGCTGTTTTTCCCTTTATCCTTTACACGACGTTTTTTACATAATAGGTTTTTTAACGTTTTTAGAACAAAATGTTAATCAGAAAAGTTATTGGTAAGGTTAAGAAGCACATTTTAACATTACTAAAGAGTATACAGGGTACTTCAAAAAAGTGTTTTGGATATAACATATTTTCTAATGGGAATACCCTATTTTTTATTTTATTATTGTGTTATACATACGAACAATTCGGTAACTTTTTTGCATTTTTTGATATTATATATCTAAAATTAATAGACGTTGTAATAATTCAATTTGTTTAAAGAAATGTTGGATTTCGGTAGGATAAAAATTATCAGTCAAAAAATATTATCAACATTTGTAAATTCTATCAGAAAAAATGATAATACATACTGTGTACGATTTAAAAATTTGAGACTACTTAATTTTAAATAGTCGAAATTTATAAATCAGAGCTAATATCTCGCAGTCGGGCGAGCCTACCAAAAACACGTCCAGACTTTCGAGCTTTCTTTGATCGGCCGTTGAAAAACCAGAGAGGGAACGGATAGCAACGAGGCTCCGTAGGTTGACTCGCAAGGCTCTCGCTCTTTTCGATTTGTGTCCATTAAAAAAAACGCCAAAGACGCGGCAGGTCTGCAGTTTCTATCAAGATGTCGATTAGTAACGTCGCAAGCTCGTGGATTCCCGGCCCGTCTAACAATCAATCCTGTGAGAAAGAGATAGGCGAGATCGGCGCCGGCGCCGTTAGCGTTGAAGAGACGAAGATAAAAGATACTGGGATTGAATTGTAGACGGGCCGGGGCATATATTCGGAGACAAACACAATCTACTGCTAGTGCCAGTGGTGTGTGTAAAAATAATAATTAATATTTGCCATTGATTTTACGAATTTTAGTTTATATGTGTATATATTTTTTTATGTTGTAGTGTTGTGATTAGTACTTGTTATAATTATAATATAATATAATAAATAATTATAATTATAATATAATATAATAAATAATTATAATTATATAATAGAATAATAAATATTTCTAGTTGCTAATGTAATTTTAGGACATGAGTTATGAAACATTTCGGAGTGAAACTTTTTTACGCGCGCTGGGAGTAAAAATTGAAGGCCGTGACATACGACCTAGTAAGACGGCCCTGACACACGAGCTAGTTGTAACGAAACGTGTTAACGGCTTAGAAATACGTAGTGACGCGATATGTATTTGTGAGCAGTCCACGTGTTTATCAAAAATATTGACATTTTAATATAAATTTTGTAAAAGCGAATCAAATTATTACGTGTAAAAAAAATATTTGTTACACGTAAAGAACTATTTTTATTATTTTACGCGAATGAAACTGTTAGCCGCAAAAAACTATTTTTTACGCGTGTAAAACTATTTGTTAATGGTAGAAAACTATTTTTTACGCGTATAAAACTGTTTATTACTGGTAGAAAGCTATTTTTTACGCGTATAAAAATATTTTTTACGTGTAAAAAACTATTTGTTACACGTAAAAAACTATTTTTTTACGCGTCATAAACTTATTGTTTCTGGTAGAAAACCTTTCTTACACAAAAAAAAATATTTTTTACGTGTAAAAAAACTATTTGTTACACGTAAAAAACTAATTTTTACGAGTCAAAAACTTATTGTTTCTGGTAAAAAACTTTTTTACCCCAATATATATATTTTTTACGTGTAAAAAAAACTATTTGTTACACGTAAAAAACTATTTCTTACGCGTCAAAAACTATTTGTTTCTGTAAAAAAACCTTTTTTTACGCAGAAAAAAACACTTTTTACGCATAAAAAACTATTTTTTACCCGTATGAAAATATTCCTTTAATTTATTAACTTTTTCAACGTTTCAAACTACACTTTTTCAAACATTGCCTTCAAATTTTTGAATTTAATAGAATCTACCTAAACAGTCGATGTTCTTTATAAAAATATTTTTAGATAATACCTTAAAATGAAAAAAAAATGCATACTATTTAATTTATTTTTATTGTATTATTAAATATAACGTCCGCCTATGACGGAGTCTCATCTTAGAAAACGCTAAAGACGCTACAGAAAACAAACCGATTTGTTTTCATGTGCGTTTTTTGCGAGACACGCCGAACGCTACACGCTTTTGGTGTGGCCACTCCTATGTAATCCTGTTATTTTATTTTACTCGCTAAAGACGCTTATTCACGCTAAAAACGCAAAAAACGCTTTCTGTGAGGCCGTGGGTTTTTTTGAGAGTTGCATATAAACTCACCTTTAGTTTACTTAACTTTTTATTACCTTAAGACCTTTCTTAAAACCTTAATGTTACTATGACAACACTAAAAAAACACCATGGCAACGCGACAATACTATAGCCAGTTGTTATAAAAGGCATATAAAAGGTGACAAAATGATGAAAGCTTCAGACAGTAAATCATTGTAAGTAACTCAAACATTTTATATCAAACACAATGCTGTTATTTATTGTAAAATCATAGTGTAAAATGCACGAAAAAAAAAACTTTCAATAAGGGTAAATTAAAATGGCAGGGGTTTTAGAATAAATCGATATACTGACTGGTTTTAGCATTCATTTAGTAAGTTCTTTTAATCAGTATTGAACAATTACGAATAATTACAGATGGGCCAAAGTAGGCCAAATCAAAGAACTCCATTTCATGTCGAAAAACGTCATCTTGTTTGGACGAGGATGTTTTATTCAGTTCATAAACATCACAACAAGCGAAGAACACCAGTTAATGCTCAACAACCACTACGTTAATGGTGATGGGGTGAAATGTCTGACAGGACATAGTACCTTGTATATTTTTGCCTATGCTGAGAATTGCCATGAACCATTTATCTACGTGAGGAGTTATCCAGAGTTTATAATACTAGCCAAATTACCTGGTAATGTTTATTTTTTGATTTTAAGTCATATCGAAGGGTTTACGTCGCCGTCGGTGGAAAAAAAATCCCTCAGTATTGAAAATGGTTTCAAGCGATTCCTCTAGACTTGGGCCATCACAGCCACCTAGATTTTTTCAAATAATAAAGATCTACTGACGCAAAATCATAAAAATTCTGAGGGTAGGCAACCTTAATAATATTTTGCAGATATATAAATTCCCCATTGAACACCGGAATAATATACGAGGTGTTCCATTTAAAATAAAGGAGTAATTTGCTTTTAAAAGTGACTAATGTTCCATATTAATTTTGTCTTACCCTGTATAACTTTTCGGGTCAAATTTCAATTTGTTTTAACATACAATGGTTTCTGTAATTAAATATCAGGCTATACAAGTTCAACTAAAATTTAGGTAGCTGTTATCGAAATTTAAAATTTACTCTTCATTTTCACAAAATGAGAAATATGTCAAAATCCTAACATTTCCTTTAACAAAACTCACCTGTATTTTTTTTCCTAGAAACCGAAAATCAATTAATATATAGGGTGTTCTATTAGAAAAAATACAACTTTGATGTGCAACTTTTTTTGAGGACACCCTGTAGAACTCTCTATATTTTAAAAAGAGCTCTGAATTAACCTACATATGCTGCCATAGAACTGATTTCAATTTGAGAAGAAATCGTATAGGCAATATCATCGGGGTATTTAAGATATAGAACCTGACCCATTTCATATATATCCTCATCAGAAACAGAAGGATTCTGCTTGATTCGCGATAGCATGTGATAGATATGGAAATGCGGCCCGGGCCCCCTGAGGGGGAACTCTTAAAAAGTTAGACTTATGAAAAAAATGCATTCAATCAATTTTGTAGAGAATTTTCTGAGCTTCAATTTTCTACATAGGGTATTTTTTCGTAGGTGTCATATTTCTTGAGATATAAGCTAAAAAGTAGTAAAAGTGACATTTAACCCTTTCCCTCTCTTCGAGCTCATCGTCTATCTTCGGGGACTTTTGACACATATCAGTCCAAGTCTAGAGAAATCATTTAAAACCATTTTCAAAACTTTTTGGATATTTTTTTTTATAAAAATTTTAATATTGTTAATATACAGAGTGAAACGAGTATGAGTTAACTGTACTTATTTTCACACTAATGTTGGAGTTTGGTCAATATATTTGAATAGTGAATTTTTTATTATCAAATAGAAATTTTAAAAATACTTTATACAGGGTGTCAAAAAATAGTGTATCTAACTTCGGTGAGATTCTACAGATAAAAATAAAACAAAAATTTCTATGAATTTATGAATAGAATTATTTATTTCTAGGTCCTGCAGAAGGCTGCAAATGTCTAGATTTCTCCGAAACCTCTCTATTATTTGAGCTAGGAGAATTACCGAATCACACCGTCGGAGCCTGGAATTGGAGGACTTTGGAGAAATTTGCCCACTCCAGCAACCAACTTGTGTACAAAAATCAAGTTTTAAGGTACGTGTAGCGTGTGATCGAAAAAAAAAACGGCGTCAAAGACCACTGGGGAATGACAATCCCATGCATTTCCAAAGTGCCTTTTTATTTTTAGATCATACCCCTTAATCATACCAAATAAACTATTAGTCACGTGATTAAGCTTGAACGGCACAGCGTTGCCGACTTTTACATATTTTCTTTTAATCAAAATATTTTAGGAAACAAAAATTAACTAATTATAAATATACAGGGTCTTACGGCAATAGTGCGTCGGGCATCTGTAGCTCCTAGAAAAAAAAAAACTTGAGAATTTTGTTTAAGTGCAAACCTAAAGTAAATACGAGGATGTATTTCAGGAAATATTTTAACTTCTATAGGGTGGCTGAAAAAGGTGTGAGTGGATTGGGACGATTTTTTTTAAATGAACCAAACCAAACCCCCTGTATATTATTGCATTTTTGGTTTCCTTCCAGATCACTTCATCCTATGATATGTAACTTAGTAAATATGTTTCGATAGTTTCAAATATATTAATAAATAAATAAAAAATATATATTTTTCAGCTTTCTTTAAAAAAAATATTAAATATACAATAAATGTCCTGAAATTTCAATCATTTTATTGATTTTATGGAAAGCACTGTTCATTAAAATGTTGTATCCTATGTTATAGGGCTTGTTTCTCTCTACAATTTCCTGTCTCACAATGTACCGTTTGTGTCGGGGAAGGGTTCATAGTTTCATAGTTGTCGATTTTCGAAAGAAATCAGTACATGTATATTATTTCGTATATTTTTCATTTTATTCATTTTATGGAAAGCACTGTTCATAAAGATGTTGTATCCTATGTTATAGGGCTTGTTTCTCTCTACAATTTCCTGTCTCACAATGTACTGTTTGTGTGTTCGGGAAGGGTTCATAGTTTCATAGTTGTCGATTTTCGAAAGAAATTAGTACATGTATATTATTTCGTATATTTTTCATTTTATTCATTTTATGGAAAGCACTGTTCATAAAGATGTTGTATCTTATGTTATAGGGCTTGTTTCTCTCTACAATTTCCTGTCTCACAATGTACTGTTTGTGTGTTCGGGAAGGGTTCATAGTTTCATAGTTGTCGATTTTCGAAAGAAATTAGTACATGTATATTATTTCGTATATTTTTCATTTTATTCATTTTATGGAAAGCACTGTTCATAAAGATGTTGTATCCTATGTTATAGGGCTTGTTTCTCTCTACAATTTCCTGTCTCACAATGTACTGTTTGTGTGTTCGGGAAGGGTTCATAGTTTCATAGTTGTCGATTTTCGAAAGAAATCAGTACATGTATATTATTTCGTATATTTTTCATTTTATTCATTTTATGGAAAGCACTGTTCATAAAGATGTTGTATCCTATGTTATAGGGCTTGTTTCTCTCTACAATTTCCTGTCTCACAATGTACTGTTTGTGTGTTCGGGAAGGGTTCATAGTTTCATAGTTGTCGATTTTCGAAAGAAATCAGTACATGTATATTATTTCGTATATTTTCATTTTATTCATTTTATGGAAAGCACTGTTCATTAAAATGTTGTATCCTATGTTATAGGACTTGTTTCTCTCTACAATTTCCTGTCTCACAATGTACCGTTTGTGTGTTCGGGAAGGGATCATAGTTTCACAGTTGTCGATTTTCGAAAGAAATCAGCACATGTATATTATTTCGTATATTTTTCATTTTATTCATTTTATGGAAAGCACTGTTCATAAAAATGTTGTATCCTATGTTATAGGACTTGTTTCTCTCTACAATTTCCTGTCTCACAATGTACTGTTTGTGTGTTCCGGAAAGGGATCATAGTTTCATAGTTGTCGATTTTCGAAAGAAATCAGTACATGTATATTATTTCGTATATTTTTCATTTTATTCATTTTATGGAAAGCACTGTTCATAAAGATGTTGTATCCTATGTTATAGGGCTTGTTTCTCTCTACAATTTCCTGTCTCACAATGTACCGTTTGTGTGTTCGGAAAGGGTTCATAGTTTCATAGTTGTCGATTTTCGAAAGAAATTAGTACATGTATATTATTTCGTATATTTTTCATTTTATTCATTTTATGGAAAGCACTGTTCATTAAAATGTTGTATCCTATGTTATAGGACTTGTTTCTCTCTACAATTTCCTGTCTCACAATGTACCGTTTGTGTCCGGAAAGGGATCATAGTTTCACAGTTGTCGATTTTCGAAAGAAATCAGCACATGTATATTATTTCGTATATTTTTCATTTTATTGATTTTATGGAAAGCACTGTTCATAAAGATGTTGTATCCTATGTTATAGGGCTTGTTTCTCTCTACAATTTCCTGTCTCACAATGTACTGTTTGTGTGTTCGGGAAGGGTTCATAGTTTCATAGTTGTCGATTTTCGAAAGAAATCAGTACATGTATATTATTTCGTATATTTTTCATTTTATTCATTTTATGGAAAGCACTGTTCATTAAAATGTTGTATCCTATGTTATAGGACTTGTTTCTCTCTACAATTTCCTGTCTCACAATGTACCGTTTGTGTGTTCGGGAAAGGGATCATAGTTTCACAGTTGTCGATTTTCGAAAGAAATCAGCACATGTATATTATTTCGTATATTTTTCATTTTATTGATTTTATGGAAAGCACTGTTCATAAAGATGTTGTATCCTATGTTATAGGGCTTGTTTCTCTCTACAATTTCCTGTCTCACAATGTACTGTTTGTGTGTTCGGGAAGGGTTCATAGTTTCATAGTTGTCGATTTTCGAAAGAAATTAGTACATGTATATTATTTCGTATATTTTTCATTTTATTCATTTTATGGAAAGCACTGTTCATTAAAATGTTGTATCCTATGTTATAGGACTTGTTTCTCTCTACAATTTCCTGTCTCACAATGTACCGTTTGTGTCCGGAAAGGGATCATAGTTTCACAGTTGTCGATTTTCGAAAGAAATCAGTACATGTATATTATTTCGTATATTTTTCATTTTATTGATTTTATGGAAAGCACTGTTCATTAAAATGTTGTATCCTATGTTATAGGACTTGTTTCTCTCTACAATTTCCTGTCTCACAATGAACCGTTTGTGTCCGGAAAGGGATCATAGTTTTACAGTTGTCGATTTTCGAAAGAATCAGCACATGTATATTATTTCGTATATTTTTCATTTTATTGATTTTATGGAAAGCACTGTTCATTAAAGATGTTGTATTCTATGTTATAGGGCTTGTTTCTCTCTACAATTTCCTGTCTCACAATGTACTGTTTGTGTGTTGGGAAGGGTTCATAGTTTCATAGTTGTCGATTTTCGAAAGAAATCAGTACATGTATATTATTTCGTATATTTTTCATTTTATTGATTTTATGGAAAGCACTGTTCATTAAAATGTTGTATTCTATGTTATAGGACTTGTTTCTCTCTACAATTTCCTGTCTCACAATGTACCGTTTGTGTCCTGGAAGAGATCATAGTTTCATAGTTGTCGATTTTCGAAAGAAATCAGTACATGTATATTATTTCGTATATTTTTCATTTTATTGATTTTATGGAAAGTACTGTTCATTAAAATGTTGTATCCTATGTTATAGGATATTGTTTCTCTCTACAATTTCCTGTCTCATAATGAACAGTTTGTGTCGGGGAAGGGTTCATAATTTTATACTTGTCGATTTTCGAAAGAAATCAGTACATGTATATTATTTCTTATATTTTTCCTTTTATTGATTTTATGGAAAGCACTGTTCATTAAAATGTTGTATTCTATGTTATAGGGCTTGTTTCTCTCTACAATTTCCTGTCTCACAATGTACGGTTTGTACCAAACGGACTATTTACTCATATTTTAGGATTATGTCAAGTGATCTGAAAGGAAGCCAAAATTGCAATAATATACAGGGAGTTACATTTAAAAAAATGGTTGGAAAACTTTTTTTTATTATATTATTTAGATTATAGTAAGATTATAGTAATAATATATTTTAATCATATTTCCTATAGATGTAGCTATGGCAGACCGATATTTCTAGCTCATTTAGGAATAGGATCGAACAATATGTACATTTGGGACGTGTTTACTGTTTGCAAGTCCTCAATTTTCTCGAAACACGAAATACATCTGGGAAAATTGAAACCGGCGCCATTTTTGGATGTTTTATGGACCACGGATGCGATCTGTTATATTGTTGATGCCAAAGGAACGATTTATACAGTAAGACTGGCTATGCAGGGTGTCTCAGAAACAAGTGCAAGTATTTTAACTGATAGAAACACACCCATGAAGTTTTTTTTTATTTTTCTTGACATTCTCCTAATAATGTTGAGAAACTTTTGAGTGCCGCTGTTCATTCTCCTTAAATTTGTTTACGGTGCATGCAGGAAATACAGTGTCGCCGCCACTTCCTACGTTATTTTTCGGAATATTTATAAGTTCACAATAACTTGAACTATCGACGCAAAAAACTACGGAAAATAACTTTATTTATATCAGTTTCATGCTAGACGAGACGTATACGTCGTAAAGAGGTAAAATTTTGTTAAAGCTAACTAGCTGTATTTGAGTGTAGTATTGTCTAGAATCGCAGTGCAATGAAGTGTTGTTAAGTGTTGTTAAGTGTAGAGCTGCGGTTCTAGGTAAAGTGATAAAACGACGCTCTAACATAATTTCATCGATCTGTTATCTATCAGAGTCCCGTTTTGTAACGTTAGGTAAGTTTTTATTAATCTTTTAATCTGAATTTTCTCAGTTGTTTTTAAATCTTTCTAATCGATGTGTCAACACTGGCCGTCGAACAATCTGATATTCTGGTAATTGCTTGGTATTTTCGGCTGATTGTCGATTGCTGCCGGCATTATTTTTTCAAAATTTCAAAGTTAAATATCTTGGTTATTTTCAATTTATTTAAAAAATGGTAAATTGAAAAGATGTTTCTTTTGGCCAGATCTACCACCCCTAAAAATACTTGCACTTATTTCTGAGACACCTTGTATTTTTTGCAAATTAGTCGATTTACGTTATACATATTTTTTAGTATGACAGAGACTTTTACTTAGAAGTTGTCATTGAGGTGAATGAAGAAGGAGATATACCAACGTCCATGTGTTGGTTCCAGCATGGTCTAACAGTTATTGGTCCAATTCCAGAAATAAAGGTTATAAAAAAATTTTTGTGTGGAAATTTTTCATTTTATACCAAAAAATTCATATACCGGGTTCGTCTGAAAAGTGGTTCACCCCTATAATTTTTTTATTTTTTCAAATAAATAAACGAGATTTAGTATGTTAGTAGATGACATAAATTAGGATTGATTAACGTATTATATATACGTATATATTTTTGAAAATTGTGATCTATACATTATTTAATTCGTTTAAATTAATTTTCTTCAAATGAAGCAAGGGTGGCTCATTAGCATATTTGAAAAAAGCATTTTTTACGAATAAATCGGTACACACTCTTAGTATTTCGAGCCAAATTGTCGTTATGAACCGCATGTTACAATTTCAAATAATCCATATGCGAAAATGTCAAAAGTTGACATATGATACGTCATTCTATTCAGAATGTCATTTTCTATCGAATAAAATAGAAATATACGGAGGGTACCATTTAAAAATCAAAAGTTGTAGTAATTTCCGGTGAAACAGGAAGTGACCGAAAACAATTGAATACGTCAATTTATCCTAATTTATCTCATATACTAACACAAGAAGTCTTGTATTTTTATCTGTTAAAATAAAAAAGGTGAGCCACTTTTGAGACGCACCCGGTAATGTTTTTTTAACTAATAATTATTAACTAATAATTTTCTTTTTTCTTCGTTTGACTACTGTTTTTTTTAAATGTATTTTCTAATCTTTTTATTCGACTTTTCTAGCATTACAAAAAGGTGGTTGGCGACTGGGTATGCGACTGGAAGTACCCCATTTCGAACAAACTCACTGGAGTCATTTGCAACCGATTTGATAAATGTGTCGCTATTTCTAGCGAAAACGAGATAGTTTTACTCGGTACAAAACACTTTATTAGCCTTTTTATTCAAGAAGCTGTTATATTAAAGAATTATTTTAGGAAATACACCGGAGAGTTTCACAGTATTGAACCCAAACAAGTCACATTACACGAATATCTGTCCTATTGAACCAGGTGGAGAGTATTTCGTTGTATTACGTGGAAATAACGATCTTATAATTTACAGAATAGACGATGGAGAACCTGTAAGAAATACTAATAATATGTTTATTTATTTAAAAAAACAAACTTTTTAACGTATAACACTATAAATATATTTTTAGGGTGTGTCTGAGATCAGTTCATAACGTTTTGAAAATTTTAAGCACGTCTCTTAATGATTAATTGAACAAGTTGTTAAAATCAAAAAGAAAACGTGTTTCACCTCCAAATATATTATGTTTTTATAATATTTATTACTGACGCTTTATCTAGTTTTAATTACCATACATAGATCATACCAAATATATTTTTAGTCACGTGATTAAGCTTGACACAACATTTTGAAAAACAAAAACGAATTAATTATAAATATATAAACGGTTATTATTTACATTAACAGAACTTACCTTCTTAACAGCACTTAAGGGACATAAAGGGCCATTACTACCGCTTTCCAGTTCAAAATATTCTAATAAAGTTGTGATGAGTTTTTTACGGCTATTAAGCTATCTTGTACAGTTCGCACTAAAAGAGGTTCTAAAAAGAACAATGTTAGACTGCAAGGTCTGCTAGTAAATTTTTTTAAAATTCGTAATAAAAAACTAGAGTGTCAAAACAATTCAAAATGTCTGAAACAAATGAATAAATGTGGCAACTTGACATTTCTTACAGCAGAGCTACCACCTGTATTGCCAGAGGGAAATATAATTTTTTTTTTAAAGATTTTTTAACAAATCATAATATATGTGTATATGATATCAACTTTATCCAAAAATGATCTTGAACTGATGCGACGTTGGAAATTGTAGAATATTATTATTCTTTTAATATGGTGGTAAATTATATTACCAAAGAATATTTAGAATGATGTAGTATTTTCCATGTTAGATATATTAATTAAATAATGCCTTATTTTTCGTTTACAAGTTGTCGATCATTTCGTTATAATTTCTGCATTGTCAAAGTCTACTTTATGGCCTATATCCTATGAATGTTCACAAAACATCCCCCTTTAGAACTTCGTCTGTGATGTTAAGAAATGAAAGTAAATAATAAAGCGCCTCTCGTGTTTGTTCGCACTCAAAAAATTTCAATTAATGCCTGTATATATTTTTAATATATTTTTTAAATTTACATTTTTTTAATTGTGAAGTAATTACATTTAAATGGAACATATTACATAACAATTATGTCAATTACAGGATTACACGCTTGTTTTCTAACATTTTTTAAATAAAACGAATTATAAAATTTCAATATATTATGTATATTTGTCGTAGGTATGAAAAAAGTAAAATATAAAATGGACAAACGCTTACTTACGTTGCAATAAAACTTCCACTTTTAGTTTTGCAATCCAAACGCAATATTTCTATTTCACAAATAAAAATATCCGACAACACTAAAATCACTGAAACTTCCGCGGCTAACAACGAAAACTGAAAAATATAACGGTACTTTTTGTTTTGGACCTGCATATCAACATTACGCTGTACTATTATGTGTTTGTTGTTGAAATAATATAAAATATTTAATTATAACTTGTACATTTTAATATTTTAACATGATTTTAACTACTTTTGACAATAACTAACTTTTTGTTATCAAGATGACATTTTTGACGGCAACTGACATATATGTCATAATATTTGAATCTTAAATATGTATGTAATATTACAGTTGAGGGTTGGAACCTTTGGTGTTACACAGCAAAATAAAATTACACTAAGTGGTGATTTAGTGTAATTTTATTTTGCTATGTAATATAATTTAAATTACTATAATACAACTTTATACTAAGAAAACATTTATACATTCACAAAATACAACAAAGTTCTTTACAAAGTCTAATAATATAGTTTGAAAACAATGAATATTGAATTAAAATTGAAAAAGTTAAGCGCGACTCCTTGTGTCAAAATTAGATGATTAAATTTTCGCAATTTTTACACCATTTGATGACCGGTGGCGCCTCTAGTGTTTGTTCGGGCGGTTCGGCTTGTCTCTTATGGCCATTAAATCCCGCTTATGGCCATTAAAGAAAAAGTTCTAAAGGGGGATGTTTTGTGTGAATGTTGACAAATTTTAGATTTTGCGAAAATCTCGCTTTTCTAAATAATCTTTATGTCCTTTAATTCGAACATTTAGAAGCGTAAATGTTTCACCAACATATATTTTTTAATAAGAGATATTTACCTTTTTTTCTAGGTATCCAGATTACTCATAGATTGTTCGGTAACATCTATGGCATCGAACCCTGAGTTTCCATTTCTGGCACTAGGCAACGATCGCGGAATACTACAATTGATATCTGTTCATGATGTGACGAATCCAACTGTCATAGTACAAGTGTATCTGGCCGACATTGTCCTAAATGTCACAAAGTACTTTGAGCGAAGTCACGTGTTCGTCACAGGAAACAACGACAATGGGGAATATTTTATTTTACGGGTAAGTAAATATAATATTTTAGCGGTAGTTTTTGTATTATAGCGCTAATTCTATACAGGGTGCTACAAATTCGGGGTACGAGCATTGGTATCTCGGAAACCGTAATAGATACGAAGATGCTTAAACTGATGCAAGTTGCGTCTTGGAATGTTCACCAAGATGCCATCAAAAATGTTTTAAAAATTTTAAAGATCGTTGAGTTTTTGAAAAACACGGATTTTTTTAAATCAATTTTACTTTTTCTTGTCGTTACTTTTTAGAAAATCAAAAAATTAATTACACACTCTCATAGCCACTTTATTAGGACTCGAGAAATAATATCCAGATCAGCAATTTAAAGATATTATTTTTAAGAAAACGTGTCTCATGTCCAAATACATTATGTTTTTCTAACATTTTTATTACTGATGATTTATCTAATAATTAGTATATATAGATCATACCAAATAACGTTTTATTTAAAGATATTATTTTATTTTTTTATTGGGAATTTGAAATCTCAGTGTACGATCTAATAATCTGCATCATATTAATCATAGTTATTATAAATAAATCAATTTCTACAAACTGGTTTCTAATGCTGTACATGTTCGAAAGGATTACCACCTTCATATTGCACAAATTTATTTTTTGTTCAATTTTTTTATGGCTCTTTGAACAAACCTTTTTCTTATATACTTTCGAATGCATTTTGTACTCTTTATTGTAAATGTTGAGATGCATTGATTTTACTTTTACAAATGACGTCAGGTAATGTTTTCCCCCCACTCCTTAATGACAGGTCCAGGAACGCTGGCCATTATACTGCTCTACCATTTCCAATCCATCTCGGAGAAATGATTTGATTGTTTATATTATAATATTATATTTATATTATTTTTTTATTATTTTACTGCATTTGATTTTCCGTTATTGTTAAGTTTAAAAGCTAATCAATATTGTAACGATGAATAGATTAAATATATTAAAAAAACAAAGCCGGACTTGAAATTAGTTTAAATAAATTGTGTTCAAATGTCCTAAATAGAAAAACATATTAAGTATGGCATATCATAGTACTTAGGAGACCGAGTTTTTTCAAAACTTGAAATAAAAAATGCATGTCCGTATTTAAAAAAAATAAGTTAGTCTCTGTATCACACAAATCAACAATGCTCGTACCCCGAATTTGTAGCAGCCTGTATATAGTTTCATTCTATATATATTTATAAAAAAAATGTTTCTTCTTGTAAAGGCAATCCGGGACAAACTGTAGGTAATAAGAAAGGTCTTTTTAGGGTCTTCCTGGATCCAAGATCGACGTGGCCCTTCATCTGGAAGTCAAAAAGCAAATAGTGGACTTCTTCATGGTGTCGTCGCAGAATATGATTCGATTCTTCGTGTTACCACTGACCTCCAACAAGTTCTACGCTGGTAACAAAGTGATACGCTACTGTATCGTGGACGATAAAGTAGTCAGCGTGAAAGAGTACACTTTTGGCTCATCCCAGATGCTTTACAAAATGATTTTTCCCAAAAAGGGCTTCCATAAGGATAGGATGTTCTACGTGGTTCCTTTCAATACCAGGTATTTTCAAGTGGTTGAAACAAAAAGAGGGGTAAGTATTTTTATGGATTGTTATCTATACCGGGTGTTTCGCAAAAGTGGCTCAGCCCGATAACTTTTTTATTTTATCAAATAAAAAAACGACACATAAATCAGGATTAATTAACGTATTCAATTGTTTTCGGTCACTTCCTGTTTCACCGGAAATGACTACAACTTTTGATTATTAAATTACACTCTCGGTGTTTTTTACTTTATTCGATAGAGAATAATACTCTGAATAGAATTATTATGTTCACATTTTCGTATATGGTTTATTTGAAATTGTTTCGTGGCGTTTCATAATGGCAATTTGAAAATCGAATAAAAAATCGAATCGAAATACCAACAAAAAAATGCTTTATCCAACAGTCATTACTTAGACAGACATTACTCACATGTATACATGCATATAAAATAAATAATAACACACGTGTGCGTTTCTGAAGTTATTAACTTATTTTTTTAAATTTACAAATTTAATTACTTATTTAAATTAACATTAAATGAAAATTAAATTTTTTTGTAGATTCAGAAATTGTAAAACCTTGTATGCCTCCAGATGCTGTCCCTCCACTGCTTGAAATAGGCTCTGTCATTACAACGCCTGTTTCTGGAACACTTACAGCACCTTGAATCTTTTTCGCAATCTCTATTTTCTTGTTGATGGACTCTTCGATATATCCTTCCGCAACTGTTGCAGAGCGCCATGTATTGCTCATGATGTTGTAGGCCCAAGTACTTGAGGAAGATCTTCCTGAATATTTTTTTTTAAATCTGGCTTGCCGTTTGATAATTCACTATTTTATCGTTAAAAAATCGCGATTTGTCTAAATGACGTCTTAATGTCAATACCAGAGAGAACATTAACAGAAATTACCTATAACAGATGCGAAAGAACACCGAATTACGCGTTCAGGTTTCTGTGACCTTCAGAAAGAGTTCATAGACAATCCGCATCAATGTATAGTTTGGATTATTATTTATTTGGGTGAAAATAATCTGCACCAATATGTTATCGAGGCATATAATCTCACAGTAATTTAATAGATTGCTCGTCATATTATATCAGTTCGTAGGAGATTAGGAAAAAAAATATTTATAGTATAAAAAATTTATTTTTTTAACAAAATTTAAAGATGTGACAAAATAGTTACTTTTCTATTGGTTCTATCGGACTTTTTTGACTATATAAATCTTTATTTGTAAACTTTAATGCATAAAATACAGTAAAGACTCGATAATCCGGATCAATTAAAGCACAGGTTAATCCGGATTAATAAAAAATCCGGATTATCGCGATTTGCAATTTTATAGACATATATTTAAAAAAACGAATAAAATAAAACATTTTTATTAGCAGAACCTTCAACAAATATAATTTAAGTAAGAATAAGTATATTCTGTAACAAAACTCGTTGTGAATAGAAACATACATCCTCTAGATACCAACGTATAAAATACATACCTACTACATTATTTAAAATAATCAGAGATTTTACTTTGTTTTTTAAGTGCATTAACTGAACAGTGCTTAACTATAGCTTCCTCTTCTCCGTTTATTATATTTTATTTTATCCATTTACAGTTTTCCTTTTGTAAAATTTTCTAGATACGCCTGTGTTCTGCAATGTCCATAATACATAATTCTGGTGATTCAAAAAACAAATATTTAATACTTTACTATCAGAATATAAACGAAAATAAAATAAAAAAGTTTTTACCCTGACTCAGATTCGTCGGTTCGTAGTCGGAAACTTTACGCACTGTGCTCACAGGAATTTATTTAATACTTACACCGTTTTGATACTATAAATTATTATTTCCTTAGATGGAACAGAGCTCCAACATTTTTATTCATTTATAAGATTTTTTCATAAACGTGGGACTAAGAACATCATCATTTCTTCTACAATGCGCAGTAGAGAACTCAACGTTTACCGGCGGCCAAACTAGTTTGAATAAATTGCCTACAATAAAAAGAGAAGTCAAAGATTTTTGTCGTCTTAAAATACTTGTTTTCGAAGCACTGTACGACGTTGCTAGCTCTCGTACTAATAGTCGTACATTGCTAATTTACATAGGTCGTATGGGATAAATCCGATATTAAAAGTAAAACATCACATTCTTTTCTGATAGGTACCTATGGAACGACTAGGTATTATATCTGGTATTATTACCAGTAATACAAATTATTTTCTTCAACTGATAGGTTCTTGTTATAGAATAAAAACTATCAAAAACATTTAATACCTACGGGATACCTACTGATACTCTGTGCGAGCTCCCAACCGTACTTCCCTGTTCACTCCCAACCAAGTTAGATAAAAAAGATATCGAAGATTGCAGCCTTGAGTTGGAGTATGGAAAGGAGTATGAGCTCCACTACGACATGTACAGAAACAGATTACCTAAACTGGTAAGCATGTAAAATTAAACCTTCATGAAAAATTGAACTTATTTATTTTTAGTTCAAGAAAAAGCATGACAATCCACAACCCACCAAAGACCTGGGTTGATAAACGGTTCACACACAGGTCAAGAAAAGCCTGTGGCAAAACATTAGTATGTATCGTTTCGTTTTTATTTATTATTAACATTTTTAAGAAAGATTTTAATTTATTTTGTGTTATGGGAATATGTTTTTTTTTATTGCTAGATATTTCTTGGAGTTAAATAAATTATTATGTTCCTACACAGTATTTTATTAATAGGTTTTAATGCTTTAAAGTAATAATACATTTTCGTTGTCAACAAAATAATCTAAAAAAACTACGAAGATTTCTTATTATAAACTTGAAAGATTAAGATTCCGTTCAAATATACAAATTTTAAATTTTTGGCGCCAGTATATAGGTATGAATGCAACCTACTATATCAAAAATGCGCTCATAGTTCGGGTTAGACGCCAAAGGCCGCGCCACTAATACAGTCTTCAAAAATTAACGTTGATCGGTCTCTCTCACTTTAGTTATTAGTGTTCTCTCTGGTCAATACTATTTATTATTTACAAAATACTAAAAACGCACATCTATATAGCATAGTAACAACATAAACGCACCCTGATAATTTATTAATTCGCAACAATGAAAGTAGAACTGGTAGATCCTTTTAAATCAATTATTCTTTAGAGATTGGACATGAAACAGTTCTGCTGTTGGGTAAAATTTTGTATGGCACTCGCGTGTTTCATCAAATCTAGTTTTTTTTTATTTGAAAAAATAAAAAAGTTATAGGAACAAAAATTAGCTAGTACCGAAAGTACTGAGAAATCCCGGTTCCAGAAACCCTAGTGGCTACGTGCCCCCGTTGCTTTTGAATCACCCTGTATATTTCCCAGAAATATTTCGAAAACGCCTTTTTAACGAGAGTTTAGTTTTTCTAATATATTTTTCTGTAATTTGTAAAGTCATCGGTGATAACTGCCATAGAAGATATTAAATCTGGACATTTGTTAAGACATTTTTCTGTTGGAACTGGAAAGTATTTCTCCATCACTTGGGGCTACGATGGATTCATAATGGCGCACAGCGCTGATTTTGACAAAGTCGTAGGCCTTTGTAGGCCTCATCATCGCAACGATCAAGGAGTGAGAAAAGCTATCATAAACGGAATTGGAACTGTAGTGGTATCTCTAGGTAAGTAAAACTGCCTTTTTACGAGCCCTAACAACTATACCTATGTTGGGACAAGGTGATATTTTGGAATTATTGCCCTGGTTTTTTAAAATGACTGAAAAATATATGTTTAATTTTTTAAATATAAACATAGCCATATATTTTAAACAACTTGACAATGTTTTTATGAATTTGTAAATCAATCCATATTTACAGTAGCGGATTTTGTGTCATAAACGGATAAATTTGCTGACAACTAAATGTTGGGACAAGTATTTTTAAATAATTAATATCATCATAGGCGGCTTTGCTATAAACGTCACAAATGTCGCAAACTGTTTATTTTAGCATTGACAGCTTATAAGTGACTCGATACTTGAGTGAAACGGCATGTGTTAATACAAAACAAACAAGAACCAGACACCACATACCAAAAAAATATAAAAAAGAACTATTTCTTACTTATTTTCGTTCAAGCTTTATGAAACTTCCCGCATTTATGATTATATTATTTATTAATATAACTTATGTACAAATACAAATTTGTAATATTCCGCAGGAATAAATAAAACAACATAAATAAAACAAACTATTTTATTAATAATAACACTTACCAAATTTTATACCTTAAACTTTGAATAAGAAGACTAAGGAAGGAGCATAATGCTATCCATGTATTCATGCATGGTGGGCGGAAAAGCCACCATAAAAGCTCTCTAGGGTGGGGATCCTTGACAGTTCTGTTTGACGATTCATTTGACACATTTGAATTTGATTTGAAATTTTGTGGACTGGTCAGTCTTTACGGAGCTTATTTTATGTTATTTATTATTTATTCTACTACTGATAGTTGTATAAAGGTAGTAAATCTAGATGGAAATTGTGGCAGAACTTAAATTAACAGTGACACTATCGCGATTTATCGAAAAAGACTCTAAAATATAGTCTGTCCAACGACAAAATCCTTGACAATGATATGTGTCTGTCATTTTAATTTCAAAGTAGTTTATTTTATTTTACAAAGAAATATGTTGGTACAATTGGAATATATAATATACATACGTGTAGTAAACCGATCATTTATGAAATTCACTTAAATTAACTAAATTATATATTTTTTCTTGCATTTTAGCTTTTATTTATTACTTGTCAAAGATTAGATGTCAAAGAATTTAGATACGTTAATTTGACTTACCTGCTTCAGTAGCGTATCGGATGTTTGTGTTAATAAATACTTATTATAACTTATCTATTTTATTAGAATTATATATTTTTATAACAATTTTAATAACTACCAACATTTATTCACAACGTAAAAATAAAACAACAAATTATTGAGTCTACCCCACGTCTACCCTACATCATAGTTTTACATTTTTTAAATACAATTAGAACGACACTGATAAACCGGAATTTAAGTCGGCCATATTTGAGGCCCATCGCGGTGTACCTAAGATTTTTGATATGCTCCTTCCTTAGTCTTCTTATTCAAAGGTTCCCATAGATAAAATAAAACAACAAATTATTGAGTCTACCCCACGTCTACCCTACATCATAGTTTTACATTTTTTAAATACAATTAGAACGACACTGATAAACCGGAATTTAAGTCGGCCATATTTGAGGCCCATCGCGGTGTACCTAAGATTTTTGATATGCTCCTTCCTTAGTCTTCTTATTCAAAGGTTCCCATAGATAAATGAAACAAGTTTAGATTGGAAAGTGCCCATAAGGACATGTATAAAATACCTATAAAACATTGGAAACCGACGTTATGCCACGATCCACGATGGTTTTTGCAGTTCACGTTCACAGCACAGCTTTTTAAGTTTTTAATGTCACTTTTTCAGAATTATCACGGGTTTGAGTAAATAAAACTTAAATTAAACTCAAAAGATAGCATTAATTACTTTGAAAATGGACGCTTTAAACACTTTTCGGAATTTTTTCAATGAGAGCGGTTTAGATTTTGAAAGGTTTTATAATTTTTGAAGATTCTGACTTTAACAAGAGAAAATTATTTCTGTTTTTGTTAAAGGTGAAGACGGCGTCCTTACCGCAACCCAAATCCGAAAAGAGACACCCGACGTCCAACTACTCAAAGAGCAAATAACGGAAGAGGCCGCCCATCTAAAACTGGCCCTCATGTTCAAGCGACCCACCGCGGGCTTTCCCATCGAAGCCTGTTTCCTGGGCAAACCCTGGAAGGAGATCCAAAGATTAAAACTGATAGCCAGCGAGGAGAAGGCGTGCCGAATAGAAAAGGAGAAAATTTGGGCGGAGTTCCACGACATCAGTAAAACTTTGAAGGCTTTGGTCGATCAAAACATGGAGACTACGGAAAATAAAAAGCTGGACTTGATGGAGTTTTATCTGGATACGGCTCTGTATAATAAGAAGCAGCTTCAAAACAAGGAGGACTGTAAACAGACCGAGACTTATTTGAAGTGTTTGATCGTGGCTCAAGATAAAGTTTCGAATTATATCATCAAGAATTATTGGGAGCCTATGGGTAAGATATTATTTTTTCATGACAGTTTAGTATAGAGCACGTATTTTCTAGCAGACTGTTTTGTATAAAGCATATTTATCGTTTCAATAGCCGATATTATTATTACTAATATTTATAATAAGTCAAAGACAAATAATATAAGTAGACAAACCATAAACGCATAAGCGATACCAATAATAAACTATTAGTTATATAATCGAAGGCGTGATTTTTAAATTCATTGTTGCCAACCATGGACATATTCGGAGCCGGGCTGACTAAAGGGTATTTAACTTTACCGCTGGGAATTTAGGTGGTAGCTCTGGTATAATAAATGTCAAGTTGCCGTATTTATTTCCTGATGACATTGTCATTCGTTTTGACACTTAAGTTTTGCATTACGGGTTTTTGGTTTAAATGAATTGTGTTGTGATACTTGAAGCTTAAAAATTTGTACTAGCAGACTTTGCAGTCGCACATTGTTCTTTTGAAAACCTCTTTTAGTGCGAAGTGTACAAGATAGCCATTGCAAAAAACTCATCGCAACCTTATTAACATATTTTGAACGGGAAAGCGGTAGTAATGGCTCTTTATATCCCTTAAGGGTTCTTTAGGAGGTGAGTTTTGTTGATGTAAATAAAAACTGTTTATATAAATATATTTATAATTAATTTATTTTTGTTTCCTAAATATTTTGATTAAAAGAAAATATGCAAAAGAAGGCAACGCTGTGTCGGTCAAGCTTAATCACGTGACTAAAAGTTTCTTTGGTATGATCTATATGTGGTAATTAAAACTAGATAAAGCATCAGTAATAAAAATATTATAAAAACATAATATATTTGGACATGAAACACGTTTTCTTTTTGATTTCAACAACTTGTTCAATTAATCATTACGGAATGTACATAAAATTTTCAAAACATTATTTTTTTTATTTCCTCTTCACCGTTTTTCAAATAAGTCCAAAATGACCGGATGAAAATTTCCAAAAAATTTATTTTTCGCTTAAATTTTGAGAACCGCTGGATCTTTTCTGGGTTTTCTTTCTTGTAAACTTAATCTGCTATTTATGTTGCCGGATTATGTTTTTTAACTAAAAATTAAACACATTTCAAAAAATCCAATTTTTTGCGAAAAAAACCTCATAGACGTGTTTCTGGAATCGAAATATACAGGGTGTCCCAGGCTGAGCGTGCATTAGAAGTTTCTGGAGAACCACAATATCTAGATCGGAGATTTTTTGTACATCATTGTTTTACAACGAGATCTATCTGTTAAAAATATTTTCAATATGGCGGCACTTCCGGAAATACCGGAAGTTGACAGCAACCTTCTTGTTTTAAATGGGTGTCCACATTTTTTATTACATACTTAAATTCTCTGTAAAATTCTATGAAAACTGATGTTAAACACTCTATACCTACCATTAACCGTTTTTGAGAAAAAAAATATTTAAAATTTTTGAATGAAAAACATTACCTGTCAAAAACAATAGTATAGCCTAAAAGTCAAACTTAGTGATTACCACAGCTACTATGACATAAAGAGAAGACATGTGGCTATCTATGTCAAAAATTAAATTGTTCAAATGTCATATAATAATGGCGGTAGCTGTCATGGAATTGAGCGATTAAAAAATTATCATAAATCATTTTTTTCTAATGGAAACCCACTTTTTTATTTCACTAATGAAAAGGTTTTTCAATTCGTTACTTTCTATCTATACATGTTCCTATACTTAAAATAAAACGTTTTTAAGTTATTTAAGATTTAATTTGAAAACGTATATTTTTCTTGATTTAGTCTAGCTTCCTTTGACATTAAATGTCAAACGGTCAGAAAATTTATTTCCATCTGTCAGAAAACGAATTATTTGAATTTCCTATATTATAAATACTGCCTGCCTTAAGAGTTTAAAAAGTGTATTTATAAAAATATATCTCGTATTTTCGCTCTTTAGCTTTGTCTTTAGTGATATCTAATAGTTGATATTATTAATAATATTCCGTACGATCGAAAAAAAAAACAGCGCTAAGTTGGCTAGGAAATGATGCTGCTTTTTGAACAAAGCGTCACAATATGAAATGGCCAGATCTATTGTTTTACATCACTTGACGTTTAAAGTCATAGGCTACTGGTTCAAATCAAGGAAAATATACGCTTTAAAACTAAATCTTAAATAACTTAAAAACGATTTATTTTAGGTATAGGAATATGTATAGTCAAAAAGTAACGAATTGAAAAGCCTTTTCACTAGTGAAATAAAAAAAGTGGGTTTCCATTTGAAAAAAATGATTTATGATAATTTTTAAATCGCTCAATTCTATGACCGCTGCCGCCATTATATATAATTATCATTATATGACATTCAATCAATTTAATTTTTGAAATAGATGTTAGCCACATGCTTTCCATTTATGGCACAGTGGCTGTGGTGATCACTAAATTTGACGTTTAGGCTATACACATATTTTTGACAGGCAGTTTTTTTAGTTCAAAAATTTTAAATATTTTTTTTCTCAAAAACGGTCAATGTTAGATATAGAGTGTTTAATATCAAAATTCGTAAAATTTTACAGAGAATTTAAGTATGTAATAAAAAATGGGGGCACCCATTTAACATCCGGTATTTCCGGAAGCGCCGCCATATTGAAAATATTTTTAATCGATAGATCCCGTTGTGAAACTATGATGTACAAAAAATCTCCGAGCTAGATGTTGGAGTTCTCCAAAAACTTCTAATGCACGCTCAGCCTGGGACACCCTGTATTACTCCTAAAAATATTGACACTTACTAAAGTCTCACCCTGTATATAGAGTGATTCACGCCGATGTAAAAAACTGGTGATAGAATTTTCTTGAAACTTTTGAATTTTTATATAATATCGGGTCCAGACAAAGCAGACAAAACAACTAGACAGAGACATTTATGTTTCACGACAAAATTGCTACAAATGCAATAAATTTCTGCGACATTTTTGTCTCACTTTTGTTTTGTTTTAAAATTCGGAGACTTTTCAATGTCCCGTCTCGAGTCAGGTAGGAGACCAGTGAAATTACACATGGTTAATAAAACTCATTGGTAACAACTAAACTTTTGACTTTGTTGTACTTTTGTCCTTGCGGTGTGGACAATTTGTCTTGTCAGAATTCCCCATTTTTTGTCGTAAGTTTGTCTTTACAGTTGAGGGTTGGAACCTTTGGTGTTAAACAGCAAAATAAAAACACTAAATCACCACAATACACCAAAACACTTTTACTTTTACACTGGACGCGCGTTTCGCTAACCATGTTAGCATCATCAGCAGATGATTATAAACTAAAGTACAATCTACAAGTTGAGCGTTTATATACTCGCCCAGTGGGCACCGAGTGGGCGTGGCAAAATATAGCCAACCGAGTCAGAACCCACTGAGCAAAACAGTTAGATTTCCGCCACTAGAGTAGTAGGAACAAAGAACTTGAAGGAATTGGACCGTTGTCTCTGTTCATACTATCTTTACATTTATTAATTCTGATGCTTTCATATGCATCTAATTGCCTGTAATTTGAGAGTTGTTTAATTAATTTTAAATTATTAAGACCTATACAATGTTCTTTATCAACAATATGTTCGACAACGGAAGATTTATCCGGTCTACCATATCTTATCTGAGCTAAATGTTCTTTAAATCTAGTTAATATTGATCTTCTAGTTTCCTCAACATATTTCTGATTACAATCTTTACAAGAAATTTCATAAATACCCGACCTTTCCAGTGGAGGTGTTTTATTCTTTGGATTACCTAATAATTGTTGTAATTTATTATTAGCACTATACACAAGTTTATAATTGACATTCTTAAAAATTCCTTTTAGACCACGGGATAACTCTCTATCAAACGGTATCGAAAAATATTCAGACGTATCTTTCTCCACTTGAAAAGTCGAATTTTCAGAAATCATTAACCTATACCTACGTTTTCTAATTAATTGATCAACTCGTGAAGGAGAATATCCATTATACTCAGCTACATTCCTAATGTAATCTCTTTCTATTTCATATCTTTCGTTGGAAAGTGGGAAACTAAATAATCTATGAACTAAGAAATTTAAACTAGCCATTTTATGTTCAACACTATGATGTGATTCATTAGGAATATATCTGCGTGTGGTCGTATTTTTCCTATAGATATCAAATTCCAGGCAATTATTAGCATTTCTAATAACTAATACATCTAGAAATGGTAATCTGTCGTTGTTCTCAATTTCATGCGTAAATTTAATGGAAGGAAAACGATTATTTAACTTAGAAATAAAATTATCCATGGTGTCTGAATGTGTGTCAAAACAGCAAAATATCATCCACATACCTAAACCAAACTTTTGTTTTGTTTTAAAATTCGGAGACTTTTCAATGTCCCGTCTCGAGTCAGGTAGGAGACCAGTGAAATTACACATGGTTAATAAAACTCATTGGTAACAACTAAACTTTTGACTTTGTTGTACTTTTGTCCTTGCGGTGTGGACAATTTGTCTCAAGTTTGTCTTGTCAGAATTACCCATTTTTTGTCGCAAGTTTGTCTTGTTTTTGTCTCAAAATCGTGTTTATTTTTTGTCTTGGTCTGGACCCGGTATAAGATTAGTATTAATAGACAAAAGTACTTGGTTTAAAAAAAACTGTTACGTAATAAAAATGATTGAAATGTAAACTTGGTTTTAAAACGTCCATACACACACTACTGTTTGTTTTTCTTGTTATTCCAGGTATTCAATGGGGAAATATTTTGGGCATATTCAGCGAAGTTAAGGCTACTAATTACTGTCTATTGCCCGAAAGCCAAAATCAACTCGACAAACTCAGTTGGGTCGAGGAACAGCGAAAAGTCGAACAGTTTATGAGCAGCCAGGACACTTTCGAACCGTGGGTTTGGATGACACAAAAGTAAGTGAAGTTGATATCGATTAAACTTTTAGGGTGTATTCCGTTGCTTACCTTGGTTATGGTTTTATGTTCCGTTTCTATCGGTTTCCTGAAAGTTTTCTTATTACGGAACACGGTTCCTGAAAAAATCGGTTATAACTGTCACCAAATTAACCTGCGCGAGAAGGCTGGTTTTTCTGCAGGGGCGGGAAAGTAAAATAGCAAAAGCGGTTCCACCGTTTCCATGGAAATTTCAAATAAAATCGTTCCAGCCTCGGGCGCTAGGTGGTAGTGCAATTAATTTTTAGGTTAAGAAGTTGCTACTAGTTATTGCCAGATGTCGTTAAATCAGAATTTTTTTGTAGTTTCCATAGATTCCAACGGCCATTGTCATACTATTGTCAAATTCTCAAAAAATATTGTCGTTGTCATAGCGCCAATCATAATATTATCAAATGATTATCAAAACGTTTTTCAAACTATAATTTGTGTTTTAATTAGACAATTCCTTTTGTTTGTGGCCCTAAAAATATAATGTAAGTCTTTTATTTTTGCCATCACTTAAGTACCTATTTATATTTACTCCATTTACAAAACTTTGGGCGCATTACGTAGGTCTTGTTTTATTATAATAAACGATGTTTAAATATTTGACTTATAAATAAAAACTTTGAAATAATAAATAATATTTACACATATTTGGCTTTAATTTTATTTAATAATTGTATAAATTATACTGTTAAATCTTATTTTTTACACAACACAACGATACTTGTCATTAGTATTGTTGAATTTGTGTAAAAAATAAAATTTAATAATCAAATTTAATTATTTTAGAGTAAAATTCAATAAATACGCTCATTTAAAAAGCCCGCGCTTCGATCCATTTAAAACAAGCCCTACTCAATAGATGGCGCCACTTCTGTAGGACCATTTTTCAGTATGGCAGAGTCCATTCTTTTTCTAGCTAGGTATATTCTTTGTTTTTCTGGTTTTGTTTGTCAATCAGTGTCATCTATGTGACAGAAATCAAGCAAATATTGGAAGTTCGAGTGAAATTCTCATTTAATTTCTAAAATTTGTAATAATATTTTGTATTTACATCCAAAAGCAATGGAGGTAGGCAGTAAAGGTAAATAAATTTCATTAACTAAATAGAATTACTTTTTAGGACATTTAAACTTATCTTGCAGCCATTGTTTCTTAAAGTCAGGAACATGAAAGAAAACATGAAAAACAAGACAACAAGACAAGTAATCGTGAATGTTTTGTAAGCTATAAAAATATAAATATTGATTAGATTTGTTTATTTATTATTGATCTGTTTAAATATTGGATCTGCAAACTTTAAAGTACTTTTCAATATTAAACTCCATTGAAAAGAAGAAGCAAACGTAAAAGCAGAGAATAGGTACATTGAAAATGCATAAAAGATAAATTTTATAATAGAGGTATTGAAATTTAGAAAACGTCAACATTTGACGTTTCCAGTATTTTATCAAACCGTTCCGTATCAAACCGATGTTTTTCAGGAACCGCTCTTTACCGCAGTTTACCGGTCTGGTTCGCCTGGTTTTGCAACGTAATACAGACTGCGGCGACTTTTTAAAAGGTTAGAAAAAATTATAAAAAAGGATGTTAAAAATTAAAAAGAAAACCGCAGCGTACGGCTTCTCTTCGTCTGGTGAACAATAGGTGTAGGTTCATTTAATTATTTTTGCATACTGTTGGGCACTTGATCGCAGCGATCATGACAAGGACGATACCATATCGCGTTTCTTTGATTGATTCGTTTTTGTGCGTCAGTCCATTGGTGTGCTTGCAGTGCGACCAATGGGGCATTCCAGTTTATATCTATAACCAAATATATGTTTTGACAAGACTTTGACAGTTAAAACAACAAATTACAACAGATTATATATTGATTATTATATGACTTGAAACACCACGGCACTGGAATTAAGTTTTATGTGACCTTGAACAGATTAGTTCACACAGGGGGGTGACAGTAAACCGGAAAATTGGAAACAGTTCTGGCGCGGTCTTACCCAGGCAGAAAGCATGGCCTTCTAGACTGTCCTAGACAAAAATCTGAATATTTCTATATGATTTCTGTCAATTTCAGTTACGGAACATTTTTATGCACGTCGGCGTTCTCTTCTTTTGTCTGTGTGTCAGCCATGTGTCAACTCCCGAGGCCTCTGGCAAGGTCTTTTAAGCTTTTCAGCTTAAAAAAAATCCCTTTTTTTCCTGAAATATTTGCACTTATTTAAGATGTATGTTTTTGTATGTATATATACAGGGTGAGTTTCCTACGATGTTCTCTATGGGTATATCGGAAACTATTGGAGATAGAGAGTCGGTTAAATGGGGAAAGAATTGCAGTTTTGTGGGATCATAAATATGCGCCTTTCAGATTTTTGAAAAAGTTCATGGCTTACTAGATATTTCGAAAAAAAAAAACAAATTTTGGCTATTTTAAAAATTGTCCCAAATTCCATTATAATTTATTTTAGACAAAAAGTTTTCAGATAAAAGTTGTAGATAATCACGTCCCTAATAAGTATGTGTTCTCCGATTTTTTCTAAAGCCTGTCATTTTTGACATATAACACAAATATATGTTTTTTTTTAAATGGAATCCATAGTTGGCCATGACTTCATAAAAAGCGCCATTTTTTAAGTTTTTCAACGACATAAGCTATAATATGTTTTTTTTCACAAAATTACTGAGTTATAGCCAATAAAATAATAATTTTTTATTTTAGCAAATTGATGGATGTTATAAGAAGAAGACCGATGCCGCCAAGAGAGGATTATACAGGGGTTGCCGCTCTTAGACGTTTGAAAGAGATAGATGAGATGGAGTCGGAAAAATCGTTGGAAACAACTATAGCAATAGCTGGATCAGTGGCTCAACTCTACATAGATATCAGTCCAGGGCATTATCAGCAAAGACAGTTAACTACTTTTTATCAGTGCCAGTTACAACAGGCTGTTGCCGAGGTAAATTTTTTTGTAAACACCGCTGCGTTAAACAGCGTTTTTTGTTGCCTCGTTCAATTTTGTTTTGTTTTGAGCTATTTCCAAAACGTGGCGGTATCTGTATCCAAGACAAAGGATTTTTTTTCATAAATCTCAGTGAAATAAGTAAACCTAGACCTTTTCTAAAATAGCTGTTATTACGATGATATTTCGTTAATTACATCTCGTTTTATTTTATATTGATACATATTCCACAGAATTAATATTTGAACACGCGTTTATTATGTGTATAGTAGATATTTAGGTACAAAACTTTTCACTTAAACTGCAGGAATATAATTACAATATTTTTATGACTTAATTTTATTATAATAAATCTATACTAATATATAAAATCCTTATGTGACTGATATACTGAATAATCACGATCCTGCTCAAACCACTCAACGTAAGAAGTTCAATTTTGGCATACAGGTTGATTCTAGGGTGTAGAGGTTTGATAAGAAAGGATTTTTCGAAATTCCAGTTCCAAGAGAGTGAAACCACCCCTCAAATATTACAATATTTTTTATTTAAAAAACGGTCAAGTTTCCGAAAAAACGCTTAAACACGTATATTTTATTTTGTTTTTTTACATATTTTAAGATTTTTTAATAACGTATACAGGGTGTTTTGAAAAATCTGGTCATTGATTAATGACGATCCTGCTTAAAGCGCTTGACGTAAAAAGCTGATTTTTGAAAAGCAGATTGACTTTAGGGTGTAGAGATTCGATAAGAAGGGATTTTTCGAATACTCGAATTCTGAGGGGGTGAAACTATCCCTCAAATATTAAAATATTTTTTATTTAAAAACCGGTGAGTTTCTCGGAAAAACTCTTAAACACGTATATTTAATTTTGTTGTTTTACATATTTTAAGATTTTTGAAAAATTTATACAGGGTGTTTCATAAAATATGATCATTGAGTAATCACGATTCTGCTTAAACTGCTTGACGTTTAAAACTGATTTTTGGCAAACGGATTGACTGTGGGGTGTAGAGGTTCGATAAGGAGGGGTTTCTCGAATCTCAAATTCCAAGAGGGTGAAAACGCCCCTCATATATTACAATATTTTTATTTAAAAAACGGTTAGTCTTTCGGGAAAAGGCTTGGACAAGCATAATTTATTTGTTATTTTACATATCTTGAAATTTTTTAAAAATCATACAGGGTGTTCCAAAAAGTTGGGTAATTTCTTAACCACGATTCTGCTTAAACTGCTTGACGTAAAAAGCTTATTTTTGGCAAACGGATTTTTCGAAAGTCAAATTCCAACGAGATAAAACTGCCCCTCAAATATTACCAAGTTATATAATAATATCGCCATATTGTTTTTTCGTATGCTGAGATAAATGTGAGAAAATTTTATCTAGTTTGTATGTTAATGGAAATTCTTGCTTTGTTTTATCATCACCAATACAAATGATTAATTCGACGCGAACGAAGTCGCTGGTACATGCAAGTTAGTATATAAAATTGTATATGATATGTTTGTGTACGGCCTTAAATGATTAATATAAGAGTAGTATTGCTTGATGAGTAATACTGGTAACATTATCAATATATCCGCTTAATTATCCGATGTCAACAAAAATGGTCCACGGACATTATTTAAAAGCAATGCTATTTTATTGTTCTTAAGAGAAATCTGTAAACGATACTATATAAATCTATTCAACTAGTATTTATTATGCAGGAACTTAGACAAAAAAATAATGATATCTAGGATAATAATTATTGCAAAGGACCTATTTTTAATCAAAGTTTTATTTTAAGTTACAATGACACACCATGTAATTTATTTTGATGTAAAATATTATCGTTGTTTTATTTTTCCTCTAGAGAGAAGTTATTAAACTGAAACAGAACTACAACAAATGTTTTCAAAATACCAGGGCTATCAAGGACAGAGAAGTGTACAATATCAAGGAAAAGAATGCCAAGCTGAGGCATATAGTATCTGAGTACAACTACCATTCGGATAAGAAAGTCTTCGTTAACATCGACGACCCTGAGTGGGATCAGGTAATTAAAGACTGTTCAGCTATTGTTCAACGTTACGTCATCATTATTTGTCAAATATGAGGTTTAGGGTGTATAATTATTAGTAAAATTATAACTCCAAATCGAATGACAATGACATTTGCTAAAAAGAATATGCAGTAATTTAGGAAATGCCGTAACGACGTCACCAATCTATTTCATCTGGTTCGCAAGCCTAGATCATAATATATACTATATATGATACTTATATACTTACGTGGCTAAGTAAACCACTATGGAAACTGTCGCAAACATATCAACGACTTCCATTAATCTTCTTTTTTTGTTGCACACGCGGTGCTTCTACTCGATCTATCCTTGTCGAGGACCTATCGTCCGCGCGCCAAATTTGAACATTAATTTTAAATTTTAATTTGTAAAATGCTTTATATTTGAACAATATGTTTACTGTCACAAGAATTAAATTATATAAAAAATACATTTAGCCACTCCGTACGAATATCAATATTCTTAGGAAATGTAACCAGAATGTATGCAAGTGGCTTAATATAAATAAGAGAACAACTGAATACTTTACTTGCCTCTGAAAAGATAATTCGGGGACCTTTATATTAGAACTTTCACACACTAAACACTTTCTATAGTAAACGCCACGAATGTTTGGGAGTGATTCATCGGTCGCTACCGTGTGAACTAATCTGTTCAAGGTCACATAAAACTTAATTCCAGTGCCGTGGTGTTTGAAGTCATATAATAATAAATATATAATCTGTTGTAATTTGTTGTTTTAACCAGGGGGGTGACAGTGAAATAGGAAAATTGGAAACAGTCATTAGTGTCATGTTAAGATTGTTTTTGTCTAACTATTGTCTAACTTCACAGTTTAGAATTGACAGATTTCAGTTTCAGAGACAACTTCAGATTTGTTCTAGAACAAATTCGAAAATATTCGACGCCATTTTAATTCATTCCGTTTAGTTTCGTTTTGGAAGTTCAATTTAATATTTCGGCTGAAATTTATAAATATAAAGGTAATAAAGTATATAAAATATATATTACATGAAGAATCCTGGAGAAAATGACGTTTATGCATTAGTAGGTATGTCCCATGTATATGAAAAATAGGTAGTAAATAAACACTGTTTTTACATTTTTTAGATGCAAGAAAATGGTGTTATAATCTCTTTGATCGGCGATTTTTTTGAAAATGGAAACAATTTACAGCAAGGTAAGATCATTTTTAACTATAGCCAACATTAGTTATCTCCAGTATGTGCGATTTATTGTCAATAATGCAATAAATCGGACTGATAATCTGATTATGTTATCCGACTAAAAATCTCTTTTTGCATCTTTTTGATTTATAAGCAGGGTTCTTTGGGAATAATGGACGCTTTTTTTAAACAGTATATTTATATTTTATACCTATTGATATTTTTACATTGTTAATTTTAGTATAAAAAAATTGTTTTTCTGTTTTCAGGTTTTTGTATAAGGCTCCCGTTTTCATATTCCTGTGTCCGTTTTCTGTCCTTGAAGTTTGCGAATGCTAAGTCCTTGAAGTGTGTTTATTTACAAATTACTGTAAGTCATGCTTATACCTTAACTAATTTACGTTAAAAGTGCATATAATTAACTAATTGGTATTGAAACAATACAATCCTCTATATTTTTATATTTATTTAGTCACGTTGTTCCATATTTCAAATAAATATATGTGAATAAATTATTTTTTGGTTTTATTTATGAAAAGAAAAATACAAAATACATTTGAACTGAAGAGGGGCCCGCCATTGAATAACCGGAAACGGAAATGAAAATTAAGCCATCATGACCTTATCATGTCAACCTGTCAATTGGAAAGTTAGTTCTCCAGACGACAACGAAGGCTTTCGGTGGCGTATCGTGTTTCCACGATTTAACACAGAGTTGACACTTCTTTCTAGTTAATTATTTTATGGTTTTAGAATAAGTAGGGGAAGCGCAGGCAGATGATTAGACCGGGCCAAACCAAACCTACGTCTGCGGTAAAAATTTACGTTTTTAATGTAAAACTGATAGCGCGCGTGTCGATTCTAACTTCATCAAGCGATGAATCACTCCCAAACATTCGTGGCGTTTACTCTAGTCATTTTTACGAGTATTTAGAATGTCCAACGAAAAAAAAAAGAAATATAATTGCACAAACTTAAAATTAACTTCTCACTGAACATACTTGCATCCTTGGCTATATAAAAGCGGTCGATAAAAGAGTAATTAATACAATTTTTAAATTAAAAAACCCAAAAAACAAGCATCGTTATGACAATATGACGACAATGAAAAGTTGGTTTCCATAATAATGCATAATTTTTACTTTCTAAACCGTATAAAATTGTGATTATTTTGGAAATACGTGCTACTTTTAATACGCATGCGTAAAGTAAGGTCCTCGAGAAAGACAAACCTACTAAACGTTTCATAAGTGCAATAAAGAAGGTTTGAAAATGGCATGTCGTGATGTTAGAGACACATTTTTTAATGCTAAACTTATGACGTTGATTTATCCACGTAAGTATATATGATCTAGGTGGGCAAGTGACTGAAAGAGTTCGACAATATATGACGTGACGTTGAACGATGACTGAACATTCTATATTAATAAATCATTATAACAATTAATTATAATTATTATTTTAAATAAGACTGGTCTAGATAAAAATCGGCCCTGGCACCATTCTTACCAATTCTTATGTAAAATGACTTCCTGAATCCAAATATGACCACCGTTGTAGGGAGAGACCGTTTAACCTATTTTTACTACTTTTTGATAGTTGAACCACTTCAGACCACTGAAACAATTATAACAGCTATGAATTTCTCTTTCACTGTAGATAGAAAATCCGGAAACCATTCTTAAGGTAACCGACAACGAGATACCAGTCACACCATATATTTCGCCCAGTGAGCAGGCCATACTAGATGCGAAAGCAGCCGAAGAAGAACGATTGCGTTTGTTGTTATTGGCCGACGATTTCAGAGAGAGGGCGCTGATGGCTATGATGAATGGCGTACTGGAAGTACGTTGGGAGGACGAACTTAAAAAAGACGTACCGAAACCAAAGTGCATGGTGAGTACTGTTACGCTTTTACTGTGTCCTGTCTTCGATTTTTTTCAAGTCCTGAGACATTTCTTCCAGATTCTTAGAACGTTGGAGAATTCCCATTCCAGGTTACGGATGGAATCTTCCAAATTACTGAGTTCTTTCGCTTTAAGAGTATATTGCCCTGTATTGTTCGGGTCGCTCTCAGGGATCGCGTAAAGCGGGTGTGTGGCCGAAGGAAATATATATTATATTTCAGAAATCTACCTAAGGCTTAACCCGATCCTGTCGTGTTAAGCCATACACAAAATTCAAAACACACGTGCTTTGATTAAGATTTGGTTAAGGCTTGCAGAGCTTCAGCATTTGCCATAAAATAGCGCGCAATTTGTTACAAAACCATATAAATTATATATCACTGCAATCACAAAACTCCGATCTATTTCCGTATTGTAACGGAATTTTAAATTATGTCTTTATTATCGAGAAAATTTAGTCCAAACATAAGGAATATTTTGTTGATGTTTGACCATCAAAATCTTAAAAATAAAGAAGTTGTCTAAAAATGTGCAACAATATATTATAATCCTTTATCTTTAATTTCATTCTTCATTTGTGTAAAAATACTTTAATACGTTAAATGCCGAACGCTTATTTTGCTACTTTTTCCGACCAGTGAAATGGACTTTTAATATAATTAAGTTAAATGATGTAAATAATTAATTTAACACAGTTGGAGAAAATACCGGAAGAATACAACGAGGACGACCTGAGAGCCATCAGGGACTATGAAGAGAAAGTTGTGTTCCTAAAAGCCGAAAGGGAAAAGTACAAAACTTTGCTGGAAGTGGATTACGCGAAATTGTCCACGAACGTGCGCGATACCATCCGCAGATTCAACCAGAAGCTCTACGAGTGCACCCGCTACAAATTCTACATCGACTCGGGCATGAACCAGGAAAATTTGCAAGTGAACCGGGCCAGGTTCCAGCAGAACCACAGAATCATTTTGGACGAGATAGAGGCCGGCATTATGTGAGCAAACTTTAACAAATATAAATAAGTGCTCTTTCCTTTGAATAAAAAGATTAAGGAAGGAGCACATCGGAACACTTAAGTAGAGCGCGATGGGGACCAAAAATGGCCGACTTAAATTCCGGTTTAAAGTTGATACTCACTATACCTTTCCATATCCATTCCATATCCGTTCCGTATCCACTCCTTATCCATTCCTTATCCATTCCTTATCCATTCCATATCCATTCCATATCCATTCCATATCCATTCCATATCCATTCCATATCCATTCCATATCCATTCCATATCCATTCCATATCCATTCCATATCCATTCCATATCCATTCCATATCCATTCCATATCCATTCCATATCCATTCCATATCCATTCCATATCCATTCCATATCCATTCCATATCCATTCCATATCCATTCCATATCCATTCCATATCCATTCCATATCCATTCCATATCCATTCCATATCCATTCCATATCCATTCCATATCCATTCCATATCCATTCCATATCCATTCCATATCCATTCCATATCCATTCCATATCCATTCCATATCCATTCCATATCCATTCCATATCCATTCCATATCCATTCCATATCCGTTCCATATCCATTCCATATCAATTCCATATCAATTCCATATCCATTCCATCAGAAACAGCGTTTTAAAGTTCTTACATTTGTACCAGCTCTATTACAATTTTGCTGATATTTATTTATTCTTTCACCTCTTAATTAAATCTATTACCTTTTTCAAAAGATCCATATTTTTAAAATAAAACTTTCGTAATGATATAAATAATTGTACAGGGTGTCCCACTAAGAATAGCTCTCGGCTGTATCTCGGAAAGTATTAGCCGTAGGGGCTGATACTTTCGTTAGACGATGATTCAGTGAAGTCATGGTAGGCTTTGGAAAAAAGTTGCTTTTCACGTAATAGTATAAACGTCAAATTGTTATTAGATCAACATTTTGATAGTTTTAGCAGCGTTTTTTATCTTTTGATTGCCTTTTCAGAATGCCAACAACTTCAACTACTTCAAATAATGAAGGTATTTTGAAAAAAGCAATTAAAAGATAAAAAACGCGGCTAAGACTATCAAAATGTTGATCTAATAACAGTTTGACGTTTACACTATTACGTGAAAAGCAACTTTTTTCCAAAGCCTACCTTGACCTCACCGAATCATCGTTTCTTGTTCACTGTTATTAATATCTTAGTTACTACATATTAATACATCTGGTATTCTGGTATTTCGTCGATTTTAAAATAAACTAACTGTTTCTATCTTATTTTTTGTTAGAATGGGCATAATCAAGAGGGCTACTGATACCGTATTGTAAAAATAAGGTAATTAAGGGCTTATTTTTTGGTATTTATTATAATTTGCTTATATCTTCGGTTTGAAAGAAGATATCAAGATGCGGTTTTCGCTGACTTTTTAAGCTTTTACTACTTTTTTACTATTAGTTAAAATTACAAATACTATTGCATTTAATTTTTTTGAAAAAACACGCTATGTTTGATAAATTATAAGAAAGCGCCCCCTATCGTCTACGTTCAAAACCTTATTATTATTATTTTTAAGATATAATATAGAGTAAGAAACGCTCTTTTAAACGAGCCCTCGTTTGTTGGATTCTGATCATCCAGTCCGGAGTTATTAACATTTATATAAAGATAGATCTAACCTTCCCCCACCACTTTATTTTAGCAGATAGGGGAAAATGGTTCTAACAAAGAAAATCCAAAATTTACTGAAGATTATGAAACTATTATTTATAGTACCCATTATCTAGGCAAAATTCTGTAAAAATTCTATTTTCTTATTTTCCATAGCAGTTGTGCCCCCTAGCGGCCGTTTTACAAACTTGAAAATAATTTCCAGCAATTTCTCATAGCCCCTTTAGTTATAAATATTTTTTTCCGTAAACCCTACGGCTAATACTTTCCGAGATACAGCCGAGAGCTATTCTTAGTGGGACACCCGGTACAATAAAAAATAACTGATAAGGAACGGAAGCTTACGTATTGCGTCAATACAATAAAAATACGGAACGGATATGGAATGGAAACGGAAGGTATAGTGAGAATATCAGTGCCGTTCTAATTTTGTTCAAAACGTGTAAAAATATGATGTAGGTTAAAAAAAATAATTTGTTGTTTTATTTTACGTTGTCAATAAATGTTGGTAGTTATTAAAATTGTTATAAAAATATACAATATAATTCTAATAAAAATAGATAAAGCTTCATTCAGAACCTCAAAATCAGTGGAATAAATTAGTAGTTTCAATTAGCCGTAGAAGTTTGTTCACCTAATTTTAATATAAGCATTGAGAACGTCATAATTAGTGATAGTAATTTTCAATTAGTGGAAAAAGTTAACAAACTTTTAACTTTTCCACTAATTATACTTCAAAATTTGCGAGTAAAGCTACATTCGAAATCAATTCGCTCGCCAAGTGGCAATTCGACATTAAAGTCGGCACGAAATTAACCCATGATACAAAGCATACAAGGTATGATATTGCGCAGGTTGGTCATTACGTCACAAGTGATAAACGGCACCATTGGTCGTCAAGCTTCCCGCGCCAATTTCAAATTGTCAAACAGATGACATAATAAATGTGAAAATAATTTTTTAAATGTCAAGCTCCATGATTTGACACAACTTTTGCGGTTATATCCTAATTCTTCCCTATTTTAGGTCTTTTTTTATTAGTGGCAATTGAACAATACGGATATTTTTTTGTTTGTCATATGACGTCACAGGTGGTATGCGCAAACTTAACGAAATTGAAGCTGCTATCGATTATACCTTGTTTTCTTTGTACCATGAAATTAACCATTCACAACAAATTTCAAGTCAAATATTTTACGCACGCGTGTTTAAACTTCTCCTGACTAATTTAGAGGTTCCGAATGAACCTTAGTGTTTTACTTTGCTGTTATATCACCAAAGGTTCCAATACTCCAAATGTAATAGCATTTTGAAATTTGACTTTTTTCAGTGCATCCATTCAGGAATACGAAAAAGAGGTCGATGTAAACCATAAGCAGATACAGTTCATGCAGGATTCTCTCAGCGATTGTAAAACCAACTTGGATTCCATGCAGATCAGAGAAAAAAATTTAGAGAAAGCATACAGGAAGGACTTTCAGGACATGTCCCCCGTGGTCCAGGAACAGTCTTATAAGCTATACAAGTAAATAACGCTATAGTTCATATCACATAAAATTTTAGTCACGTATGTCTGAGTCCTAATTATTAATTATTGACCAAGTTGTACAAATCAAAAAGAAAACGTGCCTCGTGGCCAAATATATTATGTTTTTATAATATTTTTATTGATGATCATTTATAGTTCATACCAAATAAACTTTTAGTCACGTGATTAAGCTGGACCGGCACAGCGTTACCCACTTTTAACAAAAATAAATTAATTCTAAATATATGAACAGTTATTATTTACATCAACAAAACTCACATTCTTAACAGCACTTAAGGGACATAAAGCGCCATTACTATCGCTTTCCCGTTCAAAATATTCTAATAAGGTTGCGATGAGCTTTTTGCAACGGCTATTAAGCTATCTTGTACCGCTTCGCACTAAAAGAGGTTCTATAAAGAACAATGTTCGACTGCAAGGTCTGATACTAAACATTTTTAAGCTTAAAGTATCACAACATTATTTATTTAAACCAAAAACTCGTTAGACAAAACTAAAATTAAAAAAACTAAAGTGTCAAAACGAATGACAATTTCAGGAAATAAATAAATCTTTGTGGCAACTTGACATTTTTTACAGCAGAGCTACCACCTGAATCGCCAGCGCGAAATTTAAATTCCAGTTGGCCAGCCCGGCGCCGAATATGTCCATGTTTGGCAACAATGAATTTAAAAATCGCGCCCTCAATTACGAATTACGTAACAAAAGTTTAATTGGTATCTAATATATATTTATATCTTGGACAGATATTATCTGTTAACTTACAGGGTTGCCCATTAGTGCGAGAAAGTCCAATGTTGTTAAAACAAAGATACCAAAAAAACTGAAAAACATTGTGTTGTGACATTTATTCTATCTTTAAGTAAATGATTTTGCCTTAAAGTTTCAGACTTTTTTTAAATGTACATTTTCTAGTATTAAATGACTTACCTAAATTTAATTTAGATGTTATTTAATACATTATAAGTCATTTAATTGGGTAAGTCATTTAAATTTAAATGACTTACCTGTATAACTCCTATATATGTATTTAATTTAGGTAAGACATTTAATACATTATAAGTCATAATAAGTCATTTAATTTGTTTGGTTTAACTTCATTTAAATTTAAAGGACTTACCTTTATTAAATCACTTACTTACCTTTCCTATACAGGGTGGCGCACCTCATTCGCCTCGGTTGATTATACGAAAACGGAAAGATGTAGAAACAAAATATTTTAGGGGTATATGTGGGGAGACAATGTACACAATTTAAAATTATTTTGAAATATACAGGGTGTTTCAGAACTAAGATCCATACTAAAGTTATATTTTTTCTTATGGAACACCCGGTATTTTATTTCATTTTTGGATTCTTGGGCCCAAAAAAGGCATTTATTATAAGGGTTAAATATGTTTAAAATCTTTAGTTTTTGAGATATTTAAATATATTTAAATTTGCATTCTACAATAGAATAGACTATTAACACCCTGTACATTACTTTTCAGAATTAATTCTTATGCTGAGTTTGAGAAATTGAAGGTTGAAAAATAAACTTTACTGAAAAATGGTATTGATTCCTTAAATTTATACAGGGTTATCAAAAGTTTAAGGATATATTTTATATAAAAACTTTGTTATTTCAAATATAACACCCTGTATTTTTTTTAAATAAGTCGAAGCAGATTCAAATGCTCTTTCAAACTATATTAGGGTTTCCTATACCTATCTGGCTCAGATTTTGAATAAAAAGCGATTTTTAAATGAAATTGTAATCATGATGGCTATTTTCAAAGTCGACATTAGTTTATGGACACTATTATTTATAATTTATAACAGTTTACTTAAATTTACCTACAATAGTTATAAGTAAGTATTCATTTATCCAAAAAAATCCTTATGGGTTTTTCGCCACTGCACTGCAAAAAAAATCTACAAAATAAAATAGTTTTATTTTTTGTAAACACTTACACTTGCGTTAAACCTAAACGGACGCTGCTTGTCAGAAGTTGTGTTTACAGTAATAAAAATTTGCCTAACAAAGAAAAAAATGCCTAACGTTTCGGAAAGTTTTCTCTTTCAGTCGTCGGAAGCAAAAAAATATAAAGAATCGAGAAAAAAACTATTTAAAATATTTAAATTGAACTATTCGAGAACACTTTACTTTTTAAAACAGATACGTCTACAAGAAATCGTTGACGTTCTGTTAAAATGACATTATATTAAGTTAAACTTCAAAATTAACAAAAAAAAATTAAAAAAAAAATAAAAAAAACCATAAGGATTTTTTTTTGGATAGATGAATCCGCCACCTAGGTATAGACATTTTTTAAATATTCATTATTATATCAAGAAAAATAAAGCAGTATCTGCTGGCGGAACGAATAGATATGTTACTAGTAATATTATTTTGTGAGGAAAATTGCTTCTTGACCTCAAGGGCTCAAATGCTCAAAGATATCCAAATAGAATTACTTCCTGATAAGAGTTTCTTTGAAAAACTTCTTGTCCTATTTCGCCTGGTAGTGTGGTTTATAAAAAAACTATTATGCAGAAATCTGTCGTTGGAAGTGAAGAAAATGAATTTGCCCTAATTGGCTCTTTTATAGAAAATCCATGTATCTACAAGTCATCGTAAAATAATTCAAAGACTAGTTCTTCGTTTTTCTTGATAGAATAATAAACACATATTTAATAAATATTATTTATTAAACTATTGTAGATAAATTAAATAAAAGTAAACTGGTATAAATGTAAATAAGTCGATAAACTAATATCGATTTTAAAAATAGCTACTGTCACTAGAAACTTGCCATGACAACACTAGCCATCTTGATTACAATTTTACTGAAAAATCGCTTTTTTAGGAAACCCTAATATAGTTTGAAAGAGCATTTAAATCTGCTTCGACTTATTTAAAAAAATACATAGTGTTGCATTTAAAATAACGAAGTTCTTATGTAAAATAAATATTTAAAATAGCCCAGCAATTTGTGATACCCCTGTATACATTTAAGGAAGGAATAACATTTTTCTGTAAAGTTTATTTCTCTACCTTTAAACCCAGCACAAGAACTAATTCTGAAAAGTAATGTACAGGGTGTTAATAATCTATTCTATTGTAGCATGCAAATTTAAATATCTTTCAATATCTCAAAAACCAAAGATTTTAAACATATTTAACCCTTACAATAAATACCTTTTTTTGGACCCAAGAATCCAAAAATGAAATAAAATATCGGGTGTTCCATAAGAAAAAATATAACTTTGGTATGGATCTTAGTTCTGAAACACCCTGTACATTTCAAAATAATTTTAAATTGTGCACATTACCTCCCCACATATACCCATAAAATATTTTGTTTCTACATCTTTCCGTTTTCGTATAATCAACCGAGACGAATGAGGTGCGCCACCCTGTATATTTAATTTAGGTAAGCCATTTAATATAATATAAGTCATAGTAAGTCATTTAAATTTAAATGAGTTACCTGTATTAAATGACTAACCTACCTTTCCTATATATTTAATCTAGGTAAGTCAGTTAATACATTATAAGTCATAATAAGTCATTTAATTGGGTAAGTCATTTAAATTTAAACGACTTACCTGTATTAAATGACTTACCTACCTTTCCTAAATTAAACGACGTATGTCATTATTGTATGTATACATACTATGCCAGGGTATGCATTTTCTTTAAAAATGAGTTTTATTATTAATAGAAAGCGACCCAAAGTAAATTTTCGCAATATCTCCACTGCAACGGTTTTGAACGAATTGGCCAAAAGTGTCCTAAGTAACGAGACCACGATAGCCATGACGCAAGAGTGTTTGGACTACTTGAAATCCTTGGAACAATTGGATTTGTTCGTTGGTCTGCCTCCTACCATCGACGAGAACACGTATAGTTTGATATGCAAACATAGAAGGATGAGAATTGAGTACGACATTAGAGTAAGTAAAAATGGAAAATAAAAGCAGTATTTAATATTACTAAATACTAACCAAAAAATGTCTATACCTATGTGGCGGATTCATCTCTCCAAAAAATCCTTTATGGGTATTTCGCCACTGCACTGCAAGAGAATCTACAAAATAAAATAGTTATTTTTTGTAAACAATTCTGCGTTAAACCTAAACGGACACTGCTTGTCAGAAGTTATATTTACAAAAAATAACTAACCATTGCACGTTCCGTTAACTAACCATTGCATCTCCTGTTCGGGACTTAATATCTAACCGATACTTTCCGACAAGTCGGAATTAACTACTCTGCGCTGTGGTTGTCATTTTGTGGATTTGCCCAAGCTTACCTGATGGAGTAGGGCTAGGGCTCCGAAACCGGTAGTGAGAGCAGGTTGATCCACATTATGACAAACACAGCGTAGAATTAAATTTCTATATCAGCAGTTAAGTGATAAGAATTCTTATATAAATTTATTATACAGAGAAGACCAGGCTACTAGTAACATAGCAAGTTGCCGGACGAATTTACGTTTACCCGTTTTGCGTTCATACTCGAGATTGCCGGCCAGTCGGCTGGTCAGGCAGTACGCAGTTGCAGTTGTGCTTGGACGGGTCGGTCGTGACAGACTAGGAATACGACGCGAGGACTGCCGAGTATTTATTATTTTCATTTTAAGTGTTTACCTTCACTTAAGGTAACATTTAAAATGAAAATACTTAAATATATATTATTTGAGTGTGTTTCCAAGCCAAAACTAAAAATAAATAAATTCTCTAAACCCCCCCAAAAAACTAAAATATTACTCTAAATAAGAAAAAGTTATAACAAGTGTTCAAAAAGACCATCTTGTTGTGCTAGACAGAAGCCTAGGCGGTCGTAAAATCTCCGTCTGACATTGGCTAACATATTAGGGCTAATACTTTGGAAAGCCTCTCGTATTTTTACTTGAACCTCATCCAGGTTATTAGCCCTATTATGACCATACATTTTGGATTTTACATAACCCCACAAAAATAAGTCATTGGGAGAAAGATCTGGTGATCTAGCGGGCCACATAGTTCCATATCCACTAATTAAACGGTTGGGAAAAGTATTGTTCAAATATTCTTGAACAATACGGGCATTGTGGGGAGGACAACCACCTCAGCAATTTGATTACTTGAAAACGTGGGATTTTGATCCGCGGTAGCACAAATGAACACTTGCTTTAACTCCTGTTCTTCATTAATCGACACATCAGGCTTTTTGTGTTTTTGTGGGAACACGCACTCATGTGTTTCAAAATTATTAATAACTCTTGATACAGTAGGTAAATTACAGTTGAGGGTTGGAACCTTTGGTGTTACACAGCAAAATAAAAACACTAAATCACCACAATACACCAAAATACTCTTACTTTTACACTGGACGCGCGTTTCGCTAATCATGTTAGCATCATCAGCAGATGATAGTTTATAATCATCTGCTGATGATGCTAACATGGTTAGCGAGACGCGCGTCCAGTGTAAAAGTAAAAGTGTTTTGGTATATTGTGGTGACAGTAGGTAAAGATGGAATTGGCCTATTTACAAAACTTTGTGGAAAAATTGTTTAAATAATGTTTGTGGAAAAATTGTTTAAATGGTTAAAAATTTTAAAAAATCGTAACTCCAAAATTACATTAGCTAGCGAAACGCGGTTTTCAATTTAAGATTAGGAATAATATTTGCAACAAAATTTGTAATAACATCAAAATCAGTCAAAGTCGCAGTTTTTGACATATTCCGTGTTTCCGTAGTCTGTTTTTGAGAAAATCCGTGTGGAGAACTCCAAACTCCCATCGGACGCGACCCCAGGTGGAGGATAGGGGAAATAACCGCGGACCAAAATTAGAAAAGTTCCTTTACTTTGAAACTAAAAGAACTGCCTACCAACTTTTTATTGACATATTTTAGTATGGGAGGCTAAACGGGCCTCCCGGCGCCAATTTTTTAATATTACTTGAACTATTGTGGTTAACAATGTCGCAGGATATAAAAAAATAAAAATAAAACTTTTATATAGCATGGACATTTTTTAAAAGTGTGATTTTATTGTAGTTAGTTATTGAGGATTGGTATTTTATAAGAAATTTATAATGGCATATTTTTAGTGTCGAGCTGCTCAGTTACAAATAATTGATGGTGATGCTACTCTTTCTACATTCCAAAGACGTATAGCCACTGAAAAAGAAAAAATCGCTAATTTAAATGCCCAACTGGAGAAGACCAGAGATGACAGGTTAGAAATAATAGCATAATCAATTTATAATACATCAGTACACTTTTTTGTCACTTTAGACAGCAATATAGTCTGTCCAACGACATATCAATTGACAGTGATAGATGGGTCTGTCATTTTTAGTACAAAGTAGTTTCTTTTATTTTACAAAGAAATAAGTTGGTACCTACAATTGGAACGAATAGGAAAAATAATATATTCAAATCTGTGAGTGAGTGATAAGGGAGTGATAAAAAATGTCTATACTTATGTGGCTCATTCATCTCTCCAAAAAAATCCTTTATGGGTATTTCGCCACTGCACTGCAAGAAAATCTACAAAATAAAATAGTTATTTTTTGTAAACACTTCTGCGTTAAACCTAAACGGGCACTGCTTGTCAGAAGTTATGTTTACAGTTATACAAATTTGCCTAACAAAGAAAAAAATGCTTAACGTTTCGGAAAGTTTATCTCTTTCCGTCGTTGGAAGCAAAAAAATACAAACAAGAAACAACAGAACAACAAAAAAAATTCAACAGAACGTCAACGGTTTCTTGTAGACGTATCTGTTTTAAAAAAGTAAAGTGTTCTCGAATAGTTGAATTTAAATATGGAATACAAATTTGCGTAACAAAGAATAAAGAAATAGTTTTTTTCTTTATTCTTTGTACTTTTTTTTGCTTCCGACGACGGAAAGAGATAAACTTTCCGAAACGTTAAGCATTTTTTTCTTTGTTAGGCAAATTTGTATAACTGTTAACATACATACATACATACAGCCGCTACTTGCTGACGAGTTTCCGACACACATAAAGAAGATGGTCACGCAAGGCGTTTTCTTTCATGAGCTTTTGTGTGACTGAAAAGCCCGATACGTGATGTTTTATCTGCCTACAGCACTCCGGACATTCAAAAATCTCATTGCTTTGTTGCTTCTTTACTTTTTGGTTGTCGCTGTTAACTGAGTTTACAACTCTTCTCCATTGAGTTCTATTGTGAGCTGCTTTTTCCCACTCATTCTGCATGTTAAGCCCCCTTAAGTTTTCGTGGAAAATGTCCTTGTACCTTTTCAGTTGTTCACCCGGCCTCCTCTTACCGTCTACAAGCTCACCGTAAAGCAGAGATTTTGCTATGCGGTTTTCTTGCATTCTGCATACATGACCAGCCCATCTTGAGCGGGATTTTGTAACCATGACTTCAATACTCTCGCAGTTAGCTTTTTCAAGGACCGATACGTTTGAGACATGATGGAACCACCGGATTCTTAAGAGTTGTCTAAGATGTCTCTGTTGCAACTTGTTTAATGCGTTCATGTGTTGGCGGTACGGCACCCAGGTTTCACTCCCATATAACAATGTGGGGATAATAATTACTCGGTACACTGGAAGTTTTGTTTTTGTACTCAAGTCATGATTGTAGAAAACCCCGTCTTTTAATTTCCAGAATGCTCTTGAGGCGCTACTAATCCTGTGCTGAATTTCAGAGTCAATATTGGCCTTTTCCGAAATCAAACTGCCAAGGTAATTGAATTCCGCCACATATTCCAATAGTTCTTCTCCGATTTTTATAACATTGTTGTGATCTTCCGGGGGAGTGCACATGATTTTAGTTTTGTCGATGTTTAGCTTAAGGCCTAAAGCCTCGTATGCCCAGGTATATTTGTTCAACATTTCCTTTGTCCAACTAGAGCGCAGTCGTCAGCGTATTGAAGTTCTGTGATGAATTTTGTACGTGTTTTTGCCCTGAGTCTTTTTATGTTGAACAGACCGCCGCACAATGGATCGAAGCATAAGAAAATAGAGACATTGGCCGTTTTGAAGAGTTCTCAATTTAAATATTTTTTTACATATTTGTGTTAAAGAGATATTCTAGTCTTGTAAAACATATACAGTATATCTGTTTGTTATTTACTTATTGAGCATATGATCACCATTTGAAGTAAATTGAAAAATCATTCAAATTGGTAGATAAAGAGTCTTACATTTGATTATAATTTTAAAATGGATGTAAAAGACATTCGTTTGTTATATATAACGACTTATTAGAAGCGTTCTTGGGCTATAGTATTGGATTGTTAAATTAAAAAAAAAAAGTCACACCAGAAGTGAAAAGCTCATTTGTTTTTATTTATGTCATTAAGACTTAAAAATATAAAGTTTTCTTGAATTACAAAAAAATGTAAGCGGATGTAAGTGGAGATATTACGTGCAATGTAAAGAGCCACCTTTATTAGCACATATCATAAAAAAATTGGCTGCCCCAAAGTGCCACTGCAAAAAATATAATGTTTCTAATGTCAAAATCCTTGAATGTATACAATGTACGCACAGTGCACCATCAAACAATTTGTAATTTGCCGATATACATAGGTAAGTATATTCGTCGAAGAATATTGGAGTGGGACTAAATTACACTAAAAAATAATAACATTACTTTAAAAAACACGTAATAACAGTTCAAAATGCAAAATATTTATCATTTCTATTTGACATAATTTGACACCAAATTATAACCTATAATTTGGCAAGGGTTTTGGAGACAACTCTTAAAATTCTTAAGTCGAGTTCATACGCATCGGCCCGTCAAACCAATAATATTGAAATATGATCTGTCATTTTTGACATAAACCAATAAAACTGGTTAAAAACAACAAGAGACAACGCATGACGGATTTATATTTATCCATAGTTAACTTAAAAAATATTAGGGGGTATATATATAGATGGGTTTATACCCGTCCATAGTTAACTTAAAAAATATTAGAAAAAAAAATAGTGTAATAAATTGATTGGTATGGACGTCATCTGCTTTTGTCTGTCGAAATCTTACCTGAGAAAAAAAAAACAGAGTATAGCTATAACGTTACATTAGTCTCTTGAAAAAATCTAAACATTTCTGTAACTCTAATACATTTGGGTATGCCTAGTACTGGCTCTGGACCAAGATAGGATAGATTTGTTTAGAGTCTATCGTTTTTTCGCATTATTGAAGTTAACTGTATGCCCTGCTTTCCATGAATTCTGACAAATCTCAGATTTTCGAAAATTACCTTTTTGTATATTATGCAATAGGTTGTACCTGCTGCACAACAGACAAGTCCAAGTGGTACTCAGGAGAGGTTTGGTTGAAATCCCTCTTACTGGAGACTTGTTCACCGACTTTAATGACGTTATTTTGATCCCCAGAACAGAAATTCAACGCGTCAACGATATGATCAAGGTGAGTATTCTCCGAAACAAACTTAAAATTGCATTTTTTAAACTTATTCGTTTTTGGAAAAGAACGCGGGCAATTTGAAATTGAAAACGATCTACAAAAATATGGAGTTTAAGAGACGCATTATGAATATCGAATGGGAACACATGAAGACTAGAATGCAGATCAACGATTTTATTGAGCAGAGGAAAGATATTCTTTCTGTAAAGGTAAAAAGTTTAAGTCAGTTTTATTTATTTTTAAGTATGGATTCAGAGCAGTGCCGCTCGAATGGCTTAAGTCATATCTTGGCAACAGAAGACAGCTTCTGAGGATTGATACGTCTATGTCTTCTTGTAAGCCTATAGAATGTGGTGTCCCTCAAGGTTCAGTACTAGGCCCTATTTTGTTTCTGGTGTTTATCAACGACATTGCAAATCTAGAGATTAGCGGTAAAATCTGCCTCTTTGCGGACGATACTAGTTTCACTTGGAGCGGCCCAGATGTTACGGCGCTATACTATATCCAGTGACTTACGCACCATTAAATCTTGGTGCGATTCTACTCTTCTATGTATCTATCAAAAACTAAAGTTTTGTCATATAAAAGTACTATACAACCTTTTGTACTTAATAACACCACTATTGACGTCGTGGACTCTGTGAAATTCTTAGGACTTGTTGTAGACAACTCGTTAAAATGGGACTTGCACATCGAAGTTTTATCAAAGAAACTAAGCGCTGCCTGTTTTGCCCTAAGATCAGTTTCTAAGGAACTTAACTTATCTACCTCTAGAATGGTCTATTATGCCTTTTTTGAGTCGCATCTTCGTTATGCCCTTCCATTCTGGGGTACTTGCTGCGCGACAAAATTTGATTGTATTTTCAAACTTCAAAAGAGCGCAGTTCGATATTTATTGGGACTGAACTGTGTGCCAGAATTTCTTTAATGATTTCAAAATACTGACACTACCTTCTTTATTCATTTTTGAATCCGTTTGCTCAATCCGCCAGCACATATCTGCTATTCCCGAAAGGGAACAACTATCCACTTAGGAAGGCGGAGCACGATTTTTATCTGCCAACCCCGAGCTCAGAACTAGTTAAAGGTTCAATACTGTACAATGCCAAAAAAATGTACAATCATCTGCCTTTGAATATCATGTCACTTTCATTCTTTCCCGCATTTGGCAAAATAATTTAATTAAAACAACACTCTTTTATTTTTTTTTTGCTTATATAGCCAGGGTTCGGAAGTAGTTAATTAAGACGTAATTTACCTGATTAACTACGTGTAGTTTTTCTTCAAAAACTACGTCTTTTCCCGTTCATTAACTACACGAAAACTACGTTAATAATTTTCTACGGGATTTTTTTATGGCACGGTCAACATTGCAATATTATAATGCTATATCTCAATTTTTTTAAATGTAATACACACTGTATATTATTTTTAGTATTTTAGATACCTACAAACTTAAAAAGCGCACATTTTTGTATTTAAAATATTTCTAAATTTTTAGCCGTTGCGGAAATAGCCTTATGTAATATAATTCGCAGTATTATACCATATAATCGAATAAAAACGGCGTCAGCGATGGCTATGAAATGAAGATCGCTGTCATTTTATATGTAAAATTATATGGAAAATGTCATCGATCGTCATTTTCAAGCCAACTGGACGCCGTTTTTTTTTTATCATACGGTAAATTTTTATCAAAGCGACCTCAGGATATTTTGTCTTATATTTTACTCTGTATGGTAAAATTTTGTTTTTCTACCCATCCTATAAAAGTAAAACAAAATGAAATCTGTAACAGGTTGCTTTACTTTTTGACTATACGAATACACAATTTATCTAGAAATGATTCGAAGTCGAAAAACTTTACCTGGGGAAGTCCTCTGATGATGCATGGTCCCTCTAAATCATCATATCAATCAACAAGTCACTGCCCACTTTTTAGGTATTTACTTAATACGTTGTAATCAGTAAGACGAGTAATTAAACATGCAATTCACATTAAAAAACGTATATATTAATCAATTAGAGACAAAACAGTGCAATAACCGGCAGAGTTAATTCAAACTAATACAAATTCCCAAATAATGCAATTCTGCATTTTCAGCCTGTCGCCTAAAATCTCTCGGGCTGATGCTGATCGGGAACTGATCGTGAAGTGATACATATTTTTAACGAACGGCTTTTAAGGCTTAAATTTACATTTGAGGCTCGCCTCAATACGGTCTTTTTACGCGCTACTACTCCATACATTTTATCTCTCTTCAACTAAAGGTTTTGCCTATGCTTTTTCTTTTCATTCTATAGATTTAAGATTCCAGTGAACGCTGTCGCTCCGTCAATGCGATATACCACAATACGCTAGACAAGGAAAGGCGAGGGTAATTTAAAAAAAAAATAGTACGCCACTGATAAAAATAAAAATTTCGGAGTTTTTTTATTTACACGGTTTATTTCAAAGAAAAAATGTCTCTTGCAACTTTCTCCTATCTAACACCATTTTGTCACAATTTAAAAATAAATAAATTTTTTAATGAGAATCTTAAATACAGCGAATTATTATAACTAGAGGACAGAAACACATGTGCATCGTTAGATCCCTTCATCTTGGGTAACTTTAGTACTTTTTACTATTAGCACTAAATAAATTTTTAAAAAATTATAAATTTAAAATAGAATTTTTTTTATTGTTAATAATAAAATTCGTAGTTTTAAGGTAGTTGTAATAATAATAGTAATATAATAATAATAACTAAAACCTCTTCTTTTTACATTTAAAGTGTCTCTGTTAGGCAGACTCCTACAATAAAATTTTATAACGATACTTTCAACTGTTAAAATACTATTAAAGAATATCTTTCATTTTGTGTAAGAGGCATTTCGACCCACAGTGTGCTATATCAAAATTAATATTTCGACGAATGATAGTCGAAAGCATGACCGACTTACAGGAATCACCCTGTATATTTTTCCAGTTTACCAAAGAGATGCAGAGGTACTTAAAGAGCAAAACTATGGGCAAACAAGCGGAAGTGGAATCGTATGAAATGGAAGTGGAACTCTTGGCAGCCGCGTTCGAAAACAGGATAAAGGACAAGAAGGACAAGTACAACAAGATCAAGATCCAGCTGAAACTGTACCAGGACAGCAACAAGAACTTAGACGAAGAGATCAAGAAGATAAACGTTGACGTGTGCCACTTCAAGTTGCTCAAAGAATGGGAAGTGGAAGAAAAGGAGAAGAGCATACTCAAATCTAGGTCAGTAGATAATATGTTACAGGAAATATTCAATTTCGGGTTGTTTAAGTTGGCCTAGGACATAAAGTACCTAAAAGTCTTTGAATAAGAAGACTAAGGAAGGAGCATATCAAAAATCTTAGGTACACCGCGATGGGCATCAAATATGGCCGACTTAAATTCCGGTTTATCAGTGTCGTTCTAATTTTATTTATAAAATGTAAAACTATGATGTAGGGTAGACGTGGGGTAGACTCAATAATTTGTTGTTTTATTTTACGTTGTGAATAAATGTTGGTAGTTATTAAAATTGTTATAAAAATATATAATTCTAATAAAAATAGATAAGTTATAATAAGTATTTATTAACACAAACATCCGATACGCTACTGAAGCAGGTAAGTCAAATTAACGTATCTAAATTCTTTGACATCTAATCTTTGACAAGTAATAAATAAAAGCTAAAATGCAAGAAAAATATATAATTTAGTTAATTTAAGTGAATTTCATAAATGATCGGTTTACTACACGTATTATATAGTCACTTACTAGCGAAAAGTTGTTCCATTATTTCACTCAATTTTTGCCGAGATCTACCGCACGCTACACAACCAACTATTTTAGAGTCTTTTTCGATAAATCGCGATAGTGTCACTGTTAATTTAAGTTCTGCCACAATTTCCATCTAGATTTACTACCTTTATACAACTATCAGTAGTAGAAAAAATAATAAATAACATAAAATAAGCTCCGTAAAGACTGACAAATCCACAAAATTTCAAATCAAATTCAATTGTGTCAAATGAATCGTCAAACAGAACTGTCAAGGATCCCCACCCTAGAGAGCTTTTATGGTGCCTTTTCCGCCCACCATGCATGAATACATGGATAGCATTATGCTCCTTCCTTAGTCTTCTTATTCAAAGCTAAAAGTACATATCGTTGTTAGGAGTTTCGCAAATTTTCTAGGCCGTACCGGAAGTACGGTAATCGCAAAACAATTTCAAAGTTCAAACCAGTTAAAAAATATGTAGGTGGCGCCCTCTACTAGTATGAGTCATTATAACATCAAAATCAAATTTCTCATGTCAAAAAACTTCCAGACACCAATTTTCAACCAAATATCGACGTTACTTCCCAAATTATTTCGAAAAAATCGAAATAAAAATGAAACTTCTACACCCTGTATCTCTTAAAGTAAACATTTTAGGACATATATTTATACGACTTTTTTTACTTATTTTTATCTGCAGAAGATACGGCCAAAGTTTCCGGAATACAGTTCGGACCACCCTATATATTTCACAATGAGTGTTTAAGAACTAATCATAAAATCTGTCGGAGGGGCTGAGAAAAAGTACCCTATAATAAAATTATAAATTCCCTGGGATACCAGGATGGACCTAATGGTGTCTCTGAGTCTCTCCTGCGTTGCGTTGTCTAAAAATGTATTGCTTTTAGGTTGAATGCAATGTTGCAAAGAAATCAGCTGGTGCAAAAAATCCAAGAAAACCACAACGAAATTCTAGTGCTGCAGGCGGAATTGGAGTTATTAAGATTAAGAACATTTCCGACATTTAAATATAAAGTATTGGACCAATAATGTTAAAAAAATATTACATATTTTTAGTTAAATATTTGTAACTAAATGTTCATAGTTTTATTTGTTTGTAACATTGCTAGTCAATTATTAACAGAGTTTTTTTTAATTATTTTATATTTTTTAATAAACTTTTTATTTACATTGATTTCTTTGTTTTACTAGTGCGCTTTTCGCATGGCGAGATAGCGCCCTGCGTGCAATGGTCGTACTTTCGTACCACCGAGGCGCACTATCGATAGTGAAAATTACTATTATACCACTCAGTATAAACGTAATTTTTTAGATATCTTATCTGTCTTCAAAAATGAATTGAAATATTAACGAAAACACACAAATCAAGTGTTTTGTTTACATTACACGTGATTTTGATTGAAACATTTTACCGTGTAACATTATGAAACATCTGTTATGTAGTAGGTACTTCCTTAATAACAATAAAAAGTGTCAAATCAATAGTACTTTGTTACCACTTGCATCAAAATAAAAATTAAAACAAAATAATAAATAATATTGAGAAAAGAGTTTTATTTGCTAAACGTCTATCCCATTAAAACCATAGAATGTAAAAAATGCCAAATCTCCCAACACAATTTTTCCACTATAAGTCCGCGGTTGCATTGGACGCGGGTCCGTGCGTTTGTGGGGTCAAGTGATCTTACCCTCCCTATTTACCAAGTCTGTGGTACGTCTAGAGATAGATTTTAGATATGATCTGTGGTTAGGATTAACTAGGGTTATGTTTAGGTTAGAGAGAGAGAGGGAGACTTTTGGTGTGGTGTGTGCTCCATGTCGCTTGGCGATCTCTCATGGCATTGTTCGATGTATAATAACTGAATTAAGAATAAAGTTGTTAAATTGAGAAGTGTTTAGTTGAAGGTGTTGAACGGCCCCAGCGTTGAGCACCCATAATGGTGACCCCGTACCCATACGTTTTTTTAAACGTGCGAGCTCTGACGGAATTTACTGGCACGACTATTTTATTTTAGTGGTTATATTAGATGCGCGTTTATGGTGTCCTGTGTGTCGAGTTTGTCAAAACGGACGCCACTACTTTGATGCTGTCTGAGGATTTAATGTTAAAATAACTACTTATGAACAGAAGAAAATGTTATGTAAATGATTTATATGCAAGAAAAGGGGAAGAAAATGAATATGTAAAATATTTGGTGAATTAAAACAGCAACCGGTCAAATTTTTTGAATATTTTAGAATGCTTCCAGCAACATTAATATATCTAAAATAAAAATAAACCGAGTATTCAAAAACATTTAAATTTTTCGGGAATGTATTGGGCCTAGAGATATAAAAATTCGAACGCTCGGACGTGCACGTATTAAAAAAACAAACCAGTTTGTTGCTTTGAATAAGAAGACTAAAGAAGGAGCATATCAAAAATCTTAGGTACACCGCGATGGGCCTCAAATATGGCCGACTTAAATTCCGGTTTATCAGTGTCGTTCTAATTTTATTTAGAAAATGTAAAACTATGATGTAGGGTAGACGTGGGGTAGACTCAATAATTTGTTGTTTTATTTTACGCTGTGAATAAACGTTGGTAGTTATTAAAATTGTTATAAAAATATATAATTCTAATAAAAATAGATAAGTTATAATAAGTATTTATTACCACAAACATCCGATACGCTAATGAAGCAGGTAAGTCAAATTAACGTATCTAAATTCTTTGACATGTAATCTTTGACAAGTAATAAATAAAAGCTAAAATGCAAGAAAAATATATAATTTAGTTAATTTAAGTGAATTTCATAAATGATCGGTTTACTACACGTATGTATATTATATAGTCATTTACTAGCGAAAAGTTGTTCCATTATTTCACTCAATTTTTGCCGAGATCTACCGCACGCTACACAACCAACTATTTTAGAGTCTTTTTCGATAAATCGCGATAGTGTCACTGTTAATTTAAGTGCTGCCACAATTTCCATCTAGATTTACTACCTTTATACAACTATCAGTAGTAGAATAAATAATAAATAACATAAAATAAGCTCCGTAAAGATTGACAAATCCACAAAATTTCAAATCAAATTCAAATGTGTCAAATGAATCGTCAAACAGAACTGTCAAGGATCCCCACCCTAGAGTGCTTTTATGGCGCTTTTTCCGCCCACCATGCATGAATACATGGATAGCATTATGCTCCTTCCTTAGTCTTCTTATTCAAAGGTTTGTTGTTTGTTTTCATCCGAAGAACGGAAATTGACGTACGTGCACGGACGCGCAAACTCCGATGCAATGTAACTGCCTGCGTAGATACCATTTGTTTGTTTTTTGCTGCGTGCACGCCCGTGCACGCCCGTGCACGTACGACCAAAAATACGTACGGACACGCATCCAATGTAACCACGGGCTAAGAAGTTGTGAGATCGCATGTAAAACCAAGTCAGTTTATTTTATTTAGTTTCTCTTTAAGCACTTATTCAACAATTTTGTTACAAATTGCTGGTATCAGTATTAGTCATCTTTATTTCTGGAATAATTATAATGACTTAGAAAATGCACGATATAATATTCTATACTAATAAAAAACTTTATTTTTAAGGGCACTATTTAGATTCACTTGGTAAAATTGGTATATTGGTGAAATGGTATATTATTCTAGTATAATTGTGGTGCTGCGCAATTGCCAAGTTACCTAAAATTCAAAATTTGAAGTTTGTAACTCTTCTAGAAGTACCTTAGGATTTTGATGATGTGTCAGTGAGTCAATGTCGATAATTAAAGGAATTTGACAAGCGATACCTAATTCATAAATTATGAGGTATAATTACTAAATACCGTGATCGAGAAAAAACGGCGTCAACGATGGCTATGAAACAGGGTTGGCATGATTTAAATCAAATGATTCCGTTCCGTTGACTTCGTTCGCGTCGAATGAATCATTTGTAATGGTGATAATAAAGCAAAGCAAGAATTTCCATTAACATACAAAGTGGATCGACAAATTTTGAAATGTATAAAAAAATTATATAGAAAACTTGGTAATATTTGAGGGGTAGTTTCATCACGTTGGAATTTGACTTTCGAAAAATCCGTTTGCCAAAAATAAGCTTTTTACGTCAAGCAGTTTAAGCAGAATTGTGGTTAATCAATTACCTAACTTTTTAAAACACCCTGTATGATATTTTAAAAAATTCAAAATATGTAAACAAACACAATAAATTATGCGTATCCCGAAAGACTAACCGTTTTTTAAGTAACAAATATTGTAATATTTGAGGGGCGTTTTCACCCTGTTGGAATTTGAAATTCGAGAAACCCCTCCTTATCGAACCTCTATACTCTACAGTCAATCCGTTTGCCAAAAATCAGCTTTAAACGTCAAGCAGTTTACGCAGAATCGTGATTACTCAATGGTCATATTTTATGAAACACCCTGTATAAATTTATTAAAAATCTTAAAATATGTAAAACAACAAAATAAAATATACGGGTTTAAGAGTTTTTCTGAAAAACTCACCGGTTTTTAAATAAAAAATATTTTAATATTTGAGGGATAGTTTCACCCCCTTAGAGTTTGAGTTTCGAAAAATCCCCTCTTATCGAACCTCTACACCCTAAAGTCAATCTGTTTTCCAAAAATCGGCTTTTTACGTCAATCGCTTTAAGCAGGATTGTGATTAATCAATGACCAGATTTTTCGAAACACCCTGTATACATTTTTAAAAAATCCTAAAATATGTAAATAACAAAATAAAATATACGTGTTTAAACGTTTTTTCGGAAACTTGACCGTTTTTTAAATAAAAAATATTGTAATATTTGAGGGGTGGTTTCACCCTCTTAGAACTGGAATTTCGAGAAATCCCTTCTTATCGAACCTCTACACCCTAGAATCAACCTGTATGCCAAAATTGAGCTTCTTACGTTGAGTGGTTTGAGTAGGATCGTGATTAATCAATATGTCAGTTACTTAAGGATTTTATACCTATATTAGTATGGATAATTAATTTACTTTGGTTTTCTAAAATATTTTGATAAAAAGAAAATATGCAAAAGTGGGCAACGCTGTGCCGGTCAAGCTTAATCACGTGATTAAAAGTTTATTTGATGTGAACTATATGATCATCATTTATTTTAATTGGGTGCTTCAAAAGTAATAAACTAAGGATAATTATAGTTTAGTACATATTAATTATGGAAATATATTATTAACATAAATTTTATTTTTAATATTTGCCAAGCAGAAACAGTACTGAACTCCCAGTTATCAGCAAGGTAAACATAAATTATAAGTGCAAAATATGAAATATGACTTTTAATATAAACTCGCCGGCAAAAAAAACGGCCACTAAAAACTAATCCCAATTTCAAAGTTGGATTTCTCGCGAACCACGCATTAGATTTTGATGATTTTTTTTTAAATGTAAATTAATTTCTTCTTAACGGATGCTACATCAGACATTTTTATTCCGAATTTATTTTGAGCATATACATACAATTGGAAAAATTCTCTAAACTCTTTTTCATCTTCTTTTAGATGATTATTTATTAATAAATGAAACAACCTACTTCCTCGCGTCGCCTTTTAAACATTTCATTTACACCTTTTTCTAGATAACATTTGGTAAAATTCTACTTCATCTTCCCCTTCTTCTAATAAAATTAATGTTATCAAATCGGCGTAATCCATATTTTTTAATAAACCCCGCGAAATTTAAAATGACAAAAATGCTACAGTCCGTAGTCAAGTCGCGCAGGTCGGGCAGCACCACAGAAATCGCACCTTGACAACAACGGTTGTCAAATTAAAAAATGCCATTATCTGTGACGGATGTTGCTCGTATTGTGGCTTTAATTGAGGATGGCCGAAGTCAAATTTATGTGTCCGATACCCTGGGCATACCTCCAACAACAGTCCAGGATGCTTGGAATCGGTATATGGAAACGGGAAATTTCACCAGGCGAGTGAGTTCCGGAACAAAACGGAAGACAAATGCAATTGACTACCGCTTTATTGTCCGTAAAGACGAAATCGTTGAATTACAGCGTTTCAGAATCAACATCTGCTAAAAGCCGTGCGTAGAACTTAAGTCAGTGTGTAAAACTTGGAAAATAAGCTGGTTATAATAATAGTTTTATAATTCGGAAACTCTCTATTTATTTATCTAGTAATGCTAGAACACTCTATTATTTTGAAAGGCGATTAGAGAAAATAGTATGATTCATTGATAAGCGATGTAAATATTTGCGATTAGGTAAAATTGTGATGTAAGAGGATAGGCTTAGTAGACGGGCCGGCCGGCTGTAAAGTAGTGTTGTGTTGTGTTTTGTCACAGAGCTGACATTTGGAGGGTGCGAGTATTTTGACTAAGGTTGCGAGTCTTTTTGACTATTAGTATGTGAGTCTTTATGACTATTAAGGATGCGAGTCTTTGGACTAAGGATGCGAGTCATTTTGACTATTCTTTGGACTAAGGTTGCTTTGGTTAGGTTAGGTTAGGTTTTTATGACTATTAGGATGCGAGTCGTTATAACTATTAAGGATGCGAAGGATGCGAGTCTTTTGACTACTAGGATGTGAGTCTTTTGACTATTAGGATGCGAGTCTTATTGATTATTAGGATGCGAGTCTTATTGACTATTAGGATGCGAGTCTTTTTACTATTAGGATGCGAGTCTTTTGACTATTAGGGCGAATCTTTATGACTATTAAGGATGTGAGTCTTTTTGACTATTAGGGATGCGAATCTGTTTAGCTGCAGATTTACGTCCGTGGAAAGCCCCTATACTTATTTCAGGTGACACCAGCTAGTTGTTGAAGATTTACCAATAGATCCGAATAATATTTGAATTAGATGGAAGATATGGAATGGGATATATTGAATAAAATCCCAGTGGCTAGGGGGCGAAGCACCCCTGGGTGAGTTTTACTATATAACTATCAATTTTATCCAGATCAGTAAATGTTTGTTTTGTTATTTTTATGTACAATGAGAGTCTGCTTGCCAATGACCAACTAAATGGATATTTGAGGTGAATTTGCATTGTGAGACCCGGTTGAGTAAGCCCCAGAAATAAGCGATTTTACAAGTGAGAGAACAATCCAACGAAGACTAAAAGAAAACAGCTTGTCTGCAAGGAGGCCTGCCACAGGACCCCAGCTACTTCCAAGACATCGTCGAGCACGTCTTCAGTTTGCGCGTTTACATGTGAATTGGTTTGGTCGCAGTTTTGCCTGCAAAGCATTTTTCCGAGACGTTCGTTTTAAAGCAGCGTATCTCCATTACAAACAGAGATAATGTCGTGATTAAAAAACAAAGTGCTCACAAAAGATGAGGCTACAATGTGATTTGATATAGATACTACACCTACTGCACCCTACAGGGTGTCACAAAGTTCGAGCAAAAAACTTCGTCTTATTGTTGTGCCCTGTATATGCTCAAAATAAATTCGGAATAAAAATTTCTGACGCAGCATCCGCTAAGAAGGAATTAGTTTACAGTTTAAAAAAAAATCATCAAAATCTAATCAGTGATTCGCGAGAAATCCAACTTTGAAATTGGGACTAGTTTTTAGTGGCCGGTTTTTTTTGCCGGTGAGTGTAGTTATTTATACTAAAAAAGCAATATAGACTTTTATACAGTACTGTTTAATAACCTGGTTTGAAAAACAGGTCGACTGAACGTTCTCTTTATCATACAGCGTATTTTTTTTGCATCAAAGATTAAATTACTTTAAATAATGTAACTAATTAAGTGCTTCTTCCTTTTTATCTACATTGTGACGTATATGTTTTGATTTAAATATATTAATAACAAACTGTTGCCTTTGTTATCTATTTCATTCATAGAAGTTTTACCTGCTAGGCAGACACCATGATTGTAGTTTTTAGTGTTATTTGTTTTCTTTTAATTCAATGTCAGGTAAGGCAATGTAAAATATACTAATTTGTAGAAATAAAATAGAAAATAGTAACTTTTTTAAAGGCATCGGATCTTATAGTTCAAATTAAGGATGGCAAAGTACAAGGAGCAACATATTCAACACCCCGTGGAGTGGTTTTTTATTCGTGGAGAGGAATTCCATTTGCAAAACCACCAATAGGAGACCTAAGATTTATGGTTTGCTAGATTATTGTTTAATTATACAGTATAATTGAAAAAAAAAAACGGTGTCAAAGACGGCTGGGGAATAACAATCGATAAAAATTTTGGCGAGGTCAAAAAAATATTTTTTTTAAACGCCACAAAAGTATTAATTTTTGCGACGTCATTGACAATATAAAAAAGTCATTTTAACGGCTAGGCATAAAAGTAAAGCACTTTTACGCCTAAACATAAAAGTACGAAAAACATATTATCAAACTGACATAAATCTATGATTAAATAATATATTAAATAATAATTCTCGATATATAATTACGTACAAGGTATGACTTTTAAATCTTTTTATATTATTTGGAACGTTTGAAATTGTTTAAAAAATTATTTGTGGTGTTTGAAAAAAAATAGCATGTTCTATTCGGAGGAAAAATGACTTTTTTACCTCGGCTGTATGTCAGACGTAGAGTAAATATAATAGTAATTATTATTATTATTATTATTATTTATTAAATATAAAAAATTTATTATTATAAAAATAAATTATTATTTTATTGAATATAAAAATAAATTACAAGCTCTTTAAGGCCAACTGGCAGTAAGCGTCTTTAAAACATGAAGAAGAGTAGGGGCCAAGTAAATAGCGTTTAGGGCTTGACGTCGCCAAAATTATCATCGAATACCATTCTTTGGCACAGCCATCTTTGACACCGTTTTTTTTTGTTTGAAAAAGCTATTGAAATGTTTTTTGTTTCACTATATTCTAAATTCAATAGATTATTATCTAAACGTACAGATAATATTTTGGAATTTGAGTTTCTTGTTTTTGTGGTGTTATTTCTAAAATGTTTGTAGATAGTAATTTTTGAATAAAAGGATCAAGGAAGGAGCCATAGAATCATGCAATGGGCACCTTTGAATTTAATTTGAATTTTAGAGGATTTTTTGTGCTTTTCTGCGCTTACATTTTGTTATCTGTTATTTCTTCTACAATGAGTTTAGAGGTATAATAATATATTTTCCTCTTGTAAAGACAATCCGAGGACATACTGTATATCTTATTTCTGCATTTTCGCTTTTAATGACAACATTTAAAAATATATTCGCGCTTCATTATCAAGTTTGTTGACACGTTCGATTCGAAATCTTTTTATTCAAAGGTAGTGCCTACCCAACACATCACAAAAATATAGACAATATTGAGTCTTTTGTTTGAAATTTAGCCGCCACAAAAGAACGAGCCATGGAATGGTATACTGAATGCCACAGTAAACGGTCCAGTATGTATTTTTAACACAGGCAACGACAAACCCAGTAATGGTATAAGTGAGGACTGTCTGACAGTAAATGTGTATTCGCCCAGAAGTACTGATCACAAGGTATATATAATTTTGTTCGTTCAAAAATTAATACTATATACACAAACAACAAAGACTTTCTTGAATATAACTTAAGGAGTTCTTAAGAGTCTATTATGCTGTACTGTTCGGGTCGCTTGAGTTTTATCAAAAAAATACAAGAGATAAAAGAGTTTCTAAACAAACTAAACTATCCAAATTAATTTTTTTGCATGTGCTTGATAAGATTTTTCTTAAAATTTCGTTAACAAGAATGATAGGGGTAGTTTATTTCAACCCCTTCCACTCATTTTAAAAAAGTAAAAAAATTACCTGAAAGTGTGTTTTCATAACAGTAATGCTTCCATAAAATTTCATTAGTCTATCTCTTTTCGTTTTCAAGATAAAAAATAAAAACATTATTTTTCCGCCATCTTTGTACCGCGATATCTTCCTAATGGTTGACTTTTGACCCAACGTTTAGAAAGCAAACTACCCTTTATTTTGAACAAGGAATCACCCCCTGAAGTTTTTCGCATTTGTTTTGAAACACCCTGTATAGTGCCAATCATTATTAGTACAGATTTTTACCAGGAGACATTTTTTACGTAAAAACGGACAGAAATGTATATTTTTTCACTCAGTAGTGTAATATAGGCATAGACGAGAAGTTATTACTCCTCAAAACGTTTAAAAATATGTACCTACACTCTCTTTACAAGTAGAGGTCATCCAGGCATCGGAAACAAATTTCTCACGTTAAAAAACACCTAGAGATCAATTTTTTTGTTATAATAATTAGTATCGATAATCCAAGTATCGGTTAATTCGGAAATTATTTGGAAAGAACCGAAATAAAAATGTAGTTTCTACACCCTGTATCTCAGATACGAAATATTTTAAGACGTATAACTTTTTACCTATATTTATCTGCAGAATATGTTATCTTATGAATCCGGTTATTTTTAGAACCACCCTGTATATTAGTGTTACGTTTTGGCTGGTTCCGTAGGGATAATCAACAGTTTAATTTAACTAACGAATTTGGAACCAAACCGCGGAGATAAGAGTTAACAAAAATTTATCCACAGACACCTTCAATGTGTGTCAAGGAGTCCGCCAGGGCTGTATACTGTCGCCAATACTTTTTAATATATACGTCGAAAAAATATTTCAAATGGCCCTGGAAGGAGAAAGTGGAGGAATTAAGATTAACGGAGTTCCAATTAACAATATAAAATATGCAGATGATACGGCAATACTAGCACCAACTTTAGAGGATCTCCAACTGGACTTGTTCGTGTCATTAAAATAAATAATTAATTTTTAGTACAACTCCTCTTTACCTGTCATGTTTTGGATTTACGGAGGTTCATACGCCAGTGGTTCTGGTGATTTTAACTATTACGATCCCACACCCCTTGTCCAAGAAGGTGTAATCGTGGTCACCTTTAATTACAGACTAGGTACTTCCAGACTATGTAAATCCGCTATGTTTTATTTTACTGAATTTAATTTAGGTTCTTTTGATTTTTGTCGACTAAGGATACCGTAATATCAGGCAATGCTGGATTGAAAGATCAATTACTGGCTTTGAAATGGACTAAAAACAATATAGGCTATTTTGGAGGAAATCCTGATAATATAACCATATTTGGTGAGAGTGCGGGAGGTAGATCAGTGGGTTTTCACCTTATCAGCCCAAAATCTAAAGGTATGTTATCATATTTTCTAGATCTAAGATTGTTTGAATACACAGTATTCTACAATAGTTCAGAAAAAGTGTAAATTAACAAAAATGTGTAAATTTACAGAAAGAAATGTAAATTTACAGAAAAAAGGGTAGTTTTCCAGAAAATATTTAACTTTTCAGAAAATGTGTAAATTTACAGAAAAGTGTAAATTTACAGAAAATGTGTAAATTTACAGAAAGAAATGTAAATTTACAGGAAAAGTGTAAATTTCCAGAAAATATGTAACTTTTCAGAAAATGTGTAAATTTACAGAAAATTTGTAAATTTAAAGAAAAAGTGTAAATTCACAGAAAAAGTGTAAATTCACAGAAAATATGTAACTTTACAGAAAATGTGTAAATTTACGGGAAAGTGAATATTTACAGAAAATATGTAAATTTACAGAAAAAGTGTAAATTTACAGAAAAAGTTTAAATTTACAGAAAAAAATGTAAATTTACAGAAAAAGTGTAAATTTCCAGAAAATATGTAACTTTTCAGAAAATGTGTAAATTTACAGAAAATTTGTGAATTTAAAGAAAAAGTGTAAATTCACAGAAAAAGTGTAAATTCAGAGAAAATATGTAACTTTACAGAAAATGTGTAAATTTAAAGGAAAGTGAACATTTCCAGAAAATATGTAAATTTACAGAAAAAGTGTAAATTTACAGAAAAAGTTTAAATTTACAGAAAAAAATGTAAATTTACAGAAAAAGTGTAAATTTCCAGAAAATATGTAACTTTACAGAAAATGTGTAAATTTACAAAAAAAGTGTAAATTTACAGAAAAGCTGTAAATTTTGCTAAACATATTTTTCAATGTTGATATGGCCGCTCTTAGCTTTCGTACGAAACAGATTCTCAAAAAAAAATCTTCTTTTAAATTAAAAAAAAGTCTGGTTATTTGTAAACAGACTGGGATCAAAATGGTATCGTTTACTAAGTGTGGATAAGCTAGGCAGCAAAAAAAGGAGAAAGGCAGCAAGCCTACTAACTAAACAGATTCGTATTTTTCTTTCTAGGATTATTCAACGCAGCCATCATGCAAAGCGCCAACGCACTAAGCTATTTTTATACCAATAATCTAAAAGACGTAGCCTATAAACTGGCGAAAAAATTTGACACCAGCGTAACGTCAAGCAGCAGTTCCACTGATGTTAAGAAAGTTTTACAAGCTGTGCCAACCGATGATCTTTACCAAGCTGCAAGAAACTATACAGTGAGTTCAAATATTAATAGCTACAGGGTACTGCAAAAGTACGTCGAGCTTATACATAACAAAATAAAAACAAAAGAATTTATTTATTATAGTTATACTATTTATTCATGACCAGATAGATAAGGGTAGTATATACACAATATTTATAGTTTTATTTTATATTTTACTAGTTTGGCCCACTTAGAGAAGTCCAATCGGATGATGCATTCATTTCTGATCCATTTTACGAACTAATAGCTTCTGGAAATAGTACCAAGGTACCTCTATTACTGGGACACAACCTAGAAGAAGGCTTATCCTTTTTTGGAAGTGAGTTAATTCTTTTTGTCTTAATAAAAAAATAATTGCCTTGAAATTTAGGTTTGGATGCTGTTAAAACTTCTGCTGCTAATTACGATGCACATCTTAAACTAGTCGTGCCATCTATGTTGCTAAAAAATGGATCTGATGCTGTCAAAATAGGTGAAGAAATTCGAGCTGAATATGTGGGAGGAAGTGGAAATTTTAGTGATAATTTAGGAAAGTTCATGAAGGTTAATAATTTTCAATAATTGTTGTTACTAATGTTACTAATGTTTCTAATGTTACTAATGTTACTAACGCTACTAACGTTACTGATGTCAGCGTTGTGCGACCTGTAGTTTCCTTAATTCACATGGTTAAATTGGGGAAAAGTTTTAAAAATTTCAAGGATTGCTGATTTTTTTTGGAAAAAACTGATTTTTTTGAAAATCAATTTTATTTTTTCCTGTCGTTACTTTTTAGAAAATCAAAAAACGAATTGCACATTCTCATAGCCATTCTCTTAGGGTTATCTGTTAGTATTTTTAAATTTTCAAATTAGCTGATAGTTTGTGAGATACAGAGGCCAACTTATTTTTTTTAAATACGGAGCTGCATTTTTTATTTCAGGTTTTGAAAGAACTCGGTTTTCCGAGTACAATCATATGCCACACTTTATACTTTTTTTTTGTTTTTGGTACCTTAACACCAACAAAACTATTTAGTTATTATTTAAAATAATTTCCGAATAAAATAAGTCCGACTTTAGTTTTTTGAATTATTTAATCTGATTATATTCATCGCAACGATATTGAACGCTAATTAACATTGAATAAGGAAAATCGAGCCAATTGGAAGATTCAAATAAATAATATCCAGCTCACCAATTTAAAGCTATTATTATTAACTTTTTTTATTGTGTATTTGAAATCTCAGCGTGGGATCTAATAATATGCATAATATTAATCGTAGTTATTATAAATAAATCAACTTCTAAAAACTAGTTTTTAATGTTGTGTCCTCAACAAAACAAAATTAAGTGTGGCATATCATTGTACTCAGGAGACCGTGTCCTTTTAAACCCGAAAATAAAAAATGCAGGTCTGTATTTAAAAAATTAAGTCACCCTCTGTATCTCACAAATTATCCGCCAATTCGAAAATCTAAAAATACTATTAGATAGCCCTAATAAAGTAGCCATGAGAATGTGCTGAGAATACTGTGTTTTGATTTCCTAAAAAGTAACGACAGGAAAAAATAAAATTGATTTTCAAAAAAATCCGTTTTTACCAAAAAACTAGGCAATCCTTGAAATTTTTAAACTTTTTTGATGTCATTTTGGTAAACATCCCAAGGCGCAACTTTGCCCCAATTTAACTATTTTCGTATCTATTACGGTTTCCCAGATACCAATGCTCATACCTCGAATTTATAGTACCCTGTATAGTCTGTCCGACAAGGCTCTGACAGTGACAGTTATGTCTGATATTTTAATTCGCAGGTAAATTGTAATTTCTGGTATTTTTTGGACGTCATCTGTCAATATCGTTCCTTCCTAGTTGGACAGACTATAGCCTATTTTAGTGTGATTAGTTTTGTATAGCATACTATTGTAAAATAATTCCTGTTGAAAAACATTAACAATTTTTGATTTTATACTTTTAAAGAGTTGTTTTAATCTATGTACCTTTTTTGGGTTTATATTTTTTTAAGATAGTACCCATTCATAACATAATAAAGGTGTTGTACATAGATTAACTCTTCTTTTTTTTAGTGGGTGAGTGATAAGAAGTATGTTAGAAGTACCTACAAGACTGTTATACTGGAATCTCAGTTTGTGCCAGTTTATATGTACGAATTTGTATTTTATGGAACAGGCAGTGAAGGACATGTGGTCGTACCAGGTAATAACAGCATAGGGGTCGCTTGAAAATACACACACCGGAAAAATCTAGGGATATCATTTTATTCAAATTAAAAATAAATGTTTTGAATAAACAGCCACATATTTGTAGGCCGATTCTTTCTACTTCGATTGAAACGAAGTAATCACACTAGTTATTTCTAAATTTGGGATATTTGCAGAAGTGTTTGTGCATTTTTTGTCAAATGTATAAAAAGCACCTAGCATCAATTGTTCGAATTTAACCTGTACTGGCTATGTGTTTATGATAACTGGCCAGAATTCATTCAAATAACTCTGTTTAGTATTAAACGACATTGTGGAGCGTAGACATCTTAACAGAGACGAAATGCTTAGGGCCATGGGTATGCTTGAAGCTGGAATGTGCCAAATCGACGTAGCTAGAGCATTAAATACAACGCAAAGTGTAATATCGCGAATAAGTGTACGCTACCGTGAAAGTGGTGATGTTGCTGAAAGGTACACAGGGCGACATCGCATTACTACCCCTCAGCAAGATCATTTTTTACAATTAAATGCTCGACGCCGACCGATTCTTACAGCACCAGAGCTTAGTTTAATTCTCCAGGAAACACATAATGTATCCGTTAGTCGTGACACTGTTCGCAATAGACTAAGAAAGGTCAACTTAAGAAGCAGACGTCCCTGGAGAGCTCAACTCTTAACGAGAGGAAATCGAGAGGTACGATATTTGTGGGCTCAAGATCATGTTCAGTGGTCGAATGAACAATGGGCCAATGTTCTCTTCACGGATGAGTCACGCTTTGGAATTCATCCGGATTCGAAAACGCTTAGGTTGGATCATGTTCAGGAAGTGCACCCTTATCAAGGTGGAACAGTTATGGTCTGGGGAGGAGTCCAGTTAGGCCGAAAAACCGATCTCGTTTTTCTTGAAAGGTTTCTAACAGGAATCACATATCGTGATTTAATTCTTGAGCCTGTCGTGTTACCATATGCCAATGATTTTGGGAGAAACTTCATTCTCATGCATGACAATGCACGGCCTCATACAGCCAGAGTGGTAAGTGAGTTTATCAAGGCTCATCAATTAAACATCTTACCCTGGCCGGCACAATCTCCTGACCTCAACCCCATCGAGCACGTATGGGACGCGGTCCAAAGAAGAATTTTGAGAATAGGTACGCCTAGTGAAACTCGTAGGGATCTGGTTCGGGCCGTGAATGCAGCGTGGCAGGCTGTACCTCAAGAAGAGATTGACAACCTGATCAGGAGCATGGTGAGACGATGTAGGGCTGTAATGAACAGTAGAGGAGACCATACCCTTTATTAAGTAAAAATAGTTTTATCTTTTTTTAATTCACAGCTTAGAATGAAAAAAAAAGTGTGTATTTTTTTGAGTTCAATAAAAATCAAGGTAAATTTGAAAAATTCGGTAAATTTCGCATTTTTTTTTCCAATAAATACGTTCTGTAAACGATTTGTTTATTTTAATTTTATTATATCAGAAATGCAAATAAAATTACTGACGATGGCTGGATAAAATTGTAATATCCCTAGACTTTTCCGGTGTGTGTAGTTTGGATTTTTCGCCATTCTGTAGATTTCTCACAAAATAACTTAAAGACTGTTCGGCAATCGTTCAACGTTACGTCATCATTATTTGTCAAATATGAGTTTTAGGGTGTGTCTGAGATCAGTTCATATTGTTTAGAAAATTTTAAGTACGTTTCTATATTATTGATTGAGCGAGTTCCGTTTTTTTCGGCATATATTATTTTTTCTTCATCAGTTACGATCCTTTTAATTCCAATCCTTTGGACTGTTGAAAAACGCTATCAATTTGTATTTTACATAGGAATATTACACCTTTGCATTGTACTTACTTCATATACGACGTCCACGGGCAAGAGTGTTTTACCAGAGTCTCTTTCTCGAGAAAAATAATTTATAAGCTTAGAAACGAGCTGTTGCTCATTTTGGTTTAATCTTTGAGGTATTCTTGCAATAAAAAATTGGAATTTTATTTTATAGCAACATTCAAATTTTAATTTTGACATTGATCGATGTTCGTCAATAAAATTATAACCCAAACCAAATAACGTGACGTCGAACGATAGCTGAACATTCTATATGTTGATCCTATACAGGGTGTTTCAAAAAGCATGTGCCATCTCTCATGGGGAGATTCCTCACATAAAAATAATATTTATTTTTCATATCAACATAGACCCAATTGTGCTTTGTTTCGTAGCTACAGGGTGTTAAGTCTTAATATTTTTTCGATTTATCATAATTTTCTTCCAAGTACTTTTAGCGTTTCGAATAAAATTTTGAGGGTAAAGGTTACTATAAATGCGACATATTTTAAAGCTAAAAAAGTGGCGACATATTCACCAGGGACGTGCATATATATGGGTTGTTACTGGAATATTTTTCTAAAAAAAGCAGGTACGCCACTGACTTTTTTTCTCTTGTTAGCGAAATAGTGTAAGCCGTTTAATGCCGATTAAAAGTTGTCTCTTGATATTATGTCGATTTTGGCCTCCTTAATTTATTAAATTTATTAAATTAATAAAGAAATTTATATTAGATCGAAAGATTATTAAAACTTTAACACCCTGTAGCTACGAAACAAAGTAGAATGCCACGTGTTTTTTGAAACACCCTGTATATGAGAGCGATTCTCATTCTAGGAGCTGGAAATATTGGTCACGGGGATGAACTCGTTTATCTCTTCAATATGAGCAGACATCTTAAAACCGACGAAGACTACCTCACCAGAAGTAGATTAGTAAAATTATGGACTAACTTTGCCAAAACACAGTAAATGACACCAAACTAACATCAACTTAATTTTATATTTATTTATTTCCTCTGTAGTAACCCTACTCCTGATGATGACGCATCTGGTGTTCTTCAAAACGTCAAATGGGAACGCGCCCTACCTGATAAAGTTCAATATTTGGAAGTGGAGATAATTTGACAATGAAACTTACTGACAGAAAGAATCTGACAATATTTTGGGATTATATTTGGAATACTTACTCATATCATCCTTATAACACATTTTAAATTAATAAAGAATGTAATAATATAATCGATTGTTTGTATTTTTATCTACAACCGTTTAGTTATAACGTTTTTACATCACTATTTTTTAGTAGTATTTCATTTACGTTATGAGATTCATAACACAACTAGTTGCTATAATAATGAAAAACAACTACGAACATCTAAATATATTAACTTTTCCGGCAATAATGATTCCGTGGCACGTACTGGGTCAACTTCTACATCTGAAGGAGACTTTCGGAATCGCTCATCGTAATTTTAAAATGATTTTCTGGGCAAAAAGTGCTCGCGTTTACTTGACAGGGCAAACTGACTTTTCAGAAAAAAAAATGTGACAAAATGTCATAGTTAAAGGTGTTAAAGGTGGGCGACTAATAAACGAAAATTAAAACAGCATTTTCTTATTTTTCGGTTGTAGATAAAACCAGGGGGGTGACCGTGAAATAGGAAAATTGGAAACAGTCATTAGTGTCATTCTTGTCTTTCTCCTGACGACAAGTATGGCCGCCTAGACAAGGACAGCATTGTTTTTGTCTAACTATTGTCTAACTTCACAGTTTAGAATTGACAGATTTCAGTTTCAGAGACAACTTCAGATTTGTTCTAGAACAAATTCGAAAATTGTGTCGAAAATATTCGACGCCATTTTAATTCATTCCGTTTAGTTTCGTTTTGGAAGTTCAATTTAATATTTCGGCTGAAATTTATAATTATAAAGGTAATAAAGTATATAAAATATATATTACATGAAGAATCCTGGAGAAAATGACGTTTCTGCCGTAGTAGGTATGTCCCATGTATATGAAAAATAGGTAGTAAATAAACACTGTTTTTACATTTTTTAGATGCAAGAAAATGGTGTTATAATCTCTTTGATCGGCGATTTTTTTGAAAATGGAAACAATTTACAGCAAGGTAAGATCATTTTTAACTATAGCCAACATCATTTATCTCCAATATGTGCGATTTATTGTCAATAATGCAATAAATCGGACTGATAATCTGATTATGTTATCCGACTAAAAGTCTCTTTTTGCTTCTTTTTGATTTATAAGCCAGGTCTCTTTGGGAATAATGGACGCTTTTTTAAACAGTATATTTATATTTTATACCTATTGATATTTTTAGATTGTTAATTTTAGTATAAAAAAATTTGTTTTTCTGTTTTCAGGTTTTTGTATAAGGCTCCCGTTTTCATGTCCCTGTGTCCGTTTTCTGTCCTTGAAGTCTGCGAATACGTGTGTTTATTTACAAATTACTGTAAGTCATGCTTATACCTTAACTAATTTACGTTAAAAGTACATATAATTAACTAATTGGTATTGAAACAATACAATCCTCTATATTTTTATGTTTATTTAGTCACGTTGTTCCATACTTCAAATAAATATATGTGAATAAATTATTTTTTGGTTTTATTTATGAAAAGAAAAAATACAAAATACATTTGAACTGAAAGAGGGCCCGCCATTAAATAACCGGAAACGGAAATGAAAATTAAGCCATCATGTCCTTATCATGTCAACCTGTCAATTGGAAAATTAGTTCTCCAGACGACAACAAAGGCTTTCGGTGGCGTATCGTGTTTCCACGATTTAACACAGAGTTGACACTTCTTTCTAGTTAATTATTTTATGGATAAAACGTTGTAAATGACACGAGCGTTTAAACATGATTACAACACTCGTGTGATTAGAACGACTCGGTCTACGACCTAATCGTTCACACTCGTTGTAATCATGTTCATAAACACACTTGTACTGTAAATAACTATTATTTATCCCTTTATTTCTTTCTAGATAATTATCATCACATTTAAAAAAACAAATAATTTGTATCACTTAAAAAACTCATCGAAAAAGAGGAGAGTTAAGGTTGATTCTCATTATACCTCCCATAATATCAGCTACCTTCCGTTTCCATTCCGTTTACATCAAATATTATATCATGTAAATGAATAAGACAATGCACCCCAAGTAGCATTTTCACGACTTGCGACCACATGTTTACTAAACACAACGTTGGATTAGTTACAAAAAATAGTTAGCTCCCTCCCTCGGGTATTAAAATAAATTTAAACGTTTTTATAACGTTGTGCCGACGTTGGACTAGTACTACATCAAAGTAGAAGCTTCTGCGACGTCGAATAAACATTGTCTTGTAACCTTTTTTGCTTAAGTGATCTTTAGGTGATTCGGACAACGTAGTTACACTGTTGGACAATATAGAGTTTTCCGACGTCAGTTTCAGGACTTATTCCAACGTTATGCAAATGTCGTCTGTTTTACTAATTTCAACGTTGTTTAGATTTCTTTATTCTTACGTTGATAGGACGTCGAGTCATTACCTTTTTGCAACTGTATTGAACTATAACCTTAATATAATAATAATTAATATTTTACTAATAAAAAATTCTTTGAATTTACAAAGTCGGTTACAGTGTTTCAATAATTATGATCTTCAAACATCCTCCACACTTAAATACTTTTGTTTTGTTTTCCTTCACTGCCATCTGACATATGTCTCTAACTAAATCATAAAAATAATATTTTTACTATAATTATCCCAATTTAGGATAAAGCGCGACATAGACGCCAAATTAGTTTTGTATTTCTGTGAATTAGGATTTTAAACAACGTTGCAATTTGTACTAAATTAGGCTTCTAGCCAACGTCGGTATCCAACGTCGTTTCGACCCAAAAATTATTTTCCAAACTGGTGCAGACTAGGGTTGGTACGAGGTTGTGCCGACGTTGCGTCCAGACATTTGGTCGCGTGACACAACGTTGTCCCGACGTCCAAATGCTGCTTGGGACACTATCCGTTCCGTTTTCCTTCCGTTCCATATCCTTTCCTTTCATACATTTTTTTGGCGGACGGACTGATGCGTATCGGAAACAGCGTTGTCATGTTCTTACATTTGTACCAGCTCTGTTAAAATTTTGCTGATATTTATTTACTCTTTCACCTCTTAATTAAATCTATTACCTTTTTCAAAAGATACAAATTTTTATATTATAAATCATATAATAAAAAGTATGGAACTAATACGGAACGGAAGCGTCAATACAATAAAAAATGTTTCTTTATATTTTCAGAGAAAAATTTATCTTTTACACATTTTTGATAATAGATAAATAAAAAAATATGATATACCTAGTTTTAAACTTTCTACTATTTTATAAATATATTCCTCTGTATCTAAAAAACTACTTAAGTTTATCAGTTGCTTAGATAATAATTACACGTTTTTGAAAGGGATAGGAAAAATTTTATTGAAAATCATTCATTTAAGTACCTCGTAATTTAATTATAACATGTTTATCGATAAAATGATTATCCTGTGGCTGTGTGGAATAATTTTCTTACGATTTTCGGTAATAACTACATATTGTAACTTTTTTTTAAATATTTTATTGATTTATAAAATATAATTTTGAGGTTGCAAACTTAATAATTGAGATCCCAGATGGTAAAATTCAAGGTACGACAATAGAAACAACTAATGGAAAGGTATTTTACGCATGGAGAGGTATTCCTTATGCTCAACCTCCACTTGGAGAACTAAGATTTTTGGTAAAAATAAAATATACATATTTACAAAGTATTGAAATCTTTTTTGTAGTCTCCAAGACCTCCAAATTCATGGACAGATGTGCTAGACGCTTCAAAAGATAGCCCTGCCTGTCTGTTCCAAGTTACCTACAATGGAGATCCTATCCCCATCAATGGAAACAGCGAGGACTGTCTTTATATTAATGTTTACTCCCCTATTGATAGTAGCAGTCAAAATAATGTAATATGTCATGTCTATTATTAATTCATTTTGTGGATAAAGTGTCTTATTTTTTGACTGTTTAACTCATTACTAAAATATTTGATATTATTTTATAGAGTTCTAAACTTCCTGTCATGGTCTACATCTATGGAGGAGGGTTTGTTTCTGGAAGTAGTGATTTTAACTTCCTTGACCCAACACCCTTTTTAGAGGAAGACGTTATCATAGTGACATTTAACTACAGACTCAGTAAGTTTTTATTGAATATTCGTAAGTACTTGTTACATAATATAATATTTTAGGTGCTTTTGGTTTTCTGTCGACTGGTGACGAAATTATATCCGGCAACACCGCTCTTAAAGATCAGCTTTTAGCATTGAAATGGACCAATAACAACATAGAATACTTCGGAGGTGATCCAGACAGCATCACTGTGTTTGGGGAAAGCGCTGGTGCCATGTCTGCAGGGTATCATATGGTCAGTCCAAAATCCAAAGGTTAATATTAAATAAAAGACAAAGATTTTATTTTTTTTTATAGCAACTGTTAAAATGGCCTTATATCTATCAAAAATAGTAGATAAAATAGGACTTTAACCGCAAGGATAGATTAAATGATACTTTAACAGCGAGGATAGGTTAAAAACTTCATTTCTTCTCGCACGTTTTTAATTGCTTCCATTTTTGAAAATTTTTGTATTCCTTTTCATAAGTTATTCGGGATTTAAATGGAGGTAGTTTGGATACGGCGTTTGTCGCCTCAGCCTGAATATCTGTTGGTAATTTACTTATTTCGTTTTGACCCATTTCTGGCTCCAATTCAATCAGCAATTGACACGAAAGAGAATTAAAAAATATTGACTCAAAACTGACAACTAAAGGGACAGCTTTATTTATTTGTCAAATTACATAGAAACCAACGCCAACCCAGCACAGTATTTTTTCTACTCGTAATAAATTGCTTCAAATAATAATTTCTGAATATTTTTTAAAACGTAACTCGCTATGGAAGAAAGTATTGTTTTATACAAGACGATAAAATTGCATTATCGTCTCCCGAAATTAATTCACTCGCGATTTTATTTTTGAATCTTTTCGGTCGAGGATAAAATTTTATCGTCTTGTATAAAAAATAACTATTATTTTTAACAATGATTTGTAGGGCTATTTAAAGGAGTTATAATGCAAAGTGGGAATGCCCTAACTAACTTCTTTACTAAGGATGATGTTAGGACAATGGCTGTTGGTTTAGCCAATGGTATCAATTCTTCTATAACTGAGTCAAACAGTTCGGAGGAAATTAAATATGTGCTTCAAAATGCTTCTGCTGATTTGATTCTAAATGTTACTATAACTCTTGGATATAGTGTAAGCTTGCTATTTTAAAATATTTACTTTAAATGTTGTATGTTTTGTATTTAAAATATTCAGTATTTAGAATAAAGTTCATTATTCTATGAATATTTTCGCTCAAAAATATATGTTTATTAAACATATCTTTTGTCTTAAGTTCAAAACAGTGCTGGAAGTTGAATCTGATGAAGCTTTTCTTACTAACCCTATGTACGAATCTATTGAGCAAGGAAATTTCACCAAAGTTCCTATAATCATAGGTCACAATTCTGAAGAAACTTGTGCATTTGCCACCGGTAATATAAAAATTTAGTCAAAAATATATATACATTATTATATTACGTTTTAGATCTTACAACGGCTCAACTGATCGCAGATAGTTTCCAAGATAATTCACAGTTACTAATGCCCAATATGCCTTTAACAGATGGTGCTGATCCTGTTAAAATAGGACAAGAAATAATTGAAGAATATGTAGGAAAGAATGGATCATTTAAGACGGATTTAGCAGCTTTCTTCAATGTAATACCTTATTTTTAATTTCACAAAACTAGACTAAGCATAAGCATGATGTATACAGGGTGGTCCAAACTGTATTCCGGAAATTTTGGCAGCATATTCTGCAGATAAAAATAAGCAAAAAAAAGTTCCTATAAATGTATGTCCTAAAATGTTTACTTTAAGAGATACAGGCAGTAGAAGTTTCATTTTTATTTCGATTTTTTCCAAATAATTTCTGAACTAATGTCAATATTTTAATGAAAATTGGTGTCTGGGATTTTTTTGACATGATAAATTTGATTTTGATGTCGATATGACTCCTACTTCCAGAGGGCGCCGCACAGTGGATTGAAGTATAGAGAAACTCGGACATTCGATTCAAAATCAATAAATTTTGTGTTTTAATTATTTATTTGGGTTTGATTATAAGTATAAAACGTTCAGTGAACAATTTTTTACTAAAAATTTTACATACAGTGTGTTCCCTATAAACAATATACAGGGTGGTCCGAATTGTATTCCGGAAACGTCGGCAGCATATTCTGCAGATGAAAATAAGTAAAAAAGTTCGTATAAATATATATCCTAAAATGCTTAGTTTCGGAGATACAGGGTGGAGAAGTTTGATTTATATTTCAATTTTTTCCAAATAATTTCTGAAGTAACGTCAATATTTGGATGAAAATTGGTGTCTGGGAGTTTTTTGACATGAGAAATTTGGATTTTGATGTCAATATGATTACAGTTGAGGGTTGGAACCTTTGGTGTTACACAGCAAAATAAAAACACTAAATCACCACAATACACCAAAACACTTTTACTTTTACACTGGACGCGCGTTTCGCTAACCATGTTAGCATCATCAGCAGATGATTATAAACAGTTTATAATCATCTGCTGATGATGCTAACATGGTTAGCGAAACGCGCGTCCAGTGTAAAAGTAAAAGTGTTTTGGTGTATTGTGGTGATTTAGTGTTTTTATTTTGCTGTGTAACACCAAAGGTTCCAACCCTCAACTGTAATCTTCGATGGCTTCACGATCAACGGAACTGAATCTTTATCGTAAGTTTAGTACTAAGATTAGGTTATTAGGAGCAGATATTTGGTTTCTTAAATCATGCAAAGCCAATTCAGTTTATCCTAGTTTTATTAAAGTTGATATTCCTAAAAGTAACGTTAGTGATAAGGTAGAGAAAATTGCAAAACAAAAATGGCTTGATTTAGAAATCAAATTTCTGTATAGTAAACGAAGTATGCTTGAAATTGAAGCCTATGGACTTTACAAAAAACTTACTTATAAGCTAACTAATGTAGAGTATGAATGTTGGTGTCTCTTTCAGAGAAATATGTTTGTGGTTATCAATTCAAAATTTGTTAAGAAAATGTCCATTTTGAATAATAAGTTTAAAAAATTAAAAAGCTCTAAAAACAAACATGTTTTCCAAGGAGACATAAACATAGTGGAAAATCTTTCTTTGCACTTTTCATAAAACTTCGACTTTTGATAAACAAGAGCTCAGTTTATTAAACAAAGGTTTAAAGTATGCATTGCCCAACTCTGGTAGCGCTTTGGAGGAAACCGTCGTTGGTGTTGAAACTGCTATTCAGCACTTGCCCGAGGCTTCTAAAGTATTTGCAAGAGAGGCTTGTAGAAATCAGTTATCAAAAAATATCGTTTCAAGTAATTCATTAAAATCTAACAAAGAGCACAATATTGTCAAGAGTTTGCGTAACAAAGATTGTTTCTATCTAAAAGCTGATAAGGGAAATAAGGTTGTTATATTAGATAAAAAAGACTATTACGATAAGGTTAACAACTTAATCGATAATGGCCCCTACATAAATTTGAAAAAGAATCCCTTGTCTAAGATGGTAGCAGACGTTAAAAAAACTCTAAAAGAATGTAACACCCTTATTGATCTTTCTTTAAAGACTAATTGTATGCTTTGCCAAAAATTCATAGGCCGGACAAGTCTATGCGCCCAATTGTTTCGGCTGTAGGTTCTCCGACTTATAATTTGGCAAAATGGTTATCAAGGGAGTTCGAAAATTTACCTGATCATGAACCTTCTTTCTCAGTTAAAAATAATATTGAATTCATTAACAAAATTAAAGATATAACATTGCACGAAGGTGAAATTTTGGTCTCCTTTGATGTATCTTCATTGTTCCCAAGTGTTCCAATTCCACATACTTTAGGCTACTTAAAGGAATTACTGAACGCAAATGGTCTCGACAACAAGACTGTGAGTGAATATATTGAGCTTACATCGTTATGTATGAAACAAAATAATTGTTTTCAATTTAATAACAACTTTTTTGAACAGCGGGAAGGTACAGCAATGGGTAATCCATTGTCTCCATTTTTGGCTAATTTATTCATGAGCAGGTTTGAAGTTGAGGCTAAGAATCAGTTTGAGTATTTTCCAAGAGTATGGTTTAGGTATGTGGATGATATTTTTGCTGTTTTTGACACACATTCAGACACCATAGATAATTTTATTTCTAAGTTAAATAATCGTTTTCCTTCCATTAAATTTACGCATGAAATTGAGAACAACGACAGATTACCATTTCTAGATGTATTAGTTATTAGAAATACTAATAATTGCCTGGAATTTGAGATCTATAGGAAAAATACGACCACACGCAGATATATTCCTAATGAATCACATCATAGTGTTGAACATAAAATGGCTAGTAAATTTCTTAGTTCATAGATTACTTAGTTTCCCACTTTCCAACGAAAGATATGAAATAGAAAGAAATTACATTAGGAATGTAGCTGAGTGTAATGGATATTCTCCTTCACTAGTTGATAAATTAATTAGAAAACGTAGGTATAGGTTAATGATTTCTGAAAATTCGACTTTTTAAGTGGAGAAAGATACGTCTAAATATTTTTCGATACCGTTTGATAGAGAGTTATCCCGTGGTCTAAAAGGAATTTTTAAGAATATCAATTATAAACTTGTGTATAGTGCTAATAATAAATTACAACAATTATTAGGTAATCCAAAGGATAAAGCATCTCCACTGGAAAGATCGGGTATTTATGAAATTTCTTGTAAAGATTGTAATCAGAAATATGTTGGGCAAACTAGAAGATCAATATTAACTAGATTTAAAGAACATTTAGCTCAGATAAGATACGGTAGACCGGATAAATCTTGCGTTGCCGAACATATTGTTGATAATGAACATTGTATAGATCTTAATAATTTAAAATTAATTAAACAAGTCTCAAATTACAGGCAATTAGATGCATATGAATAAAGCATCAGAATTAATAAATGTAAAGATAGTATGAACAGAGTCAACGGTCCAATTCCTTCAAGTTCTTTGTTCCTACTACTCTAGTGGCGGAAATCTAACTGTTACGCTCAGTTGGCTCTGACTCGGTTGGCTAGATTTTGCCACGTCCACTCGTTGCCCACTGAGCGTGTATATAAACGCTCAACTTTTAGATTGTACTTTAGTTTATAATCATCTGCTGATGATGCTAACATGGTTAGCGAAACGCGCGTCCAGTGTAAAAGTAAAAGTGTTTTGGTGTATTGTGGTGATTTAGTGTTTTTATTTTGCTGTCAATATGACTCCTACTAGTAGAGGGCGCCACCTACATGTGTTTTAACTGTTTTGAAGCGTAATAACTTTTTGTCCGTACCTGTATAAAATCACTGAGTGAAGAAATATACATTTCCGTGATTTTTTACGTCAAAAATGTCTCTTGGTTTGGTTTGTCAAGATATTTAAAATAGGAACCTTCGAAACATATTATTATTGACAAAAAATAAACACGTTGAGTAGATAGTTATTTGACTGAAATAATAAATTTGGGAAATTTTTATTTTTTTAAATTAATCACATTTTTTTCTGCAACAAAATGATAATAAAACAGTTTCTGTTGAACTTTTGGTACAAGAAAATTTCAAATTTATGATTTCAGTCTAATAACTATTTAGTCAATATGTTAATTTATGTCAATGGTGATAGGTATTCATAATTTTGATTCCAAATATCTCGAGAACCATTACTCGTAGCGATTTTTACTAAGAGATCTTTTTTGCGTAAAAAACGTCGTAAATGTATGTTTTTTCCTCAGTAGTTTTATACAGGTACGGACGAAAAGTTATTATTCTTTAAATCACTTAAAAAATATATAGGTGGCGCCCTCTACAAGTAGGAGACATATTGACATTAAAATCAAATTTCTCATGTCGAAAAAAACTCCTAGATACCAATTTTCATCCAAATATTAACGCTACTTCAGAAATTATTAGGAAAGAATCGAAATAAAAATGAAATTTCTACACCCTGTATCTCTGAAACGAAGCCCTCATTTTAGGACATACATTTATACGAACGTTCTTACTTATTTTTATCAGCAGAATATGCTGCAGAGGAAAATTGCTGCTGAAGTTTCCGGAATACAGTTCGGACCACCCTGTATAGGGAACATAACAAAACAACTTGAAATCAGTAAAAAATGTTGTTTTTCACTAATTTCCAATATTTATTTCAGTTTGATATAAGTATAAGACACGCTGTTAACAATTTTTAACTGAATATAATTTTATAAATCTGTTTTGTACCTGCAAATTATAAGCGGATCTGCACTGTGTACGTAATATACTATTATTTCGTAGGGTCGCAAGTGGTCGCAGCCAATCTTTCCAGATATTGTTTTGGCAAGGTTTGATCTTACTAAAACACATAATTTCAGCCTGGCCATTTTTAGCCATTTTTTTAAAAGTCAATAAAACTTAGAAACTAAGAACTTAAAATCATTAGTAGAAAAAAATTAGTATCACAGAATTCAGAGAGAGTCTAAGAATTATATTTATGCACTTTAGGATTCCTAGATATATATTTTCAATGTGCTAGAAAGTGTAAACTTTAACTCTGAAAAGAAACTATTTTTTTGAACGATTGGAATGAAGAAAATATTTTGCCATATTTAACCAATATACAGGGTTTCTCACCGTAGCCGTTCGTTAGAAGTTTTTGAGGTTACGAAAAACTTAGAAGTTTGAAATTTTGAGACTTAGGGTTATTTAACCTTACCTTTCATTTAAAAATATTTTCAAGGTCACACCACTTCCGGTTACACCGGATGTTGCCATTAACTTCCATATTTTAAATGGAACACCCTGTATATTATTTTATTTTTGGATTTCTAAGAAAATTTCATGATGAGTTTCATTAGATTTCCCTATACCTATTTTCAACTGTTTATCAGATATCTTGATTTATTTGAAAATGTTTACAGATTTACCCCTATTTTTAACAGTCGGTCTTTTACTCATTTTGAATCGGTGATAAACGCTTCTGCGGTAAACCGAAGCAGAGGACTAATACTTTCGAAATCCAAATTGACAATTAATTTATTGCATACAGGGTGTCCAAAATTTGATAACTGATTAGATTATTTTAAAACTCAAGATAGTTCATTTTTTCAAATGAGACACCCTGTATATTTTTCGATAGTTGGATGCAGAATTCAATTCTGCATCCATTTGCTATAACTTTCCCTATACCCATTTTCAACGGTTTTCTTGTTAGTCCGTATTTTTTACTTTAATTCAATTTTTGGCAGAATCGACAATATCGTTTGTGTTTTTTAAAAGAAAATAATTATGTTAAAGTAAAGAAATTGAATGTAATTAGAACATACGGACAAAACAGGAACAAAACAAAAGTGAAAACGTATAAAATATAACATAACATAACAAAACAAACGTATTTTCAACAGTAACGGTGAGTCATTAATTATTAATACTAGACGTTAGTGTATCCCTACAATAATAAAGAAAAGTTAACTCAATAATTACAAAAATTTTCGTTCATAGCGGTCACTTCGAACAATAATTTTTGTAATTATTGTGTTTACTTTTTTTATTATGGTAGCGATACACTAACGTCTAGTGTTAATAATTACTGCCTCACCGTTACTGTTATACGTTTGTTTTGTTGTGATATGTTATATTTTATATGTTTTCACTTTCGTTTTGTTCGTATGTTCTAATTGCATTCAATTTCATTACTTTAACATAATTATTTTATTTTAAAAAACACAAACGATATTGTCGATTCTGCCAAAAATTGAATTAAAGTAAAATATACGGATTAAAAAGAAAACCGTTGAAAATGGGTATAGGGAAAGTTATAGCAAATCGATGCAGAATTGAATTCTGCATCCAACTATCGAAAAATATACAGGGTGTCTCATTTGAAAAAATGGACTTTTTTGAGTTTGAAAATAATCTAATCAGTTATCGAATTTTGGGCACGCTGCATGAGATAAATTAGTTGTCAATATGGACTTCGAAAGTATTAGTCCTCTGCTCCAGTTTACCGCAGAAGCGTTTATCACCAATTCAAAATGAGTAAAAGACCCACTGTTAAAAACAGGGGTAAAAATGTAAATATTTTCAAATAAATCAAGATATCTGAGAAACAGTTGAAAATAGGCATAGGAAAATCTAATGAAACTCATCATAACATTTTCTGAGAAATCCAAAAAATAAATGATATACAGGGTGTTCCATTTGAAATAAGGAAGTTAATGGCGACTTCCGGTGTAACCGGAAGTGGTATGACCTTGAAAATATTTTTAAATGAAAGGAAATTTTAAATAACCCTAAGTCTCAAAATTTCAAACTTCTAAGTTTTTCCTAACCTCAAAAACTTCTAACGAACGGCTACGGTGAGAAACCCTGTAGAGGTAACCTTCAAAATGTTATATTTTTGTCACTCTGTAGGTATCCAAAAGCCTAATATGGTGTTTTCTAAAAAGAACAATAGGTTTACATTACAACAATGTAAAATTAGTCGATTAAAATCAAACTTTTGAAAAACCTTCAATGTCCGGCCATTAGCATTGCCTCGATCTACTGTGCGCCGGCGCCGCCTACATATTTTTTAACTGGTTTGAAGAGTACAAGTAGTACAGTAACGTTTTTAGTTCGTTACATGTCTTTTTTATATATAATATATGATGTCTGGTCTATCATCACCGGATTCCCTCTCGTTCAGGCCGGATAGTTTATTTGCCGCGTAATTTTTACGTTCCCTAGTCGCCAACCCTGTTATCGTTCGACACGACCGCGCGCTGTCAACATCGCTTCTGTCAACTCTCCGTGCTTAACCTCACTTTGTTTTGACTCTCTGTTGTATCCACGTTGTATCCCAGCTTTTGGAAATGGTGATTATTTAAGTCTTGCTGTATAATTTGAATCAGCTGCTATTTCGAGGCTACAGGTAAAGATGAGTTATTACCTTTTATAGATTCGATATTATTATTGAATATTTTTAGGGTAGAGTTACGGATGTCCCAACTTGTATTTGTGTTTTGCTGACACGTTGGCGTCCCTTTTCTTTTGTCCTCCAGAATGTCACATGGAAGAAAGGACATGTTGTTTATTATTTATTGAGCCCTCGGAAGTATTTCGAGGTAGGTTTATTTTGTTTATTAGACCTTGTTTGGTTTTAAACAAGAGTTTCATATTTTTAGGGTCCAAGGTACGGACTGTGTCCAAGGTACGGACTGTGTCCAAGGTACGGACTATTTCCAAGGTACGGACTATTTCCAAGGTACGAACTGCGTCCAAGGTACGGACTGTGTCCAATGTACGGACTGTATCCAAGATACGGACTGTGTCCAAAGTATGGACTGTGTCCAAGGTACGGATAGTGTCTTATGTACAGACATTATCTTATGTACAGATGTCCTGTGGACGAGTGTCCCCAGTAAGAATGATTTTTTTTCCTACATATAAGTGCCACAGCGTGGATGTAGCTTGAGTCCCATGCTGCTTCGTTCCCAGCTATAAGCTAGTTAGTTACGGGTGTATCAAGTCATGGTGTCCTCATTCTGGCCCCTTTGGTTGTGTTAGATGGCTGAGTACAGAGAAATGCGAGACCACCTCACGATGTTACTGTTTTAAGCAGGATTGCATAAAGAACAGCTAAGTGTAGATTTAAGTTATAGTTTTGCATTTAACATTTAAAACATTTACAGTCTTAAACAATAATGTACATCTTAAATAATATCGTATAGACTATGTTGAGTGGTTAGATTGTTAAGAACATTCATGTCGATTTAGTAGTTAAAATATAATTTAGATCTTAGGTTTCATTGCATTATGTCTTGTAATAGTATTACTTTTTTATAGATATTATTATTGCACTCTAACATCATATAAAATATATCAAATTAATAAAGTAATGCTACATTTCATATATTCTCTTAAACTTTACATTTCTTGTATTTTATCATAGTCGTTTTCATAGATATTTAGTACAACTCTTACCACCACTTTTTTGACATATAACCACTACATATTCACTAGAACTCTACAATGTCATGTATCAGCAACGAACATCATGAATGAATATAGTCATTAGTTTTAAGTAATATACAACTGTGTTTTCTTTCTCTGTACATGCCTGGCGCCCAATATCTATTTTTTTGTTTATTGTTATTAATTAGTTTTCTTTCCAGTGAAATACCTTATCCACGACTGCTCTCCGATGAAAAGCTGCCGTTCGCAGTGGTAGTGGTTTAAAAAAACGCCACAGTAATAACTTTTTGTCCGTATCTGTATAAAACTGCTGATTAAAAAAATGTGCATTTACGACGTTTTTTACGTAAAAAAGGTCCCTTGTTATAAATCGCTACGAGTATTGGTTCTCGAGATATTTGGAATCGAAATTATCAATACCTGTCATCATTGACATAAATTAAACACGTTGACTAAATTGTTATTAGACTGAAAACTGAAATCATAAATTTGAAATGTTTTTGTGCCAAAAGTTCAACAGAAACTGTTTTATCATAATTTTTTTCTTCGAAAAAATTAGGATTAATTTGAAAAAATAAAAAGTTACCAAATTTACCATTTCAGTCGAATAACTATCTATCAACATGTTTATTTTTTTGACAATAATGACGTGTTGACTATTTCTGTTCTAAATATCTTGAGAACGATTGATCGTAGCGATTTTTACAAAGAGACATTTTTTACGTAAAAAATCACGGAAATGTATATTTTTTTTCAGTCAGTAGTGTTATACAGGTACGAACGAAAACTTATTAGTTTTTAAAACAGTTAAAACACATGTAGGATGCGCCCCCTGCAAATAGGAGTCATATTGACATCAAAATCAGATTTATCATATCAAAGAAAACTCACAGTCACCAATTTTCATCTAAATATTGACCTTACTTCAGAAATGATTTTGAAAAAATCGAAATAAAAATGAAACTTCTACACCCTGTACCTCAGAAACTAAGCTTTTTAGGACATACATTTATAGGAACTTTTTTACTTATTTTTATCTGCACAATATGCTGCCGAAGTTTCCGGAATATAGTTCGGACCACCCTGTGGTGACAATTTCGATGCTTAACATTGGCATCTAATGACATAATATACTATTACTTTCAGTGGTGGAGTGACGAAGTATTTGTAAGAAGCGTATACAAACATGCCATCCTTCAATCATATTTTACACCGGTATACATGTATCAGTTTTCCTACTATGGTACAAAAAGCAAACCACATCCTAATATACCAGGTATGAAATAATAATCAACAGTTGCAGGTAATTCAACCATTTACAATAGATAATGACGATTAATAATTAATAATAATTATTATTATTATTATTATTGATAATGATTATTGACGTATGTTCGTCGGTTAGGTGGGTTTATACCGGGGTAAATCAAAACGTTGTTTTTTGCCATAAATTCGAAACACCCTGTGGAAGAAATGAGACGGGCATTTTGGATAAAAAAAATACTTTCCTGTGATTTTAAATGAATTCCTAATATTTCATTTTTTGAATTATCACATTATCTCTATTATTATTTTAGGGCTCGAACACACTGACGACCAGGTCGTACCGGCCAGGCCGCAGCTACCTCTAAAACCATTAAATCAAATGATATAGCGCACACTAATGTCCTGGCCGTTCGTTGGTCGTTGCTACCTTAGGTTGCGACCAGAAGACTGCACGGAAATATTATTTTCTGCCGCTTGTTGCCGGTTTTATTCCAAATTAATAATTTTTCAGATGAAATCCCTCAAATTCAAGGAACAATATTTTATTTTTTATAAGCTATAGTGTTTTAGTGTAGTTTTTGCACACGTGCAGAAAATCCAAAGAAATAGTATACAGACTGGATCTAGTGGCGTAGCTACCGATGTGCCCTCTACCGGGGGGCTAACTAACTAACGGGAGGCCCGGGCCCGGGCCATATTTTCATATCTATCACATGCTAACGCGAATCAAGCAGAATCGGGCGATCCCGAACTAAGTTCTTATCTATCACATGTCTTCTTAACTACTTAACTAGCACACGCTGTCGCGAAAATAACTTATTACTTTACACATGTTCTTGTGCAATTTTGTAACTGTGTTTTCCTTTGTATTTTGCAAAATAAAAATAACTAGAAATATGTGATTTTTCATTAGAGCATTAAATATGACAAAAAGGAAATTTGCTGTATTGTCACTGGATTTCTGTACCATCGAATAGAACTAAGCTAGTTGTAGCATCAAAAAGAGCATGAAAAATTATACTGTTATACTCCGTGGACAAGGTTACGACGGCGCTGCAAATATGAGCGGGACGTATAAATGTGTTCAGGCTGCGATATCGAAGGTATCATCTTATGCTCCATTGTGCAGCTCATAATTTAAATTTAATTCTTAACGATTCTGTTAAAAATATTGAAGAATTAAGAAGTTTTTACGACTTGATTCAAAGTGTATATGTATTTTTTGGGCATAGTATAAAACGATGGGCTCTTTTACAAAGTGTTACCACAAATAAAAAAATAACATTAAAAAAACTACTCCTACTTGTTGGTCATCAAGACATGATGCGCTAGAAGCTCTTCGTTTTAAGTATGTAGATATTTTAAAAACTCTTTCACAAAAATCATTTTAATTTCTACTAATAAACTTGAAGCTAATGAGGCAACAGCGCTAAAAAATCAGTTAGAAAAATTTGAAACCGTATTTTTAATTATTTTTCAAACAAAAATTTAAAAAAATATTGACGTTGTTTCTAAGCTATTGCAAAAAAGCAGCAAAATATTGAGGAGGCATCCAAACTGTTCACGGTGTTATATGAAAACATAAAAAAATGCGTGATGATTTTAATTTAGTTATGGGCAGAAGCTATTGATCTAGCGAAGCAATGGGGTACAACAACTCAATTTGTAAAGAAAAGGATGTCTCGCCCAAAAATATTCTTTGACGAAATTAATAAGCATAATAAAATTCAAACAAATGAAGATTGGTTTAAAATAAACGTATTTTTTAAAAGCTTGGACATTATTATATTTCAAATAAAATGTACTTAATGAAGTTTATTTAAATTTTCGCGCAATTTCGCCTGAAGTATTACGTAACCCTTCTGTTTCTGATGAGGATATATAATACTATATAAAAATAATATTATATAAAAATTAATTTGATAATTTTAATTATTTCTAACCTAAAATATGAGTTTATCTATTTATTTTAGTGTATATCATATTATTCAGATTAAAGTAAACGCCACGAATGTTTGGGAGTGATTCATCGCTTGATGAAGTTAGAATCGACACGCGCGCTATCATTTTTACATTAAAAACGTTAATTTTTATCGCAGACGTAGGTTTTTAAAGCCCGATCTAATCATCTGCCTGCGCTCCTCCTACTTATTCTAAAATGTTAGCGTGATTGACAAAGACGATACTATATCGCGTTTCTTTGATTGATTCGTTTTTGTGCGTCAGGTGTGCTTGCAGTGCGACCAATGGGGCATTCCATTTTATATTTATAACCAAAAAATTACAACAGATTATATATTGATTATTATATGACTTGAAACACCACGGCACTGGAATTAAGTTTTATGTGACCTTGAACGGATTAGTTCACATGGTAGCGACCGATGAATCACTCCCAAACATTCGTGGCGTTTACTATAGTACCGTATGATCGAAAAAAAACGGCGTCCAGTTGGCTGGGAAATGACGATCGATGACATTTCCCATATAATTTTATATATAAAATGACAGCGATCTTCACTTCATAGCCATCGTTGACGCCGTTTTTTCTCGATCATACGGTATATAAGTATTGAAATATGTAGGTGTAATGGTAAAATTTTTGCACACAGGCCCGTGAGTCTCTAGTTACGCCACTGAATGGATCAAAGGTAAACTTAAATATAATACCTTTTTTTTATCAAGAGTCGATTCTAGTAAAAACTCAAAACATTTTTATATGACATACCTACTCTATTTATGGTTGGTATGATGTTTGTTATTATACCTTTGAGTTTCGATGTTAAAAAATAAAAAAAAAATATATTTAAAGTTTTTCTACAACCACTTGTTTTTTTTATTAAATTAGTTTTTTTAGTTGTATTGTAGTCATGTAGAAGGAGGACAACTGTATTTTAAATATTATATTTAATTTAACTATATTTCTACTAGGTACATTATTTTGAAAAAAAAATAAGAAAGTAACTTAAACATTCATAAAAATAGAAGTAATTACTGTTGTAGATTCTTCGTTACATTGTAAACATTGAAATAACTGGAAGCTAAACTTTCTACCTGCTTATATTTAGAGCCAGTTTCTGACGATCTTTTTTTACGATGGCCCTAATATGTTTACTTCTAAAGTCGATAAGGACGCTATATCAGTAGAAAAAAGAAACAGAATATCTCCCTTTTTGTGGGTCGCGCGTACACAATGCTTTTTGTTTGTTGTGAATAGCAACTTCGCTTTTTAGTTAACTCGGATATTTTAACATTTCTGAAACAATATTTTCTAATTGGTAAAACGTAAAAAATCGTTAGATTTGACAACTCTGTTGAAACTGGTCGTTCATCTGGCCGCAGCTAAAAACGCAATACATCCGGCCCGCCGACGGCCAGGTCGTTGCGACCTGGTCGTCAGTGAGTTCGAGCGCTTAGAGCTACACATTTTTAAGTAAAGTATTGATATCAGAGATTCTTTTATTGACAAAAACGATAATTTTAATAGGGTGTATAATCCACCTCCCGCAGCAATAACAGCTCGAGGTCTTCGTCTTATCGAATGAATAAAGGTAGTTATTCTTTCTTGATCTATAGCTTAATGAATATCAAGGAGGACATCCTCAATATAACGGTGGGCATTGAGAGCTCAATTTTCAACAAATTCGATATTGTAAAAATATCACTACTTTATTTAAAAGTCTGTAGATCGTAAAGGAATAGAGATAACAGGATAATTCAAAAAATGAAATGTTAGGAATACATCCAAGATTAGAGGAAAGCGTTTTTTTATCCTAAATACCCGTCCCATTTTTTTCACATGGTGTTTTGAGTTTATTGCAAAAAACGAAGTTTTGATTTACCCCGGTTTAAGCCCACCAACCGACATATATAAGCCATTAAAATAATAAAAAATAATGCCAACAAATTGATCTACAAACTAATACCATAATCATAAATATCGGATTACAAATTCAAAAGTTATGAAACATCAAACGAGAAATTTATATAGAGATTATATTAGGTTTAACCACAAACAAGTTTAACTATAGTGATTTTTATTCGAAATTATTTTTGATGTTTATGTTCAAGACATTCAAGACAATTCTAATTGTTTTTTTCAATCATATTTGTAGGAGCTGGCAAGGTTGGACACGCTGATGACGTGGCTTATCTGTTTAACATTTCATCGTTTCCTATTGAAACAGATAGTGATTTCCTAGCCAGGAGGAGATTAGTAAAATTATGGACTAATTTTGCCAAGACACAGTAAGTTTCCGAATAAAATAATCTATATTTTTAATTTTACTAAAATTATAAGTTTTCCCTTGTAGAAACCCAACTCCTGATGATGAAACTTCTGAAATCCTCGAAAATGTAAAATGGGAAGTAACGACACCGGACAACGTTAGATATTTGGATATTGGTGATGATTTGGTCATGAAACCTAGTAGAAAGGTTAAGGAAACTGTCTTTTGGGATTATATTTGGAGTACTTACTCTTACAGACCTTATAACACGTTATAAAATGTTAATAAATAGCTGATTATGATAATATTGTTCTATTTTCTTGCGGTTGAAACAAATACATCATGTTTTGATGCACCCTGTATACTACGAAACTCAGAGTATTTTACTACACCTAGTTTTGATAAAAACACTTTCAATTTTAACAACTACTTATAATTAAATAATACAAGTAATAATAAATATAGAAAACAAATTTCTTGCAGTATAGGTACCTATATAATAAAATTATATAAGGACTAGTTGAAGCCTGGCGCATCAGCCACGATATCAGGAAAAAAAAAACTTTTTATTGTTTGTTTAATTAAATGAAAAACAAAAAATCCGGCGACGACAATTTTTAGAAGAGCCAATTAGCTAAAGTCGTTACTTCAGTAGAGACGACACAGATAAACATTAGCATTTTATATATGTAGATTCTTGCCACTTAACTGCTGATGTACTGTAGAATGTAGAACTGTAACTGTAGAATTAAATTTCTGCAGAAAAACATGAGCAGTTAAGTGGCAAGAATCGTTATACAGGGTGAGTTTCCTAGAGATAGAGGGTCGGTTAAATGGGGAAAGAATTGCAGTTTGTGAGGTCATATGTGCCTTTCAGATTTTTGAAAAAGTTCATGGCTTACTTATGTTTCGAAAAAAACAAATTTTGGCTATTTTAAAAATTGTCCCTAATTCCATTATAATCTATTTTAGACAAAAAGTGTTCAGATAAAAGTTGTAGATAATCACATTCCTAATGAGATTGTGTTCTCCGATTTTTTCTAAAGCCTGTCATGTTTGACATATGAAATCACAGATCTTCCTAGGTCTGAGTAAGAACAATCTTCGGATTGTCACGGGGTTTTTAACAGGACACTGTCTCCTCAATGAACACCTCAGTAGATTGAAACTAAGAAGAAACGGCGAATGCAGATTCTGTGGGGAAGATGGGGAAACACCAGTACACCTCATCACTGAGTGCGCCGAGACGACAACCATTCGTGCCATGAATTTTGGTACGACTGATATTGGAGATGGAGAACTACCCTCTATAAAACCGTCCCAGATACTGGCTTTTGTCAAAGCCCTGGGACTGTATGATGAGTTATGATTAAAGAAAGGGGGACACAATGGATCTGTAAGGTCGAAGTGATTAACCCCCCTCCCACTCATTCTAAATTCTAAAATTGACATATGACACAAACATATGTTTTTTTAAATGGAAACCATAGTTGGCCATGAGTTCATAAAAAGCGCCATTTTTTAAGCTTTTCAGCGATATAAGCTATAATATGTTTCTTTTACAAAATTACGGAGTTATAGTATAGCCAATTCTTATCTTTCTTGACTAGTTTCACTTAGTTAGCCATGGAAACAAGTTCAATCGTCGTTGCTCTCAAAAATGTGAAATTGTCACATCCAATCTTTGTAAATTAAAATAAACAAAAATGGTAAATATTTTTTTTTTTAATGAAGAAAAGCGTGTAGGATTATTGGTTTAACTTTTCTTCACCATACAAGATACGTTGACCAGTGAAAGTTACTTATGTTTTTTAGAGAACGGTTTCCAATGGTGTTCTAATTTTGTTATGATTTATAACTTATAAAAAGACAAAATATATTATTAAACGGCTCTTTACAATTTACATTACACAAACTAAAACTTAAAAAAATAATCAATACATATACGATTTATGGTATTTTAGAAAATGTTTAAAAAATCCGCAATTGTTTTGAGTACATAAATGCATCTTTTTAAAAGTGAATTTCTAGCTATTGTCACAGAACGACTGGTCGACTTAATTAAACTTCTCCTGTTCCGCCTCTTCGAGTGCCTCTCATAAGTTCTTTTGTAAACCTTGCCTATTGTTAACCATACCGCGTAAAAAAATCTAAAATGGATAAGTCGGGTGACCGAGGAGACCCATGCAATTGGTCCACCTCTTTCTATCCCTGAGTCTACTAAAATTGCTTTAATTTGAAATAATTTTAATTGGCGCTTTAAAATTATTTCAAATTAAAGCAATTTTGAAGGCCTATAAAAAATTATTCAATGTCATGGAACTATTTTTTTTTTGATAAATATACTGAAAATAGTCTTCTATTTCAGATTTTGTCCTTGAATTGGGTATTTTATTTTTTGTGAAAGATGTATGTAGACTCAGGGATAGAAAAAGGTGGACCAATTGCATGGGTCTCCTCGGTCACCCGACTTATCCATTTTAGATTTTTTTATGCGGTATGGTTAACAACAGGCAAGGTTTACAAAAGTTTTTAAAGCGCCAATTCTTCCCCTAGGAGATGCAAGACCTTGTTGTTGGTGGGGAAGCTCCTGGTCAGGTGCTGGGGGGAATCCCCCCTAGCACTTGGCTTGGTCTAAGAAGCATCTCACTCATCGTCTTGTCCCTGACTGTAGTGTCGTGGCCAGGGAATTGCACCAAGACATATAACGACACCGGGCGGGGCTACGGACAGCCTCAACCTACCCCTTACTTCTACATGCGGGGCTCTGTAGAAGTGGACCGACTGTCCCTAGCGACTCATAGGAACACTATGAGATCTGGTAATAATAGTAATAAAAACATCACCGGTGAAGCTGTGGGGAAACCCCCTAGCGACACTGGGAACAGTAACAATGAAAGTTCCAAGAGGCCAAACCCAAAGAGAACTACAGGAGAGGTGGCTGACACTTGCGTGAGACTATCCTCCGCAAGTGGCATACAAGCTACCACCTCCAAGCGTCGGGAGCCTACCTCCTACCTCTAAACCCAACAGGCGACACAAGCTACCATTTCGTCTACCCGGCCTGGGTCGTAGCTCCTCGACTGTGAGGGACACGGGTCTCCGTAGGAAGTCCTGGGACTGTATGATGAGTTATAACTCAAGAAAGGGGGACACAATAGATCTCTAAGGTCGCAGAGATTAACCCCCTCCCACTTATTCTAAATTCTAATTCTATTCTAAAGCGCCAGTTGATGACGTATGAAAAATACTCCCAATCACATTGCAGAACCGTGCTCGTGCGCCAGCCAACAACTGGGAACATTGCGATTTGATTTGACCAGCACCACCTCAACTCAAGGCTAATTAACATGATATGGGCAAGGCAAATATGACGGCGAAGGCAGCGCATTATTAAATTCTTTACCTTTAAACTGAAAAGCCGGTAGTGGTTTCTCGTTCCGATTTCATACCAGAAATAATTAATTATCTCTAGTTTGTTGTGCTTCTGCAACACGTTTGTTTAGTTCTTAGTGTTCAGTGCATGGTGTGATCAGAAAATTGTGATAAAATAACAAAAAAATGTAATAAAATTCCAAACCAGACATTCCACATAGGGAACTTCAAACTTTTGTGCTTGTCGTACTCCTCTATTATTAATTATTTTAAAGTAAGAACTAGAAGTATTTACAAAAATCTAAAGATAGGTATTAAAGGGTAGGTATTAACATTTTATTGTAGCATACTTTTTACATGCTCTGTTCCAAATTGTTACGAGAATTATAGGAGGGGTCCCAAGGTTTCTGCTTTTATATTCCCCAAAAATGACGAGCTTCGTAAAAAATGGTTGACGGCTATTAAAAGAGATAATTTCACTCCTACTAGTAGTTCTCGGGTAAGAAGTACATTAAATATGCCTCCAAAAGGCCAAAGGCCAAAGTTACCCTAGTGAGGATGTAGTTATGGCTACTGTTTACACTTACCTTACAAGATATTGACAACATTCACATTTGAAAATATACGTGGCCTGGATGTAAGTCTTTTTTCAGGTCACAATTGACACTCACATACGTCAGAATTTATTATTAAATCCGTCTTTTTCAGAATAACCAATATTTTTTTTATAAAAAGGTATTTAGTTTTTTTTATATATAAAATCTTGAAACACATATTACATTTTTTAGTTATCTTCACCTATTGTAGTTCAAATTTATTCCCATTTGTGTAATGCTGCAAAACATAGGAAAATATTCCATATTTTTTAACCCAAGCCAGTGTAGTTTACACCAAGAGTATTTACCAAGGCTTTTACTAAGACAAGTAACTTCCTATACTGACCATAATAGTATATATATTTATCAAACGTGCATTAAATTCTAAACTATGATAGGTAAGTGTTTGGAATTGAATATTTAGTTTATATTGCTATTTTCTGTCATATATTTCTGGTTATTTCTTTTTCCGATGATTTTGAACACCCTATATATGCTACCTCAAGTTTGAATATTTACACACTAGTACACTACCTACTTATTTTCTGAGAAATCAGACCTTTTTATAAAAAGTAACTAACTGATGTTTTCATAAAAGTAATAATACAAAAAATTCTAAGTATATTAAAAAAATTAGTGAAATATTACATAATCTAACCCGACATTTGTGTGAAAAATGTCTATTTGGAAATAAAACAGGTTCTATAATACGCGCCAAATAAAGCACTTCTATCTCCACCATATTGGAAAAGGTTGAATTGCCTTGTGTGGAGGTGGTGGCGGGTCAGCAGTCAGCGTGGTGGTCCGGCCGTGTTGCCGCTTTTCAGCATGCCAGGTGTGACGTATTAAAAATAAAGTGCCGATTTTTATTCTGAGCTTTTTTGTTTTTATTTATTCTCTTAAGAACGACTTCAAATTTTTTGAAAGTGAGATAGCAGAAAATTCTAGAATTAATTGCTTTATTCAATTATGCTAATTCCAAAATATAGTGAAACGGTCCATTATGATAATGAAATAATTTTTAACATTTCTTACATTGTGGGGGGGGGGAAGTTTGGTGTGTCATAATGAAAGTCATGTTGGAACCACTCTATTAAGAGTCCATTTCACTAGTCCGAAAAAGTAGCAAAATAAGCGTTCGGCATTTAACGTTTTATGTCAAACTGGCTAGGTATTTTTACACAAACGAAGAAGAAAATTAAAGATAAAGGATTATACTAAATCCGTCGTGTGGCACATTTTTAGATAACTTGTTCATTTTTAAGATTTTGATGGTCAAACATCAACAAAATAAACCTTATGTTTGGACTAAATTTTCTCAAAAATAAAAATATA